GTAGAATCTGAATCTGCATAGCCAGCTACGCTTTACCCAAACACCCTGTAGATTAAAGATTATTATTGTACAGTAGTCTATTTGAAAATAGACAATGTATTATTTTTTTTTTGCAATAAATGACTTGATTTGATTTGAACACATTTCTGTGCGTGTTCAGGGTTCCATTTTTTATGTCAGTTATTGGGAATGAAATGATCCCATTCCATAGTTTCTATCTTGATTGGAACTACTTTTAATTTAAAAGACCTCTCTTAGCAATGACAATTACTTAGTCCTTTTTGTCAAATCGAACCAACAAGGAGCTCGCTAAGAGTTGTATGGATTAAAACTTGTTAACACTACTTACTCGTTCACTTCTTTGTAATTAAAACATCAACTGCACAGTAAGCTTTCGCATCCATCGGTGTTACGACGTGCTTTCATTAACTATCAACATTTACATAGCGCTACCGACAACATGAAAATGAGTACGCTTTCTAAGTGTAATATACACGAGGTTGTAGTTTTGTTCTTGTGGTTTTTGCCAATAAATGCTCTGTCTGATGAATTAGGCCTAAAAGTTTCTCGCAGTCTTATACTAAAAGATTACAATTGGTTTAACGACAATAACTTTAAGATGCTTTATGAGTGTATTACTAGGACAGTTTATAGATACTACGAGGGTAGGACAGTGATGATCTTTCCTGACGAAGTAAATGACGCTTTTATCGAAGCTTTCTTAGTTAAAGGAATAAATGCAACTTCTGCAATAAAGAAGAAAAATAAATTAAAAAGCTGGGAAGCCTACCACAAGTTTTATCTTCTCTTTCCAAAAGTAAATCGAAGCAACTTTAGTTACTACGAAGATTTTGTTTACAAAGTGGAAAAATCTTCCCTCGTGTTAATTATATGGCCTCCAAACACAACCATGGAACAGGTTTCGAAAGTCCATAAAAAATTCTGGCAGTTTCGGCTGATAAAAGTGGCAAGTTTCATTCAGGAACGTACCAGTGATGTAGGTGTTTACGTGTACATTCCGTTTAATAACAAACGTTGTGGCGACGGAGCTACCCCTTATCGAGTCGATACATGTACTCCGAACGGATTCCTGAACAATTACGATGTTTATTCCGGGATCACGAGGCTCACAAACTTTCACGGTTGTACGTTGAATGTCGTCGTCAACATCCAGTATCCAGATTGCTACTTGGAGGACTTACGGAACGGTTCTTGGGCAGTTCGAGGCAACATAAACTACATGTTGAACGCATTCAGGGATCACTACAACGTCAGCTTTGCATTCTACAACCTGTTCAACTTGACATTCAACTGGTATTACTACAACACCTCTATAGAGGCCACCATGCGCCAACACGAGAACGAGTCATACGAGTTCGGGGTCGGAGCGTTCTCTTTGATGACCAGAAACGACAACCCTTTCATCGAGTATACGTTCGGGCCGGACCCGGAGTGTTTAGCCTGGGCCGTTCCCAGCTTCGCCGGCGAGCGGCCGTCCATATGGATGACGCTGGTCAGCGAGTTCCCCATCGTGGTTTGGTGTCTCTTAGGTACTGCGATAGTGGTCGGCACAGCGTTCGTAGCATCGTCAAAATATGTCGAGGACAATAACCTGAGTACAATCAGAGTTATTCGCATTTCCCTGATGATGGTGTTCGCTATGACTTCCGAATCGCCTAAAATGAAGTTCCTCTTTAGGTCGCCGAACGTGTACCTTTTCGGATGGTGTCTGTGTGGTCTGGTGATCCGCTGCGCCTACGAGGCCTCCCTAGGAAGTCTGCTCACGCTCACAGTTCCAGCACAACAGCTAAAGTCAAACAAGGAGCTCCTGGAGAGAAATTTCAGGGTAGCGGGAGGCGTGCAGATGTACACATTTTTAGAGGAAGCCTCCACCAGAGATGAAGTTCTAAAGAAATTGATGAAGAGATTCGAGATTCTTCCCCCTATAGACGGAAGGGAGATGAGGAAACGAATTATATTGCACAAGAACCTCGCGATCATCCAGCCTGATCACTACACCAACTTAATCGCCACAAGAGCCGCTGCACACTTCAAGACCGGCTCAGGCATCACCTCCATCAAACCGTGTCTGCTCAAGACATTCTCTTCTCCCATGATCATCAGGAAGGGGTCGTTCATGTCTGATTTGCTCACCTCTTTTTCTACACATATCTTTGAGGCTGGACTGGGTCAATATTGGAAATCACTAGAAACTAGTGTTCCCATCTGGGAGCCGTCACAGACCCGTGGGGCACCTCTTCATTTGGACAAATTGCGTGGAGCGTTCATTTTCTATTTTACCGGAATCACAATTTCTACAATTGTTTTTGGTTTTGAAATGCTCAAATCACAATCCGGACAGTGATCACTTATACATCACATCACATCCCGAATAGGCGGCCCTCTTTTATAAATGGGTCCGGTAGGTTGTTTGTTCAATTTTCAATTATGTTCCATCGCGTGAAATGTTACAATTTGGCTAGAGAATACAGTTAATGTGGTGTTTTGCTCATAAATGTGTTTATGTTCAACCTGATAACATTGTAAAATCACTAGCTGTTTCTGTGAAATGGGCAACACGCCAAGTGGCAGGGAGTTGAGGAAGAGAGCGGCAAAATCATTTTTTAGACAGTGTAAAGGTGTTACAAAAGTCCCTAGAAAAGTAGCATTATTAGTTAATTAAAAAAACATGATCATGTGTACAGTAAGTGTTGTAAGTAACGCTAAAAATGATCTTTGATGGTGTAATTAACGAGTTTGATGGAAAATGTAAAAATCCCCAATCATGTAAAGTGTTAGTAGTCAGAGTGTTTGTAGTTACATCGTAAAACATTTGTTTGGATTAGAACTCGTGTGGTATAATTTACCAAATTTTAATTTTGTAAACCTGCCCTCGGAAATAAAAATGTGTACTTCAGTAAAAGTTAAACTAATTGCATTTAATTTATGGTTTACGTATTTACTTTACTACTTTATGCAGGCACTCTTATTAGCAATCTAAATAAACACATAAAACGATTCTTATCGTTGTTATTTCGGATGAGCGTGTCAAATCGTAAAATTCCTATTTGAATTTAATTATTCAAATCGAAGGAGGAGGATGGGGCGCAACTACAGTAGGCGCTGCTACCCAATATAATCTTCGGTTAGCATGTGACGCTCTCAGGCCCCGCGTCACATGCTAACCGCGGGCCTACAAATGAGGCCTAAAGATGAGATTAAATATTAAGTTACCAGTGTATTTTTTGTTTTGTGTTTTTGATGTCAGACGTATTCAATTCAATTATTAAAAGTATTAAAGTATTAAATTACACAGTGTACAGTGTATTGAATACAATCGTATCCATAAATATATAGCTACATTTTCAGGAAAATAGGCGAGAGATAAGTATGATTCGGATCTCAGGTCTTATAAAAATGTGGTACTTACTAATCTATTGATTGGTGAACAATTTAGTAGATTGTAGAACAACCTACTAAATTCGGATGGAAGAGTGCAGGGCTTTGGTAATCAAAGTCCACGGTTCAGACCCCTCCAATTACCAATGATTTTTTAGCGATGTTATAACGCAATGACCCTTTTAGTGTAAATCGGTTTCAGGCTGGAGCCTAACGTCTTGCGATATGAAGAAGACCATGGTAGAGACAGTTTATTCTATACACAAGATTATAGTGCACCGTGTCAAATGGTATGTGAATGTGACGATCATAAGCTTGGTTCAACCACTATGTTTGGTTATATTATTTAATACATTAATACTTTTTTAATGGAATATCGATTCACTAGGAAAAGTAAGGAGAGTACATGTACAACCCCTATAGTTTGCTGATAGCCGAATAAAGCGGACATTGCTGCGGGGAGGTGTCTCTTGCGTGTTAGACCTTATCACGAATTACGTAAACTGCACACGGACAAAGACCCTCAGAATCTTCCATCTCACAAGATCTCCACATCGTCTGGCACCTCATTGTTCGTTAAAGATGTCACTTCCTACACTTCCTTTCCTGTCTAACTATAAGGAAGTTTGTATAGCATCTGTGTGAAGTATGAGATTAAGTGATTATGAGCCTGTCTATTAATTAAATCACAGTAAACGTTTACTTATAGTTTGAAGGCCACTTTCTGAGCTGCGAGACGTAATACATTTAAGGCTCACCTCAAGAGACACTTTATCCCTCAGTGTAGACCAAATTTTTTACAATTTAATAATAACTAACTGTGGTCTATTAAAATAGTATGCAGATTTCTTATTTGATTATTTTTTATACTGGTAATGCCAGTGGCTTCGTGAGAAACCTCTAGCAACCTCTGGCCTGTGAAATGGACTGAAATATCAAGAAAAGGTCTCATATGCCATACACGTTTCTTCTTAAGCCAATTTGCAAAATACGAAAGTGTTACATAATATGATATACCACCGTTCTCATCCTCCGACCCGACATCATTTTGCATGTTCCAGCCTATAGGAACCATGGTTTGTAGAGATTTTAAAGTGCATCAGAATTGTTAAATACAAAATTGTTTATTTGAATACATAAAATGGTTTAATGAAAACACTTTTACAAATACTGGTTTACAAAAATATATGTTTTATTTAATTTTAATATTTTTTGAGGGAAATAATGAAAATTGGTTAAATGGGGTATCTGCATGCTTGAAATCACTTAGTGGTAGAATCGATCAAATCAATGCTTTTGCTGTTCATTTATAAAAACAAATGGTGTCTCACGAAATTATAAGAGTTTTCCTCCAGCTTACTGCAGTCATTTCTTTTCATTCTTCGCACAACAATAGAATAACGAGCCCATATTAAAGGACGACAGTTAGAAATCAAAACAAGAGTAAGACGAAGTGCATGGGTAGACAAAGGTCGGTGCAGTAGGCCTATGTTGCGGAGTCGTTTAGCAGAACAAACAAGTGACGTAACTTTCTCCGGAACAAGAGGCTGAAAGTGTGACCGAGGACACAATACTGGCAAGTGCTACACAGGACAGTCAGAGTAGCAGACGACATGTCGAGGTCCTGGGCCGCCGCCGCCGCTGTACTCGTCCTAGGCCTTCTACCCATCAGCAGCGCCGAGGATCACATACTCACCTACGGGTAAGTCAAGGAGTCTTGGGCACAATGCAGCTGAAAACTCTTTTGGTGGGTTTGATTGCCTAAAGCTATATTGTTAAATGACAAACCAAAATATGTTTTACACAAATAATTACCAACCTTTTAACACATTCAATTCTAATACGTTTGCACCTATGAAAACTCTTAGAAAATTTTTTTCCAGCAACTGGTGGGTTGGATTTTGTTTCAATGCAAACACATATCTGTTTCCTTTCGCTATATTTTTGGTTAAATAATTCTTCCAGGACTCTGGAGTTAAGTTTGATTAATGGCCTTTTTGAAATCAGTTTTAAACTGTATACTGTATTGTATATATCAATCTTGATTACTGTTTTTAAATGCACTAACGATTTTACCTGATGATCTACGATGTACAAACTGTAAATAATTATAAATTGTAGAGATCGATAATACAATTTTTCTTCCTCCCATAATGTGCAATATCAATAATAAACATTGGTTGCATTTTAGGAAGAAGTGTAGTAAATGCACAATAAATTACCAATAACACTAAACCATATAGACAACAATGCATATCAGCTGATTGGTAATGAAGTAAATAATCAAGGCTGCCAAATCATGAGCTTTTGTCTGTAAACAGTGCTCTTCACTTGTAATTTGCGTTGCATAAAAAAACCCTGTGCTTGAAAAATTAAACCTATTATACATACAGGTTAATGAAGTACAGGTACCAGCCTTATATATTTTATTTACATATATTATATACGTTTTCTAAATTATCAATATAATTTTTTATTAGTAAAACAATTAACAAAACAATGGTAGGAGAAGAATGGAAAGTAAAACATAAGCTGCTCTTCAACTCAAGGTGGAAGATGGATTGTATTGATTAAATTGGTCGAATGCAGTGATATAAATTAGGTTAAATACGTACAGTAGGCCTGTAAGTCATCTTCTTACTTCTTGTTATTTCAACCAAATTTTCAATATTGTATCAATGACATTTAACTATAGATTTAAGATACTCCAATTCAACTTTTACTTTATAATAGCACATAAACTGCCCGACGTTTTTATATGAGACACTTTCAAATAAATTTATTTATTGACTATACCTATGCGTTTATTCATGGATCAGCAATCAAGACTCTTAATTATTTGTAGAATAAGCAGTATTTATTTAGGGATAATAGCCTCTAGCATGTTCATTGGAAAACAGTATATTATTTCAACAGTGCGTAAACTGACTCTTTTCGACCAGAGCTCAAGTATTACGATAGAAGTGAAACCGAGGTCGGAAAATTGGTGAGGGTTGCTTACAATCGAAGTTTACAACATCTGACTATTACTCCCTAGAGAGTAAAAGAGCTATTTTGCCGCACTCGTTTTTTGCCATTCTCCAGTATTCCAACCAAACACAACACAAAACCGCGTGCTTTTATTAGGCACGTTATACGTGTACGCTTGAAAATAAGTTGGCAACACTTAAAGATAATACGACTACGATCAGCTGGTGCAGCGTAAGCGTTTGCTATTTCGTTCAGCTTGGATTTTGGATTTAACCTAATCTAAATCTAAAAACGTGTTGTAGGCCTACGTATAGTGTGTGTTTGGAAGACTAATTATATAATATGCTTTATAGCAACTATAGGAAAAATATAATGTGTAACGCCTAGTTGCACAAATAACTACAATAAAAAATTACTATCGTTGCCAACCTATTTTCAAGAGTACTCGTGCCTTATACAATCACACTATTTTGTGTTGTTTGGTTCCATACAGCCGGGTTTACACAAGGCCCCACTAGTGGTTTACACTATGTAGCAAAACCTGCTAAAAAACTTTCGCTATATAACATTGTTGTATAACTTTGCTATAAAACAATGCTATATAACTTTTGCTATACAAAAAAGTTACAGACAATTTTAGTGATTCCGGTGCTCGTGCTATATGCTATAAGAAGCACAACTTCATTCGTATTCCATATCGAAATGTCGCGCCGAAGAGACCTACACTGCTCGCGGTAGCTATCACGGTGATCTTAGGATTTTTAGGAAGTAGAGGTTTTAGATTCGATCGTTTTGTTGCTTCGAGAAATAAGTACAGTGTAGCAGATTTATTTCGGGACCTTAATGATGACGATCACAATTATGATCCATAATTAAAACGCGAAATAAGGCGATGGTAGCTTCAAAAACGTTTTACGTATGACCACAACACAACGCTGGTTGTCCACGGAACAGTTCAATTAAAGTTTATTATAAACTTTAAGTATAGCATCCCCCCAACTAAATTTGCAATGACATTCGTTGCGACAAACTAAAAATAAAACTGATAGGCCTAAAATACGGGAAACATATTACAAGTGTGATGTTGAACATTTATATTTTTGAATTATCCCGGGTAATAGCCTTATGGACAAGCGTACTTTCGTTACCGGCGTTTTGTCAGTTCTCTTTTCACAGTGTCACGTCAAATAGCATAATCATAATTGCGGGCACGAATACTATCGATGTTGACGTGATCACGGGGGCGGCTAATTACAGACGTTGATACGCTAGTTTAGGGTAGATAAGTTCAATGTTGCCGTGATTGCAACAGATGGTCATCAATAATTTCTTTTCCTACGATCACCTTGCCACTATTTCTGCGATTTCGGTTTTTCGGTTTAGACCAGTCACCATTTAAGTACAGTAAAATAGTGTACTTAATCAATACAATCATTTTGGCACCCATAAGGTGGTCGCCACCCACATTATTTAAGTATCGGTACAGATATCAACGTCTTCAGTACCGGTACTACCATCGACGATATTACCATCACCAGTACTGTACTTGTACATTTCCTAAGAACCGGTGCTATTGAAGATTGCCTTCAGGTACCAACAGCTGATAGTGACCATAAATCACTTCAATAAACTTGTTTAAATACTGTAATTTTTGTTCCAGACCTCAGCAAGAAACACTTTACACATTGGAGGGAGAAGAACGCAGTACACCCCACGTTTATAGACAAAAATTTAAAAGGTTTTTGTCTTTCAACAATGATGCGAGCAACATCAGAGTAAGTTATTGAGCATTCCTACTAACACTAAGTTATCTATATTTTTTTTATTTTTAAGGCGGGTTTATTAGCATGAATATAGTTATATAGTGATTTTGAGTAAAAACATGCTACAGGTACTCAAATTAGTTACACATACATTTTTAGACTATAGTACTGGTACTGCATTTATTTTAATTAAGTGGTCAAGTTTGTGAATTTCGATACCAGTAGGCTAATACAAATTTCAACTAACAAAATTCATTCACACCTTTGCTTCTCATACTTTGGACCCTTATTGCTGTACGGTCTTCCCAACGGCCTGGTAAAGCAATACATTTAAAGTATAGCTAAACTTTATGTTTTTTTTATTGTTAAGGATTGTCTAGTGTATAATGGCCAAATAGTAGAATAGAATATCTAGTACAGTGTCAAAAGTTGTTCTGAAAAGCTGATGTACCAGAAAAACACTTGATAGAGGCATTTTTATTTATTTATTTATTCAACACTATAAACCAAACAAGGCCAATCATTGGATTGGCCTTGGTATTGCCAAGGCTTTTTAACAATAAATTTAACTAATGTTTAAAAAAAAGACGGCAGCTTAATTAGTTATTTATTAATTAATTATTGATTAAAATAAGTATTATAATTATTTTAATTATAACATTAATTATTTTAGCACCCTTGGTTACTTTACGTATATCCCCTAGGTGTGGTACAACAAGATACTTTGATGGTTACATGCTTTTATATTTAAATTTTATAACGGATCACAAAAACCTCAAAGTTTATGTTCTATACTGTGCAGGTGGAGATGGTGTTTGCAGTGCCTTTTCTTCACATTCCCATCGGAGGCAAGACTGTGGAAGGTCCCTACGGCAACGGCGTCACTCCCGTGGTGGACATCAACGCTAAGTCCCTCCTCACTGCCAGTGTGCTGCTCTTAATGCTGTTCTTCGTCATACCCAAGATAGTCAGGGTCTTTGTACCTACAGCTCCACAGGCCAGAGGTACACAAGACAAACATATGTAGTACAGAAATTTATGAAAATTTGGACTCTACAAATGTTTTTATGGAATGTTAAACATTTTTGTTTTAACAGTCCTCAAATCTTTTTTTATACATTCTATTTTATATATTATTGATTCCAAAACAAATTTCAAGAATAGCTACTGGTCTTCTAGAGTAGATATAGTGCTCATCCTTATACTCAAATAATTATTGTGAATACTGTACTTGGCACACAAATTCAAACCTATTACCAATGAATACAGAACCTTATGAGAAGCAAAGGTTCTGTATTCATTGCTTTTACTGGCCAGCTACTGCATTTCTGAAGTCTTTCTCTCATAACTTTGTATAATAACTAGAAATACTACACAAAGTAGTTAGTAGATAAATTAGCAAAAGAAGCAATTTCAGAAGATACCACATTACAGAATACAGATACCAATTAAAAATATTAAAAAAACCACTGACAATCACATTACAAAAAATTATGGAACAAACCTTTTCTCAAAACAAACAAGCAAATAGGTACAAAATATCAAAAACTAATACAAAAAGATGGGTTAAAAAACAAAAATGAATTGATTAAATCTTAGTGTTCCTGGCTGGTGGGTTCTTCAATCCAGTTTAACCTCTTTCAGTTTAGGAAAGTCTGCTTGATAGACCCCAAGCAGAGAAAATTCTATACTCTGACCTTCATCAATGATCCCATCAGACCATTAGACAATATACCAATCATTATACTACAAAAAAAAAGTAACCATTTTGGGACTGACACATTATTCTTTTTAGAAGGCAATATCCCAAAGAAATCAACCAAAATGTAAAAAAGATGTAAAATATTGAACAATGCAGCTGCATTGCTTATACCCAGCAAAGCCGGAAAATTGATAGGCAAAACAGAAAAAAGAGTTTGAAATTATATGGAAATTTATAAATTTTCTGTAGGGAGGACTTTAGGATTATAATTTCCAAAAGTCTCAAGTTCATGTTTTCCATAAGGGATTGTTCAATCCCCAAATCCAGTTTGTGATTCCCTTTACCAAATCAAATTGTCTTTATTAGTATGCAAGTAAACATAAATAGTGTCAGTTAGTTGGACCATGTTATGATGCCGACAGTGGAAAAAGAATTTATGGGAAAACTAAGTAATGTAGAGCTCTTACACCCTTCCCCTTGGATCATTACTAGTTTATAATACAATAACTAAAGACCATTTCCCGCACTCGTCTTTATCATTATTCTGAAAATGTACTATCTTCCTAGCGGTTTACACATATAGATCTATTTATGAAATCTGTATTTACCTGTCAAAGTATTTTTACACTTCAGTTTTATGGCAAAGGACTGTATATTAAATTGAAAATTTCAAAATCAATCCTGATTTTCTTATTATGCTAGGAAGATTCTCATTTTCAAGCATGATTTCACACCTAGATCATACTTTTTACAGCGTTTGAGGAAGGTGAAGTGAGTCGTGTTATCCGAGGAGTGGAGGAGGTATTCCACGTCAACAGCACAGCCTGTTGGCAGCAAGGGGTGTGTTCTCTGGTACAGGCCGGACGACGCAACATCCACAGCGACCATCCCTCCAGCTGGGGCAAGGTGGTGGATGGAGTCTCCAGGTGAGACTGCTAAATAATATTGACAACTGGCACTAAAGTGTAAACACAAAGTAATAACTAGTAGGGAATATTATGATTCTTGTGGTAATTGTCTGGGACTTCAAATAAGATCAGACAAGAATTCTCTCACCAATCACCAATATGATGGAAAATATAATTTATTCCATACATTGTATGTTTACAAATACTGTATTGAGGGAGAACGTTTGGCTTTCGTTATAAGAGAAAAACTCTGTCTCTGGAACTTAGTATGAATTATGGACTCAAGCAGAAAACTAAAGTGTGCTTATATTTTTTCTTCAGGGAATTTTACCAACATCATTTGAAGGCAGTTTTTGGAAACTACATAGTAATAGATAAACATGATGGTGTAAGATGCATTGGCTATAGTCTGTCAACTAGGGAAACCTGACGAGGAAAATTGGAATGAAATAAATTAAAGTCATGAGTACAATAAACCTCCTAAGTATGTGCTCAGATTTCGTGGTTTTGTCAGTAGTAGCGATGTTGTGGGTTCGGGTTCTGGTTTCTGTCACTACTTATGATCAGTATTTGGATACAGAAGGTATAGTTCACCTTTGTACTGTACCAGCTCACCCCTTGCTTTGCTGGATATGTTTCACGCACAGGCCTCTGTGGCCCATGAGGACGGGTAAATGCTAAAGGTTTAAGGTTATAGACAATTAAGGAAACAGAATCTGTAAACCTCTTGAATAAAAAATAATAATAAAAGACTGTTGAAAGACATAAGATCAACAAACTGTCTGGCACGGTATATCACTGTTAAAGTACGGTATCGAAGTAGAATGGTAGCATGTGTACAATTAATTGCAATATCGGTTTGATTAAATTAGACCTACCTATGTTATATTTCTTACTATTGACATGATATAATATAATAGATAATTGTTTGGTGATCAAATGAAGAATATTGAATCTATGATCTAAAAAAGTATAATTTCAACATCTCAGTTGTTAAAATTTGTAATAAACTACGAAGGAGTTGTGTTCTGAAGAACTGTCTTACTAAATTGTGCTCTATTTACTAAGCAATTATAATTAAGTGTATTATACCAAGAACATATTTAATGTACAGTATGCAAAATTATTCTCAGGTACTGCTAGTATCTCCTATTCTTTGACCAAACGGAAGCACTGGTTAAGCTGATATCAACTTAATATGTATAAACAATGAAAGCTCTACAAACACAAGAACTGTAGAGGATTTTGAGTTATTTGTCCTTTATTCAAATAAAGTTAATGGACTTCTGAGTCTAGCCCTTTGCAACCATTCGTAAAGTGCGTTGAAGTATTTTTAAGGTAGTTACTGCCATAGTGAATTGTTTTCATTCGTCACAGACAATCTTTTCATAATTTGTTTCTTTTACTAAATTACATGATGTCCTGTTGACAGACTTGATTGTATTGTTTCAGTTTGAAGTGGGTGGAGAAGACAATGGCTGGAACATGGCTAGGCGAGGCGGTCTCCTCAGCCAAGCAGGACAATGACGGCTGCAAAGTGTTTTACAATCAATGTCCGTTGAGTCCAGACAAGCTCACTCATTTCACCAAGGAGTTGGCTAGAAGATACATGAACCATCTCATACATCTCCACAATACCAACACTGTGAAATGATCACTTTTATGTGGTACTAATCCAGGTCCAACAAATACTGTAACTTATAATGGAAAAGTATTTTATTATAGAGCCAGGTTCAGCGTGTATCATATGGAAGAAATTTACTTTTGACATATTGAGTCTATTGGAAAATTTGCACCATGGATCTCTTTGCAGTCACTGTATGTTAAAATTATAGGGGGACACTTTACCATGCAAAGTTTACATTGATGTAAGCCTGTCATGATTTTTTTTACATAACTACATTATTTAGTTGAAAATGAAAATAACAAGACCTAAAATTGCTATGATAAATTTCCTGTTGTTGTATGTTTAAAGTCTTAATTATATTGCCTAGAACACCTATGCTTTCCATAATGAAATATTTGAAATGAAGATCCAAAAAGAGACTCAGTAAACATAACCTGCGTGGTAATTTATTATGGCCATGGTAGGACCCTGAGTCGTTAAAGAGGATGTGATTCAAAATAAATTTACAGAATAGAGAATTCATGCAGTTTTCAATCATAGAAAAATTAATACGGATATTATTATTATGTCAGGTTCAGATTACAATCCCTGGAGGAAGATGGGATGTTAAGGTTTCCTTATGAAATTAATCATCTATACGTTTAATCTGCTCATTTTTATTACTGAGATTTAGCTATATGTAATTTAATAAACTACTACAAAACAAAATAGAAACATTATTTACAAACCTTAAAACTATATAAAAACATGTTTTAAAATAATTGTACTGTTTCCTATGGAAATAACTCTTGAACAAACTATTTTCCTGTATCACATTTTCTTTGTCTTTATTCCATGTAGTTTTAGTAAAAATAAAGATTGATTTTACTTTAAATCGTACACAGATCAATATACTATACAGAGCTTTTTAAAATGTCTTTGATTTCTTGGTTCTCCGTTTTTGTGGCCATTTCTAAGGCTGTTAACCCTAAGAGATCTTTTGCTTGGGGATCAACTCCATTTGACAAGAGGAATTTTGCAATGTCAGCATAGCTGTGCAATGCTGCCTGTAACAGAACAAAATCAAACATTACACATCTACAAACTGAAGACAGCTCATTTTAATAATCCATCAGTAAAAAAAACGTGTGACTGTTAAGGAATAATAATGCATTATTAAGAACATTTTATGTCTCTAGTTTGACCAAAACAAACAATCAGCTAAACTATAATCTCTTACAAATAGATACAGTACAGTAAAACCTACAAAGGTAAACATTTAAAATTTGTATCCTTTATTTAAAACACATTGTAAGAGTAGATTATTTTTATTTTTGCTTGTTTTTGCAATAATTTTTAAAGTTTTGGTTTGGTTTGCGACCACCATACAGATTACAAACAGAAAAATGATTGCAAATAAAACTTATTAAATAAATAAAATGATATAAACCCTTTTCCAAATCTAGAGACGAATATGAATTTGAAAATTCATGCCTAGTACTAAAATAGCATATGTAAAGTGGTTGTAATGTAAGTTATAACTAATAACGGAGGATTTTTTGGCACTCGAAATGCCTATGTGATTGCCTAGTTCCACCAAGACCTTTAAGTACAATATCATCTGATTTCTCAAGCAACACTGGATTATACTCCCGTCATAAAACTTAGGCGGTTTTAGGGGAAGAAACCTATCCCCTCCACTTGATCATACCTTTGAAATAAAAGCTCAACAGCAGCGGTATGTAAACATCAATCAGCTGCGACATAAACAAAATACCCCTGCCGCAGCAAACCTGCCGACTAAGCGAATTTCCATTTGTCTGAATTGATTTTCAGTTAAATATATTTTAATAACATTAGGTTTAACGAGTACCTAGGTTTGCTGCTACAAGGAAACTAATAAAGTGTGTTTTTGAGGAAAATATTGATAGCTTAGTACAAATTAAATAAATTTGCCAAGTTTGATCAAAATATATCCATAAACAAGCAAACTACAACATTTGACAATATTCTCCATAAGAATAACATGGGAATTTAAAATTTACAATTTTTTTAATTTTCTCCGTTACTAATAATCGAACAAAATACTTTTGTATACTAAATTATTTGTTTTTTTAAGCTCTTTAAAAAGGTCTAAAGAGAAATCGGGAAATTTTGTATTTTGAGGGTCAAAAGTGAGAAAAACCAATTTTTACCCCATAAAACCCCCTGTAAAGCCCCGTTCCCATGGTCCGATCGTGCTGGTTCGCGAACTCATTCAAGTTTATCCCGCTTTACACCTTTAAACCAAATTACATCAAAATCGGACAAAAATTACTCAAGTTATCGCGTTCACGGACGTATATATATATATATATATGTCTATATATATATACATATATAAAAATTTGAACGAATGGTGTTTTTGGCCTCTGGGGACATCAAAATGAAAAAGTAAATCGGTCCCGGGTCTAGGTCTTACCGTGCCACCTACGGTAATAGCTACTTCCCTATAGGGAAATTCGCTAAAAGTAGGAGAAAACTTCCCCTCAAACAGCCTAAGTTTTGTGGACGATGGTTAATATTCTGTGATGTTTCTGTCTGTACCATGTGCAGAGCAGTGCGGCCGCTGATATCTGGTTGTCCCAGGTTGGCTCCGGCTGCATGATATGACTGCAGCCTCTTCAAATTGCCATAGCTTGCAGCACTGACAAAACATCACAAACATTGTATCAACTAAATTGAAAAAACAATGCTACATTTTACTTTATTTATTTATGCTGCAAATGACCAGCAAAGATCTTACTGAAGGAAACTAAACTAATTTATGGTCATGTCGGAAAGTCACCATCTTACTTTTAGAGGGATATATCAATTAATACCCTTATGTCATGTTCAGTAGAAAATATAGAATGTTTTTTTTTTTTTTTTGCGAGGGGAGGGTAATATAAGGTTGCGTTAAGTAGTTTTAAGTAGACATCCGTACTTTATCTTACTTTTGCTTCTTATTCAGGGGTAATTTACGCTGAAAGCCACTTTTACTTTACCTGGATCATGGTTCTTTTTTGTTCTTTATTTTCTTCATATCCATATTTTATTCCCTTTAAAATGTACATATATGCATAATTATCAGATAATCTTTACTTAATTACAGTACAACTCTAATTATCTGAATCAATTAGGACAGGACCCCATTCAGATAATAAAAAATTCAGATGATTGGATTTTTACAGAAATTTCGGTCATTGTAAAGAAAATAGGCCGAGTCATGCCGAGCTTTTACTATTGCGATCGTTTGTAAATTTACACTATATCCACAATCACATAGTAATTATTATATAATTTTTATATTATTTCTGTAAGTGATTTGGAAAATCGGCGATTCGGATGGTTATTCATAGGATGTCCTTATCAAAAGACTAGTTCCATCAGTTCTACTATGTGAAATCTGGTTTCCATGTTAATATAGTGATTGAAACTTCGTCTTGAAATTCATTACAGTTTGTAAACAAGCAGAGGTACTTAAGTAGAAAAAAGAGGAAACCCTATCAGCACACTCATTTGATACCAGTTCATAATTTCAACATGGTGTTGAGATTGGGCAAAACCAATCTCCTTAACAATTATTACCTGCAAAGCTGGCAGCCGATCTGGTTGGGTGTGAGTGTGAGGTGAGCTCCGCACCTTCGTAACAGTTTGATCACTTCCACGTGATCATGTTTGACAGCATCCAACAGTGGGGTCTGATCAAACCTGTCCTTCATGTGAACACTAGCTCCGTTGAGCAGTAGAAACTTCACCACTTTAACATCACCTATCGTGCAGGCTATGTGCAGTGGCGTCCGCTTGTCTGGATTGGTAGCAGAAATGTCAGCTCCGTAGTTCTTCAACTCTGCAATCTTCCCTGTGTCACCTTTTTCCACAGCTGAGGTCAACATCGCTGGGAACAGGATGGCGTGCAACATCTTCACCTCCGTCGGGGATGAGATGTGCATTGATCTTGCAACAGCATCAATCAAATCCCAATCCTCCAAAACTGGTGTTTGGTTTATTTTACCACTCGTTAGTTCCCCTCGCAGATTGCTTTCCAGCATCTAGAATTAAAAATTGTTAAGTAGACTTTCATGGGAACTATTAAGTCACATATAACTTTAACTATACAACAAGTATATAATCCTTAATCCTTAGCAGATTTATTATTTTGATTTCCTTGTGTTTGCCAGAGGATGATGTTATCACTTATGTCAAATAGACATCAAGAACTTGACTGTCACCATATTAAATCTTACAAAGAAATCTGCTAGAATTCAAAGACAACTTAAAAAAAAGAGATTGTAGGTAAATACTGCAAGTCATCACTCACTTATTTGTACATTAAACTTTTACAAAACTGTAAATTAATTCCTAAAAGGAATAGAAATGTTTGGCACACAACAATATACTTTAATTATGTATTGTGTTTGGACATAGAATTCACATAGAAATTGCTCCACAAATTACAATGTTGGTAGAAAATCTACTTTTACCATCTACTGTGTAGTAAATTAGGAATAGAACTATGCCCTACTTAGAAAAGAATTACTGTACCAAAACATTCCTTTGAAACAAATAATACAAGGGCAATTTTACCTTCTTTAGATGCATTAGAATAAGGTCACAACACCTTAAATTATTGGTAAGTAGGCTACCTAATTTTAGCACTACAGGCAAAAACTGTTATTTTAAAAAATTTCAGAAAATGAATAACTAATGAAACAGGTCTAATACAGTCAAAAAATTAAATATTTCAATTCTGCATTGAATGTTGAAAGGTTAGTTTAAAAATAAACATCTGTAGGAAAAACGACCATAAAAACTCAGAGGTACATTTAAAAATTATTATAGAAATACCTAATCTTTAGGAAAACAAATTATTACTCATATCTCACATTTCTCTTGGTATTGAGGTCCCAGTCAGACTTTGACAGGACGTAGGCAAGTTTTGTAAGAGCAGCCTCAGGGGTCATGTCATAGCCAGGTATTACACCTGAACTATACAGCATCTGAAATAATAGTCTCAGTGTGTAAATTAGAATTTGTATATTTTGTACATTTAGCAAGCATGGTTTTTAAGAGCATGGGTCAAACACTGGTCACACTTGTTACTTTCTTACTTTAAACTTTTGTTAGGTAGCATCGTTAATTGATATACCACTAATATAAAGATTAACAGATGGCATCTAAATCCAAAACTAACTTCAATCGGATTGAACCAGCAATACATATGGATAAAATAAATATAGACATGTAGTGTGTTTCAATAACTTCAGTTTCATACAACGCTGTGCTCTCCTCACTAGCTATCCATCTTTTTAAATATGTACAAATGCTTTGCCTTGAATTTTAACTCTAATTGCTAAAAATGCTTGTTTCTTCCCAGAGCTCAGATTTTTTTCATTTACACATTGGCATTTGACATAGCGATTTTCCCATATATTCATTCGCAAGTCAGCAAGAGAATGAAAAACATTGTTGTAATTAACACTGTGCAAGTTGTTAATTAAAGGAAACAGCCCAGGTTTTCATTTTCTTGAAATTATGATTTTCAAGGGCTTTTTTCCCATAGTAAACTATAAAATGACCGACAAATTTAGTAAAAAAAACGGCTTGACCAATTTTGATTTAAATCCAGCGTGTTATAGTCCTTATGACAAGTGTTTGACCCCTATTGCTGCAACAACTACAGTTCAAAAGATATTGTAGCTTTGTGATTTTCTCCATAAAATATCATTGTTAGTCCCACCAGTATCCATGATTGTTGACAAGCTATAACGAGAGAAAGTGTGTGTCAGATTGTCAGTTGTTTTTTACTAAATTTGCATAGATATTATGCATTGACTTGACATGTCAAATACTCACAGCTTTGCATGTCAAATTCTACTCTGTCCATTAGTAAGTGTAGTCTGTAGTGCTCACCTTGCCAGTTTCGTAGGCAGGACACACAGAGCCTGTGGCACATTGTGTGATGTTGATGATGAGCACACCTCTCTTGGCTGCTTCCGCTATCACCTCCAGTAGGTCCACCCTGTTGCTGGGCATGTTGCCTGACCCGTACGTCTGCAGCACCACTCCCTCTATGGGGGGCTTCAGAAATGTCTCCACCTGCCAAATACACCCTCCCAATAGTGTTGTACTATGACATATAAATATTCACAATATGACACGCACTATACAGGTATACTCCAAGGTAAATTTGTTAGATATTTCAAGTGTTTAAGATTATAAATCCTACCTAGATAACTACTGATTCATTGAACAAGTGGTTATGGTGCCTAATTTTACAAAAATATAACAATATGATGTGAAGATTCGATTTTAAAGTTACAGTTACAGTATTTGTTTCATCATTATAATTTAAATAACTCTGCCGTAGAAAGTGGCAAAAGACAAATTTGGTTTTTAAAAACGTAGGTTGGCAGCATTTACAAGCAATTGAATGCACGGGAAACTGGCTGTGTTAGCATCGGCGCGGACAAAACTTTTTGTGTTTCTGAAAATATTTACTTTTTTCACTTGCAACGTTAATTGTTTGGCAAGGCTATTCAATAAATCAGTTGGTCAGTTAACTTAGCTGAACTTGGTAACTTAACAATCCCAAGGACCCACTAGAAAAACAGGCCTTGCTGCAGCGCGGGCAGCGCAACACTACATCACAGTGGTGGATAGTTGTACCATAGATTAAACATACTCCCTTAGGAAGTATGTTTAATCTATGGTTGTACTAAAGTTGCCGGGCATAAACAGCCAGCCTATTTACCAAAAACATATGGGATATCGATATGGCAGTAAATATATCCACAAGTGTGACGTCATGCATCCTGCAGCATGGCCTGTTTTTCTAGTGAGGCCTTGACAATACACTCTTTCTTTAATTACTTATTGAGTTGAATATGTTTGGTTATATATGTTTCCAAAACTTAAATGTATTGTAGTTTAAAACAATTAATAACAATCTGATCAGGAATTCAAGGTATTTAGTTTTATATATGGTTTTCTGCAAATAACACAAAGGTTTCTCAACAAGAATTTCCATTAAAATAGTGAATAGAGAAGAAGAAATTAATAATTTGGCTAAAAATAATAACAAGAATTAATTTTCCAAAATGATGCTTTTTTGTACTCACTGTTTTTGTTTGAATACTTGGAAATACTCTAAGAAGCCCAACATTCTGGTTTAATTCACAGTGGACAACAAACTTCTCCAAAGTGCAAGGTCGGAAGATAGAGCGATAGTCAACTGTAGAAAAAATTATTATAATAATGTCGATATCGCTATACATTATGAAATTAAATCTGAAAACTTACCAACAGTGCATTTATTAATATAGCTTACACATGAAGACTCTATAAATTAATAGAATCCAACACCCATTAAATAGGCCTAAGTAATGAGGAATTAAAAAATATATATATTTATTGTTTACTGCCCCACAGACTAAAGAAATAGGGGGGGGGGGCGAGCTAGGAGGGCCCGTGAGCAGCAGGGATTGTTGACAGGGATTTTTCGGGAAATTTTATCGGGACACAGGCCCGCGATTGTGGGAAAGGCTCAGCCACATGGGCCCCCTTTCATAAAAATATTTATATGAGAATTACCATAAGTTTTTTATGATGAAAATTTGTTAAACCCAGTGCTCCACTAGGACAAGTAGTTTAAAAGAGCTAAACTGACACTATTTCTTGACCGATCGATATGAATTCCCTACCAACCTAAGTAAAAGAATTGTCATCAGTCATGCAGGTTACATCAACTGTTCTCGTGGACTGTGTGAAGGCGCTATAATAGGGCCGTATTTAGAACCAAAGTGGCCCCCGGCCTAGGAGGATAAAACATTAATGTTAATCCTCCTAGCCCCCGGCGGGTGACACCAGAGAGGGCCGATGGAAGACGATGATGACGCCTCGGTGCCTCGGAAGATGCCGTGCCAAGCTAAAGTGCAAGTTTAGGCGGTAATACATGTGATAATGTTTTAAAGATTATTGGGAGAGGGGGGCCCGGCGAACAAACTTGCCTTGCCAACAAACACCGGCCTACGGGCTCTTATTGCCGCCACTGGATGGGTATGGGAATAATTTGTGGATAATGATAACAAATTATAAAACATGTAAATAAATTGTATAAACAATGTCTCTTTCTTAAAAGCTTTTAGAATTAAGTAATATATTTAGTTAATATGTTGAAATACCTTCAAAGTGGATGCCAGCAATGACCAGAGGAGGAGTGTTTGGTGAGTCAAAAGCATGAAAGCTTTCAGAACTAACTTTTGTAGTGCGGTTGCCTCTCAGAAGCTTGTAGTTAAAAAATAACGTTACTTCAGGAATGACAAAGTTACCAGCAATTAGTAGGGAAGACAAAAAGTTGTCTATACCATCACTTCGCACTTCAAAAATTGAAATCTGAAACACCACAGAGAAACTTATATTATAAAAACATTTGGTTAGCAATTAACATCTTCTTAAAAATAAGAAGGGCGAGGTGAAAATGGAAAACCTAATTTTTTACATTTCATGGTGAGTACCGCAACAGAACACATCTGTTATGACTATTATTTTTCTTATATGAGTTCTTCTTGCTAACAAAAGATATTGTATAGTGTTATGTTGGTAAATGTTCTTTTGACGATAGACAAACATCTTCATTAACATTATTATTATCAGTAATTACTCGTGGTAGTTAAGTACACCTTGCAACGTAGTTAGGTGAATATCTCTGTACAAATATTATTTGTTTATCATTTGGAATTGTTTTGTTAGTTTAGTTTGGTCTATTTTGTTTTTGGTGGACACTTGCATTCTTTGTTTTGGCATTATTTGGTTTGATAACTTCTTAGTTTGTTAGAGGATTTCACTACTGAGGTCTGTCACTTGCCAGACCTGTCACGTCACGTGTTGTTGCCTGTCACGTTGTTTCATAGTTTGTTGATTTTCAAATTCTAAACTACTAAAACTAGCACATTAAACAAAAATAAATGTTATGATTTTTTTTGCTACTACATTTCTTCTAAAGAAATTGAGATTATGCCTGTTTTTCCATTGGGATTTTAGTATATGGTAATAGTTTGATGCCAATTAAAATACACAGATGTAATTAGTTATTACTATAGGAATGTTTCAGTACTTCGGAGATAAAGTTTTGGTGGGATAGGACAAAGTAAATTAATCAGTAGGCGGAACTATTTTCCCCTATATCAAGTTATCTTCAGAGTAATCTTTGCTCAATAGTTACAACTGATGTTTTCCCCTCTGTACTGTATTTTGTAATTTGCTAGTATACTGTGGATGGCTTGTTATTAACACATCTGACAACTCTTTGTTTACCTTTTCCTTGTTAATTTGTTCAACCAACATAGTTACATGGCTAATCTTAAGGCCAATGTTAAATTTCTAAATTTTCAAATGAGTTGTGTAGTAAAATTAGAATTTTCTTGAGGTAGGCTTGGTATATATTACAGACAGACAACCAGAGACATAGTTCGTGTTAGAGTATAGGATTTAAATATTTTAGTCAGCAGATTTGCTGCTGCAGGGGTGGACAAGTTATTGTTGTCCTGAGACTCACCACTCACGTACCTGAGCGCCTGTGATGACCACTGTCTTGCCCAGGTTCTCCAACATAAAGGACAGAGCAGAGGCTGTGTAGGACATTGTGTCAGTCCCGTGGAGGATGACAAAGCCATCGTAGAACTCATAAGCTTGCTACAAGGTCAATCACTCTATTAGATCATTAAACAATTAACAATTACTATAATCTGTGTAATATTAATCAAAAGGGGTAGTTTTTTTGTGAGGTGCAAAAAGTACTCAAGCTAAGCTGAATTTTACACAATTTAGCTTATGAACTCAGCAATTGAGATATTTGTGTTTTTAAAGCTTGCTCAAACTATATGACCTGAGGATGTACACGATTAATAAGTGTAGGTAGCTTAGGGAAAATTAATAGTTATACTCTCCCTGGCAAAAACGAACATATTTTTTTAAAATCTTAACTTTTTTATGTTACATTTGAATTCTGTTTCTATAATCGATCGTATGGGTGAGTAAATGATTTATAAATTCGATTTAAAGAACCATATTATTCTCTACTGCATACCCCTTCAAAATGAGGGGTCACTCAATAGGGATTGCTATTTAAAAAAAATAAGTCACAACCCTACCCCCTACCCTGTCAGGGGGGTTGAAAAATATTTTTGATGGAAAAGATCACCACTTACCATCTTTTTACCGTCTTGTGAGTAACAGTATAAGCGTAAATATATGTTTTAAGTATCATAAGACGTATCTTTATGTACTTTCCGTAAAAGATTGCGGAACCTTTGTTACAATCAATGCCATAAACAGAATATTTATATCTGTTTCGGTTTTAAAAATACAGATTTGTTTCCATACTTAATATACACACATGTATATAGATATAGATTGGTAACTATGAACTCAATTTAAATTTAACCCTATAACTGCCAGAGTTTGTTTACAAGTTGGTTTACTCACATGAATGTCATAAGCTATAGTGCTCCAGTCCGCCATGGTCATGTTACTGGAGTCCAGCAGAGGTTCGTACTCCGTGATGGAGTACACTATTCTGTGCATCCCTTGAACATTCCTGAGGCATACATCATGTTTCTGTAATGTCTACATTGGTAAGAAAATTCATAAGTAAAATTTAAGATACCTACATAATTTAAGCAGGTTTCCATCATATTCTTTCATACATACACTTTTAAGGTTGAGAATAATTGAAACTTTACTGTTATATGATGCTCAACATTTCTCTGTCAAGTATGATAGTTTTTGCACATGATAGATGTGCAAAATAGATTTTTTTAACTTATATTCATCACAAAAAATCATATATTGTGTTGGTAGGTTGTGTTTAAATGAAAATAATATTGAAGATGAAGCAATCTATCATCTAAACTCAGTGACAATATTATGAGTTTGATCACTAGTTGAGTATGGGTTGTTCTATAACTTTTGTTTATTGACTGCAGTTCTATAACAAACAAATCAATATTAACTTTTTACTGTATACTAAGCTTATCCTATTGGACAGGTTTGTAAAAAAAAAAAAATTATTATTAGGGGGTAGCCTACGATAAAAAATCAACATATTTTTTAAATTTTGAGTGATTAGGATGAAAATGTGTGAAATTATAGCTTATGAGATCACAAAAACCAAGCTACTAACGGAAGAACTAGCGGTGCCATGTCCGAGGATGAGCCGAACATCGCCTTGGCGTACTTAGCATCATGCATCTGAGGATTCTGACGGAGCTTTTTCTCAAACTCATTAGGAATAGGAACCAGAGCTGCGAACATAGTTGTACATGAAAATCGTACACGGTAACACATTTTAATACAACATTTATTCTATTTTATTCTAACATTTACAATTCCTAAATGTTAGAATAAAATACAATTTTCTATTTAAAGATGAAAAATAGTAATAAAGTTAAACAGGAATATATACATCTTTATTAGATTATTCTTATGAAATCAAACATGAATAAAAACACAAATCCTTGATAAGATTTAGGTATTGATGGACACCTTCAGGGTTAAAACTAATTAAAACTAAAATTAAAACTAAATTTAAAATTATCTATGGACTGTAAATGTTTTGAACAGATCGTAACGACAAACAAGTATGTTTTAAGTTTTGAAACTGCAATACACTGCCTCTAGTGTATTTCAAGGCAGCTGGCAACTGATCATAACGTGGCTGTACATCTCTTCCTGGAATTCTTATTGTACTTACTTTGTGTAGTCAGTGGTATCATAAATAATTAGTTTGAAACCACCAACTGGGAAGCCAAGTGGTTTAGATATACAGTAGACATCCTCTTTTCCGGACATCTTTTAACCGGACTACACTCGGCGGAAATGACATCTCTTTAACCGGACAATTTTTATCAACACATTGGTTTAACCGGACTAACCGGACTACACTCGGCGGAAATGACAGCCCCTTAACCGGACAGTTTTTATCAGCACATTGGTTAAACCCAACCCAGCGAGCACAGTTTAACCGGACTAGATTGGCAGGAAGTTGGCAGTACTGAAACGACTGTTCTCGTGGGAAAGATTTGAGACCAGTGATCACGTGTCTAAATACAATGCTCTCCTAAATTTAAGTCGAATACCACAGTAAAAACAGTCCGTTTTAACGAGTTTTTGGGGACGTCAGTTTAACCGGAAAACCCGTTATCCGGACAGGCCTGGGTCCCGAGGAGTCCGGAAAAGAGATAGTCTACTGTATTTAATGGTGGCTGGTGATCCCAGCAGATTTCATTTTTAACTGAACTATTAGATATTAATTATACTTGATTATTATAACAGTTAACATACTATTATCAAAACCAGGGTCCCTTGAAAAAAAAGTTAGGAAATTAGCTAATTGCATTGGCTTATAAACAAAATGAAATAACAACATGATAAAACTAGTATTTGTTAACACTGATTAACTTATGTCACCAAAGGATGTGTCACACTTTATTAAGTAAATGTTATCTCACCCTTATCACCACAAACATTCCATCAATAGTTGTATTAATTATCTTAGGCTTGGTATGTTTGTACACATTATATTTCAGTTAAATAATATAAAGTATTTTTTAACAGAGCCATTAACTTATAAAAACATAGTACATTTTTATGGGACGTTAATTAAACAACTTTTAATTTAAGTAAAAACTAAATAAATGGGTTAAAGTCCAAGGTTACTTAAGTTTTATTCCTTAAACAATTTCAAACAATGCAGAACTCCCAGTGTGAGTAGCGAAACATTCCATTGGCCATTATTTTGCTGATAAGGTCAATCTGTTCTGTTGACCTGTAGATTATCATTATTGTATAACACTCAGTCTAGTGAGGGATATTTTATTGATTCATAAACACTTCAATTCTGTATGATAAAGGGTAATGTTGATGTCTTCTTCCAACAACTTTTAAATTGAAGTCTTTAAGAAGCAGCACTACTTATCAAGTTTATCAAAATAGATTGGAATTTTAGATTTTATTCCCACAAATTGTTGAAGATGTCTCTCATGAATACCAATGGATGTCCTTGTCCTAAACCAGCTAATTTGAATTCCTCAGACGAGTTTGCAAGTTAACTAAAACACCTCTTTCAATTCTTAGTTTCTCTTCACCTTTGGAATTTCAATATTTTGATCGCTAACAGCATACTAAACAAACCGGCAAATTCATAGACAAGGAGATGCTTTCAGACACCACAATTTTACTCATAACAGTACTTGTTCATTATCTTCTTGACAGAGCTGCGAACAAAGCACTTTGCAAGTTTTTAAATATTTGAGATAGGTGAAAACTCTGTAAACAAAAACACCATAATGTCGAGGATGAGCTGAAAAAATCACCGAATTTGAATGTTTAACATTGGTAGATTGTTCAATGGGTTCAGCTTCGGAGTTACTGGTGTTAAATATTATCACTACAGGCACAGACAATATAATACAAACGTTCATGCTTCTATTAACATTTCCTAATTTAACTTTAGTATGAATGTACTATTTGACGATTTACAAAAACATTTCAGACGATAACTCATATTTCAAGTTTATTGATTCAAAAAAGTAAAACAAAAAAATTCTAGAAAAAACTAAATTGGAGAAAACGTTGAAGAATAAGTTAATTGTAGTGGTGAAGAGAATTGAGATGGGTGTTTTGGCAAGTCCAGTTGTTCAGTCACCAAATTCTGACACAAGAGTGTGACCTTTTTAAAAATGTCCTTTTTTTATTAGGTATTAGGTGGATTAATATCATTGAGTGATAAACAGGCTTTGTTATATTAGTAGAAATTATACCTTAATATGAGCAATATTGGATTAAATATGAAGCCAAAATATGCATGAATTTAGTTTAAATGTTAGCTACAAAAACGTCCGTTGCTCAGTTTAATTAGGTTATTGATTTTTTATCACATTTTAGCCGTCCCTTCAAACCACCATTGCTCTTTTGACATCGATGTTCTTAGCAAAAAATATTGAGGCTAAACGTCTTTAATAGCCTAGGTAGTAAATTATTCATGATTCCGCCGAGACAATAAAGGGAACCCATCCTTAAAAACAGTCACTTTTATGTCACTTGTTGGAAATTAATTAAACCCAGACAGCAAACAAGGTTAGTTTGTCGAGAACGACCGTTGACAAGTAATTTACATGCATATTGACTGAACCCCTGATTGATAAATTTAAGTAATACACTTGGCGATTCACCAGGACTCAAGCTGAATATTGGATGGTATTTGCCAAGATACACATTTTACTAAGGAAAATGTCACTTTGATGTTGATCGACCTCAACATTTACTTTGTCACTAGCAGAGTACCCGTCCTTCGTACGGGGTTGACATATAATATAAGTATAAATTGCTTAAGTTGTACTCAAGCTTTGCGGTTGACAATGGGGGAGGACACAGTTTGATAAAATTTGTTTCTTTAAATTTACGGTATACTAAAGTATTACACATCTACCATTGTCATAATGTTCTACCACTTTACCTAAACAATAAAGAAACATTAATTATTAAAAATTCGCAAAATATCACAAATTATTCATGAAATTAAAAACATAACAACTGTAAACAATCCTACTTTGACAGTTCTCACTGCACTTTTGTTGTTGCCTAGCTCAAATAAGCTGTTTTCATAAATGCAAAAAAAAAATTATAGTGCTGCACCCTGTTGGTAAATCTTATAACTTTTTAATGCTTTTGCATATCATAGAATCAACTTTTTTAGTTGAAACAGCTGACAAAATTCTTTAATTCTCTTTAAATATAAATACTCATAAGGTTAACATGGGGAACTGCAGAGCCACTGGGGCGCAGCCCGAAAGGATTTTTGAGATAAGAATATGCCTATATGTTAATCGGGAATGTGAGCTATCATCATGCCAAATTTCAACCCAATCCACCCATTAGTTAATGCGTGATTGAACTTCAAACAAACAAACAAACAAACAAACACACAAACTTTCACATTTATAATATTAGTAAGATTAGAATATTCGGTACTGATTGCCCTCGATAACATAACTTTGGATGGTTGTGGTCCGAGAAATACATATCTGGTCATATTATTTATGTTCTCACTACAAAAAATATATTTTGTGTTGGTTTAATTTATTGGTCTATGGTCGGACAGCACTCCAGCAGACAACTTGTGTCACAAACTTGTTAGTCGTTAATATTGTGATACAATTTTGGACAAATCCACACGCATAAACTTTTGTTTAGTTATAGTATATTTGATACAATTTAACGACTGAGGTCGGAAAATGAGCGTGGGTCTAAATAGTAAATTATGCTATAAGGCCAAGAAATATCGGTTTACGGTAGGAGCATGTTAGTTGGTCCCGTTGCGAGGCTTGCCAAAAGCAGGATTTCATGCGAGTACCGCAAACACTTCACGGATGAAATGCCAGTTGAGTACGTTACTTTTCACCAAACTTCCAGCAACAATATATGATGGTTAAAACACAACCCCTCCATCACAACACTGTTTAATATACCGTTCACTATTTTAACATGACATTTGAACAGAATCGTCAACAGTAACGTTTCTAATCCTTTCCAAAATTTATTTTCGAAAGTAAAATGTGCCTGGCCAAATAAATGTCTAATTCATTGTGTAGCTTCGATGAGAGCTTGCCACGGATATTAGAACACCAACGGTGGATCATAAACGTGTTTTTATTAATACCGTACTGAAATTGAACTGTCAAAAAAACTTCCAAACCAGCTGTCATGGCTATTTGTTACATTGTACAGTAACGTAATTTGTTTATGTTAACTATACATACAGTTTATGTAACTGTTTCTCGTAAAGCCTAAAGAAACTCATAATTAGCTTTTTTTTAAGGTAGTGTAAATGTAGTGTGTTGAAAGCACCTCTCCGGGAGAGTCACGTGAAATATCCCTACACTTATCGTCACACTACAAAAATAATTAGCTGTACGCTTTGTAGACCACGAAATCGTTCCAGAAAAGAATTGTAAAACTTGTTGAATGGATTATGATAAAATCAGCCGAAGCACGGTAAAATCAACTGAAGTACGGTAAAATCTTCTTGATTAAGGTAAACCGGCTGAAGTAGGCTACAGTACATCAGCTGGAATACGGTGCAATTGTGGGGTAAAATCATCTGGCGTACGGTAAAAGTAAGTTGCTTTTTGCACCTATGCTTAGGGTAAATAGTAACCAAGTAGTCCAGCACTGGTTGCTCGCCATCTCAGTAAAAAACAATAATATTGTTTAGACCTGTAATGTCTTGTAAGTCTTCTTTTTATAATGTTAAGGGAGAATCGAGTCGGAAGTACCTCGCCGACGCTGCGTATAATTAACCTGGTGCTGTGTTGTATCCCATCCGCTACAACACAATAAATGCTCCTAAACTTTTTTGACCGCAGTTATCTGTTTTTAGGGACTTTCCATCTATGGATTTAGGCCAGAAACCAGCTATTATCCGGACTAGCAAGCAAATTTACTACAGTAAATACTGCAGTGAAAACGTCGTTTACACATTCACTGCATGGCTTACGTAGGCTTGTAATTTTTATTCGTAGGATAAAATAAACGATATGCAAACTGACACATACTCCCCTCCCATTAGTTTATCAACAACCTCTTAAAATGAGTAAGCGTAGGGTAGGCCCTACCAGTCGCATTGCACAAAAAATGTCACCCAAGCTCATTTCATATATCCTTGGCATCTCATCGGTCGTTAAGCTGTGAAAGTCAATTTATGTACTGATAATGAATTAGGCCTATACTGTTTTACCGTCAGTCGTTGATGATGAATCAGTCGTATCGTAATACTCAGTCAACGCCGTCATTGGATTAGTAGTCAAGATAGTAAAGATACCTACGGTACCCATTCAAACAATGTAAACATTGCCCGTCAAGTTTGTTCATTGAAAAATTAGTGTCAGTGTTATAAATCAACATAGATTATTATAGTGTAAACATTTGTTTTGGACAAGTCTCTAGTGCAATGTTCAAGTGGGTTATTTGTTGTACATACGTCACACACAGAGTACATACGTCAATTTATAACAAACATGTCAACAACGATTAAGAAAATTAACGAATTACTATTGTATGAGTATACAGATATGTCGGTTTACCAGATTGTACGAGTAAATAAGTTTACTCCGCAATACAAATATGAAATACGAACCGCAATACTAGTGACGATCAAACTAGAAATTAAAATCGGACAGAGTGGGTTTGAGCATGGCGGCATAAAAAACGTTTTGGTCTTTTTGAGTCTCTTCGCGTAATAAGATTTATGTATTGAGCAGTGAGCACATGGTCAATGAAGCCACTTCTGGTAAGCTTCTAAGCTACTTGTATATTAAGCATTATAAAAATATATCACATTGTAGAAAATATAAATTTGTTGAATTACAACATTTTATCATTCTAATTTTCGTTTGCCGTTACTACTGTTTACTTTGGCAACAGTCAATTTTTACAGTTATCGTGACGTAAAGTTTCCCAGTAGGTAATGCTTATTGCTCAAGTTTTCAATATTTCAGAACAGTAGCTCTCGAGTAATATTATTCAAAGAACAAATTATACAGCTTTAACATTTCCTAATATTGAAGCGTTTACTATTGGATACTGAAGAAGTAAAAGGCTCTAATTTTTTGAGCAGTGTCTTTTTTTAAATTAAATTATTTTTTATTCAAAAAATTGGGCAGCATCATAAACAGTACAATCAATTCGCTATATTCAACTGGGAAAGTCTTGCATACTGAGATATAGAGTAACATTTTATATGAAACTATCTAGAGTCGGTGAATAGCCCTTATTTTCACGATTGAAGGAAGAGGACAATGACTTGAGCCATTTTGTAACACAACAATGCACTTTAGGAGACACCGTTTTCCTGTTACATGAGGGTTCCGCCCGTGCAAATTCACTACCAGGAAGGGACTTGGACAGCAGAGGTTTGATTTTATCTTCTGGTCGGGAACGAATGCTGACCGCTGTACAGTGGCGAAGCACTTGCAAGAGTTTATTTTTTATAAATACCAACGATTTTTATAGACAGTGACACTACGGTAATTTCAGAAAATACGTAGCAAGAATATTGCTCAATTATCAGTTAGGTACTTACTCGTAACGTGTTAATGTTGGCTATGCTATACTTATAAGAGTCTAGAATACGTTTGGAATGTTCGAATACCGACACATCTGCCATTGATATTAGTTTGTGTTATTATATAACTGCATTGGGTATAAATCTATTTTAAGTTTGCTGCCTCATTCAGCAAGGCAATCTATATATTTTGCGTTAGTGGTCAAGCTTAAATTGTCCTAGCTGGTGTCATCACATTTATTTATAAATATATAATATTATGTAGTAATATGATTCACTGGAATACACACAATTTTTTGCGGCCTCTAATTGATTAATTATTTTCCCAAGTATATGATAAAATTTACCATTTACCGTAATGCAAACAGTCAAATGAGGATTAAAGAGTAAAGTCGTCAAAAACTATGCATTATACACTCTCACTCGCAACTTAAGTTGACAATTAGGGGAAATCAATCGATCTTTTCAGTTTACAGAACTGAACTAACAATTTACTTGTTACTGGAAAGAACATTGCGTTTACAGTATTTTGTAAACGACCTTCGAGTGAGTCTACTGCCTTAAGGCCCGTTTTGCCAGAAGCGTCTGGTGCGTCCGACGCTCAGCGATGATCGCTAGAGCGATAATCGCTCAGCGTCTATCGCTCGGGCCTATTTTGCCAGAAGCGTCTGTTCCTTGCGATTATTTGATCAGTAAGTGGTTTACTTTGGTGGGAAAAGGAGTGTTTCTGAAAATAACCTGTAAAAAGCAAATAGGTAGTAAAGTATTTGTTAGTTGAGGAATTAGACGATGATGAGATATTAGAAATGTTGTGCAAACGTAGGGAAGAAGTGCGTAATATGTTTTTAAAGAGGCCTGAAGAGGGATATTTTAAATTGTTAATTGAAAATCAATTGACAATTGACTTAACAGTCGTGTGCTGAAATGGCTTTAATCGGTTTTTCATCTTCTTCACTATTGAATCCCCACTTTGTTTGTGACATGTCACTAAACTTGAAAACACAACTCATTTAAGGAAACAAAAGTTAAGTCAACAACTAAACACGTGCTTATTCCAGTAATAATCGCTAGCGACTGCGTCTCCGTCTGCTCCAGGAGCAGTGGTCCGCGTCAGACGCTTGCGTCTCAGTTACAGACGCTGGCGGCTGTAGCGATAGACGCTTCTGGCAAAATAGGCTAACCTAAAACAATGCAAAGCAGTGGGCAGCGATAGACGCGGAGCGATAGACGCTGAGCGTCAGACGCACGAGACGCTTCTGGCAAAACGGGCCTTTACTGGGCAAAGGATTAGGCAACGTAGACGCAGAGACATCCCAACAACCAACAGCATTGTCATCGTGTCTTTTTTTGTCATTCACTCCATTGTTTCCTACGTACGAATGAGGTCGATTTCGAAATTAGCCAGCTGATAAGTTGAGGCCCTGATAAATTATTCTTCTGTACACTTAAACCATAGATTAAAGAAGTAGACAAGTTTACAGCTGTATCTACTACTACCAAAGATTACATATGCTACGCAAAACTACTACTTTCATCTATGCTTTGTTTTGTTTTAATTACAAATTCGAGGTAACTCTGCTGAACAAATCAAATCAAATTAACTCCAGAATGTTGGAAACAAATTTGAAAAAAAAACTGCGCTGATTAGTACATTAAACTACCCCCATCACAACAAACCGGCAAACTACGCAAATTTCCTGGTTGGATTTTCGCTAAAATTGTCCTACATAATGTTTCATTTATTCCCTTTTAAAAACTAAACATTAAGTTTCGTGTACCTACTTAGGTTTGCTGCTACAGGGAAGGAAGTGTGTTTAGTGAATTGTGATAGCTTACAGTATGAAAAATAAAACAAATTATTCGACAAATTCGGTAAAAATATATCTTTGAGCAAGCAATGGTACATCAGTTAACTTATTCTTCACAAGAATAACAAGGAAATATTATATTTACGATGTAAGAAATGGGGGTACCCTACCTATTATTACCCCATAAAAAATCCCCCATAGAGATCCCTGAATGTCTTAATACTGCAGATTATTCGTAGGTCAAACTTATCAGAAAAGCCATCATATCATAATAAGCACGTATTCTCCTCACCTCCGTCATCGCCGCGGACCATGCCGATGGTACCGCCTGTGTAGATGACCATGACGCGGCGATAGTCGGTGACGTCATCGTTGCTCTCTGTCACACTGAGGGCGGCGGACCCTCGACGTGCGGCGAGTGACTCCTTCCTCAGACCAGACACGTGGTTGTGAACCGGCGACTGTGACAATCCGTTCATCGCTGCACGCTACACGCTTGACTGACACAGTCACACTGCGATGCGAGATGTGGATGTGGCTATCAGATCAGCAGCACACTCACACTAACTGGCGGCGCGTGCTTGCGCGAGCGCACTATCTCTCCCCCCCTCACTTACCAGTGGAGTGGTGCCGGTGCCGTGCCGTGGCTCAGCGATGATGACTATACCACAAACACTAGAGCTGAGATGACATGGAATTAATTTACTATAGGTTTATGTACTACAAGTGTATACTTTTTATCTTCGAGAACCTAATCTGTTTACAAATGACTTTGTTTTTACTATTATCTTGTTTGACTGGTGATGATAATGCTCTGTCAAACCCTATTTTTGGTTATTAAATTAACCACGGGGGCGTTCCGAATTCCAGAGTTTTTGCCATTTCAGCTTGAAGAAACAAATATTGGTTGTACTTACTTAAAATATTTTCAACTTGCGACCATATGCCAGAATGCCACAACTATTTTAACCATTTCTGGGTTTAACAACAGCCTACTACTGAAAATTCAGTTAATCAGGACCCCATTTTTGTTTCTCATTAATAAGATTGGTTTTACTGCTAGTTTATGTTAGTATAGTGCTATTGTACATTTTTAAATTTATATTTCACTAAATTATTTGAAAAGCTTATCGTTTGGATACAAAATAATTTAAATTTTTACCTCTACAGCCAACATAGTAGACATACATGGATATTGTTTTTTTAATCAATATTTTTGAGTTTGAGTTTTGGGCCCCCTGACTTCATAAGTGAGTGATGTCGGCTGACTGTGTATGTGTGAGGGCACAAAGCTGCAGACTACATACCAATGGTCCAAAACAGTTATGATGATATTTAGTGTGTGCAAGTACTAATCCATGGTAAATCCAGTTTTTTACATTTTTTTATATATTTTAATATTTCCCATGAAACCCCAAAATAATGGAACAATATGATTTTCTCACAAAAGGGCTTGAACGTTTTTGATATACATTTTTTATGTTTTTGTCCTGTTAACTCTTAACAAAATCACAAAACCCGCAATGCTGTAAAATATACGGTAAAAAGTTATTGAAACTTTTGTGATTTTCCCCATAAAATATCATTATAACTACAGTACTCCCACTGCTAATACCCATGCCAAAGGTTGTTGTCAAGCTAATGGAAGAAAGTATGCGTCAGATTGATGATACACTGTTTATTTTTATTCTATTTCCAGTTTATTCATAGATAAAATATGAACATTAAATCATTAAATGTTGGTAAAGTGGAAAAAACATTATGACTCGTATTTAAAACGAACCAGATAAAAAATGAAAAAGACCACCGTTATTAGTTATATTCTATTTATCGTGTCATAGAACATTTTAAAGATTAACAATGTATTAGATACAAACTTTTACGTCAAACGATAATAAATAAATGTGGATTATCATTAAACACTGGGGGGTTCAAATAGAGGCGATGTTGTTTACTAATTTAATTTATACAACCTAATAATTAGTGGAATTGCCGATGTTTGGTACCCTAGAAAATGACATATTCTACCTTGTACAAATAAGTATACTTTAATGCTTAATAACCTTGATTAAAACATGTCATTTAAGGATGACAAATGGGCTATTGTTAGTGTCTGGTAATGTTGCGGAAACAAGCACTGGACTCGAACTCAGTTTGGCTAAAACTTGACCAGACGTAACACTGAGGACCACTAGAAACCCTCGTAAACAGGTAGCTTATTTAACATGGATTGATTTTTTAAACTATTTAGTTGTATTCTTTCTGTAGTCTGCTTCTTGTGGTTAATTCAACTTTGTTGGTGAGAGTTGTCAATTTCCAAGTTATCATGCCGAATCAGCTCAAATTTCTGGCTTGAGCTCACACTGTTTTAACAAACTTATAACAACACAGGGGCACTTGGCTTCTCAGTTCAAGTTGTTCACATCGAATTGACAAGCCAAAAATGTGTGTAGCCTAGGAGCCACCCATCTTGGGTGTTAATTGGGTTTATTTTATGCAAATAGATAAATTAAAATATAGTAATTTGGTTTAAGCTGAAAATGAAACCATTAATAATAATGTTCAACGAGTTTGATTCCTCAAAAATGGTTTTACATGTTAGTTGTACTTTTATCTATTGATCAACTCATCTGCTCAACAAAATATTATTGATAACTAAATGCTCAAAATTTTTTTAGCGAATTTCCCTATAGGAAAGTAGCTATTACCGTAGGTCTCATGGTAAGACTTAGGCCCGGGACCGATTTACTTTTTCATTTTGGTGTCCCCAGAGGCCAAAAACACCATTCGTTCAAATTTTTATATATGTATGTATATAATATTATAAATGTGAAAGTTTGTGTGTTTGTTTGTTTATTTGTTTGTTTGAAGTTCAATCACGCTTTAACTACTGGTCGGATTGGGCTGAAATTTGGTATAATGATAGCTCACATTCCCGATTAACATATAGACATATTCTTATCTCAAAAATCCTTACGGGCTCTGCCCCAGTGGCTCTGGAGTTTCCCATGTTAACCTTATGAGTATTCATATTTAAAATGGATTAAAGGATTTTGTCAGCTGTTTCAATTACACAATTTGTTCTATGATATTCAATATTATTAAAAGTTATAAGGTTCACCGACAGGGTGCAGCACTATTATTAGATTTTTCATTCATGACAACATAGCTAAATTGAACCAAGAACCACAACAAAAGGCTGTGATGCATAATGAGAACTGTTAAAGTATAGGATTGTTTTCAGTTAAGTTTATGATTTTAATTTATAAATAATGTTTTGATAATTTGCGGATATTAGATAATTTACTTTTAGCGAATTTCCGTATAGGGAAGTAGATATTTTATTGTTTAGATGTAGTGGTAGAACATTATTGATATGGTATATGTGTTATACTATAGCTTCCGTAAATTAAAAGAACCAGATTTTCTCAAACCGTGCCCTCTTCCATTGCAACCACAAAGCATGAGTATAACTGCATTACGCATTTTATACTCATACGCAAACCCCGTACGAAGGACGGGTAATTCTGCTAGTATATATATATATATATATATATATATATATATATATATATATATATATATGTGTGTCTGTGAACACGATAACTTGAGTAATTTTTATCCCATTTTGATGAAATTTGGTTTGAAGGTGTAGGGCGGGATAAACTTGAATGAGTTCGCGATCCAGCATGATCGGACCATGGGAACAGGGTTTTATCGGGTAAAAAGTGGTTTTTCTCACTTTTGACCCTCAAAACACAAAATTTCCCAATTTTTCTCTTAACCTTCTTAAAGAGCTTTAAAAAACAAACAATTCAGTATATCAAAGTGTTTTTGTACGGTTATTGGTTACGCAGAAAACTTAAAAAATTGTAAATTTAAAATTCCCATGTTATTCTTATGGAGAATATTGTAAAATGTTGTAGTTTGCTTGTTTATGGATATCTTTTGATCAAACTTGGCAAATATATTCATTTTATACTAAGCAATAATTATTTTACTTAAAGCACTCACTTTATTAGTTTCCTTTTGGTTTCCTTGTAGCAGCAAACGTAGGTACTCGTTAAACCTAATGTTATTTAAATAGATCAATTGAAAATCAATTCAGCCAAATGGAAATTCGCTTAGACGGCAGGTTTGCTGCGGTGGTGGTATTTTAATTTACTAAACCCGATCCGAATAGGGAATAGGAGTGCTAGTTCAATTATGTAATGTAAAGTATATTGGCTATTCTGTTGAATCTGTAAAATGTTAAACCTATTGAAATATAAAACTCAGTTCAGATGTAGGCATATTATAATCCTCATGAGGTATAGTACCTATGTTGATACTTTAGCCAATCAAATTTCACATATTCCCTTGATTTTAAACATTTTAAGAGTATTTTATGGATTTTTGCACATTTTTATAAATTTAACTTGTTGCTAGCACATCCATAATACCGGGAGTTTACTATAAGAATGACAAACTGGAAGCATCAACATTACCATTGACAGATAGAATAGAATTATACTATCTGTCTATGGTAGCGGCACATCGCAGAACCTTCCTTTGACAGTCTATATTTAATATAAACTGTCAAAGGAAGGTTCCGCTATGTGCAGCTAGAGCTTGCTCAGTGTTAGATTCGCTGCCGTCGTCGGCTCCTCGCCATATGCTACCAGCAAATGCTGCAGCGGTGTGTGCTGTAACTACACGGCACTTCTAGCGGTGGACACCAGAACATAAGCACTGCTGTCGGTCTATATTTAATCCTTTTTGTCTATGATTATACATGAACTATTTTTGTATTTATTTCATTTGAATACAGTAGAGATTAGTTTTCTAAAACATACAATTAATTAGGCCTACACTAGATAATTTGAATTAAAAAAGCTATGTAAATCCGCATAGAGAAAAAATTGCAATGCTGACTTCAAAGATTTATAAAAAAAAAAAAAAAAAAAACTAAATGAAACTGAGGTAATGTTTTATAATGAAATAATTATCTTAGATCCTCTTACAATGTGAATGTGTACATTTGAGAGTCAACCCTTATACTTAAAAAAATCAAATTAGAACAACCAGTCTGCAATTGAATAAATATAAATCAACCCTATGACTGAACTCAATTTGTCAATGCAAATAAAGTAAATACTAGCCAAACTAGTTGAGGATGAAAATATAGACGAGAAAGCTCAAAATGATGGCTTTGATATTCGCTTCCTCTCAAAATGATCTTTTCTTCAAGAAATATCATCAAAATTTATCAAATATTCAGAATGTTCGGGGGAAAACCCTTCAAGTTTTAGTATACACAATATAAGATAAACACTAAGATGAAAGGCAAAAATACAAAAATAAACATGTCTCTATAGTACCAACATTTCTTTTTATATAAATGGATCATAAATGTTAGTAATTCACAATTCTTGTACCTTTGTGGTACAATGTACAATACCCCATCTAAGCCCCAAAGGATTACAGGTTGAATGCTCTCAGCATAAGCATAATCACAGGAAATTGAAATTATTTTTTTTGTCTATAGTCTTAACATGATCCTAATTAAACTATATTAATAATTCCGAAAAATAATCGTCTACTTCTAAGTACCCACATTATTAATAGTCAAAAGTAAAATTCTGATAGAGGAACACACAGTTTTTAGTACACTGTATTGAATTGCCTGATAGATGCACCTAAATAAGAATCCACAAGGCCTTATTCTAACTTCCACCAAAGAAAGCCGCCAAGTAGCTATTTATTTCTTTTAATCATTGTGTTCAAGATAAATATAGCTTCCATTTTTATTAAAATCTAGCAGTTACCTGGTGCGAGTTGCTGCGCTAACAACTATTATTTTTAATGGTAATTTGTTCTTTACGATAAATAATAAAAATGTATACCATAAACAAAAATAGAATATTATTTTTCTTAATTGCCAGTGGATAAACAATGTTTTTTGTTTTTTCATTAGGTGTATAAATATAACTACCACCACGTGAGCACACAACATACAGCTGTCCGTGTGAAAAGTATGCATTTTCTAAATTTAAACCGACGATAGTCAGGGATTGCCCTTGTGCTTCATACCATTGATTGCGAAAGCAAGGCATAAAGGAAATTGTAGTCGCTTGAATTCAAAGGTCAATTTGGATTAAATCATCGGTATTCTTGGGATTAAGACTATTTCTTCTTTAACTTACCACTGATGATTGTTGCTTCGATCAAGTTTGGTGTCATTTTTTTAATCGTCAGTCTGGTTACCTTGGACAGCTTGGGTGGATTTAAGTTTCGCATTAGTATTATTGGAGTTCTTTCTTTTAATAACAGTAATGTGGTGGGTTGATGACAAATTGGGAGGCATTTTAATACCTGAGATAGCACACACATTTATTATTCACTTAATAATTTATGTTAGATTGTGTGGGTATACAACAAAAGATAAAACTAATAAGACATTGCCATACCTTTTATTGTTTATAATACTTTGATAAAGGTCTTTACCTTTTCTTATGTTTACATATTTAATAGTGGAGGATTTAGATGTTGTGTACACAGGTGTGCTGCAATTGGGATTTATTTAATATGTTGTTTTATACCACAAACATAGTTTCATAATTCTTGTAAGGATTCCATTTTGTTCCTTTAAAGTGATTGTTTTTTTTTTTTTTTTAAGCTTTAAGACAAATCTAGCAAAGAGATGTATATGCTGCTGGAATGAGAGATTAAAAATAATGTAGTATGTACTGTGTATTATTATATTGCCATGTACTAATAACTAATTTCAATATCATAGTTCAGTGACAATCATTTTTCTCACCGAACATTCTGTATTTTAACATTTTTAAACAGTAAAAACATTACTATACAATATAAAGACAATGTTTTATTTACTCATTGCAGGAAAACAAAAGAAGACACCAATCCTCCAAGATTATACAAAAGGAAATGAAGATCTACAAAGATATATTTATACAAGGCTTTGTACTACTTCTTTTTATGGCAGTGAAAATCAAAGGCCAGCTGAATTTTCTCTCATACTTGGTGAAAGTATACAAGCAGAGAGGTTTACCATTCAGGGACAATCCACTATTGGGAAACAAGCCGATATTGCAAGAGTACGACTTTATAGTGGTGGGTGCGGGCCCGGCCGGTTGTGTATTGACTCATCGTCTGACAGAAGTTGCTCAGTGGAAGGTATTGCTATTGGAGGCTGGACTAGACGACAGCATCTACTCGGACATTCCTCTGTTCAACACGTACTTCCTGTACACAGAGCACAACTGGAACTACTTGTCAGAGTACCAGGAGACAGCGTGTCAGGGGATGGTTGGCAAACGCTGCCCTTGGCCCGCAGGCAAGGGCATGGGTGGTGGGACCATCATCAACGCATTGATTTACACTAGGGGGAACAAATACGACTTTGATCACTGGGCGAGCCTTGGAAATAAAGGATGGAGTTATGAGGAGGTATTGCCTTACTTCATCAAATCAGAGCAGGTACTTATACCTCAGTATAAGAACTCCACTCATCACGGGCATTCTGGTCTTTTGGGAGTGGACTTCCCTCCTTTTCACACTCCCATCAGGGACGCATTTATGGAGGCTGGGAGGGAGGTGGGATATGAGTTTGTTGATTACCACGACCCTGACACTCCAGTAGGGTTTTCTCCAATACAAGCGACCATGACAAATGGTAGACGAAATGGAGCCTCTAGGACATTTCTACACTCTATTAAACAAAGAAAAAACTTCCACGTAGTAGAACAAGCTCATGTAACAAAAATATTGATTGACCCGATGAGCAAAAGAGCATATGGAGTAGAATTTATAAAAAAAGGACGTAAAAGAAAAGTATTTGTACGAAAAGAAGTTATTCTTGCTGCAGGGGCTTTTAACACACCACAAATTCTCATGCTCTCAGGTATTGGCCACAAGGATCATTTGGAAGAAATGGGGATACCAGTTATTAAAAACTCACCTGTTGGTGACAATTTACAAGAGCATATAAGCATGGCTGGACTAGCTTTTATGGTAAATCAGAAAGTAGGAGTAGTCACACGGAGATATTTACAAAATATTCGTCGATTCGCTTTGGATTGGATAATAAACAAACGAGGACCCTGGACTTCCCTCGGTTGTGAAGCACTCGGCTTTATAAAGACTAAATACGCTAATGACAGCAAGTATCCAGATATCGAATACATATTCCTTCCTGTATCTCTCGGATCCGATGGCGGTGCTTCATTGAGAGTAGGGATGGGAGTGAGTGATGAAATGTACAACGCAGTATGGAGTAACATATCTGAGCTAGACGCGTGGAGTATTTGGCCGATGATTCTGTACCCAAAAAGTCGTGGAAAGGTTAGATTACAGAACACTAATCCTTTGACACCACCTAAACTGTACCCTAATTTCCTCACACACCAGTACGACATTGATGTTTTATCAGAGGCACTCAGGCTTATAGTAGAACTGAGTAAAACCAAAGCTTTTCAAAAGTTGGGTTCTGTGGAATACAAAGTGAGGTTTCCCGGTTGTGTCCAACACGAGTACGGGTCCCGAGACTACTGGGCCTGTACAGTACGCTACCTGACTACACAGCTGCACCACCAGTGCGGCACAGCCAAGATGGGGCTCGCCTCAGACCCGGGAGCCGTGGTGGACCCAGCTCTGCGGGTTTACGGGGTGTCTGGGCTGAGAGTGGCGGACACCTCCATCATGCCTACCATCACCGGGGGCCACACCATGGCTCCGGCCTACATGATCGGGGAGAAGGCTGCCGACATGATCAAGGACACCTGGCTGCAAACCATCAAGTAGCCTCTAATAACGGTAGATATTTTGTGGGACTGCAGTAAAGATGTTAAATATACATTTAAATTTGTTTTCTCAACTTAGCTTCTATTGAAAATATATTGCTTACTTTTAGAATTGTTCTTCTTTCCTTCCAATCTACTTTTAATAAAATAAGAAACATAAGGTACGGAATGGAGTACAAAAATTAATGGTCATAGCATCACAAGTATCTACATGATTCGATCCATAAGGTTCTAAATAGCCAATCACGGACAAGAGTGGATTTGGATTTTTAATTGATAGGCCTACTTTACTTTACAATGCATCAATCTATGCTAACAACTCCAGAGTATTATATATACTTTGCTATCTTTAAAATTATAGTCAGCAAGTAAATAATTATTAACTGTAGTAATGAACAAGAAAGTAGATAATATGAGTTTTAACACAACTACCTAGCCATTGAGAGATAAACCATTTCAAACTTTTTGATTGTTTTTCCATTGAAGATGTCATAGAATGTATGTTTACTGTATTGCACATTTTAATTCAAAATGGCCACATTTAAAAATGATTTCAGTGTAAGATGATATCATTTAGGGAATCAATTAAACTGACACATTTTTCATTAATATTATGTATCTGCTTGTAAGTAATACAAATAAACTCAATTAAAGGTTTACAAATAAAATTGTAAATGACACCAATTTTTTTTGTATTAGGCCGAGGACTACTTTAACCCTCCGAGTGTCAACTGCCCGAATTTGGGCGGCTTTTTCGGACCAGGCGAGGGTCAACCGCCCGAAATCGCACGGCTTTGCAGGCAGTCATTTTCGGTCAATATATAGCCGTACGATCGCTTGATGCCGCTTGATACTTAACACGTTCGCTACTGAGCGTCGCATATATGCAATGCCGCGGTCATTGCCATAGACCGAGGTATACATTTGAATGAATCTTACACATAGACCTGCTGTCACTTGGTTAACAGTACACACAGACCACGGGTGAAAACCTGTAAAACAGTGATCATTTACATTGTACGCTACAATCGTGTTTGTAAATAATTTATTCTTGTTTTTTGTATTTTTTATAACCTTTTGTAATGTTGCATATTTGCGACACCCGGTCTACAGCGAAGACAATAGTGAAAATGATCATAGTTTTCTTGAAATAGACCAAACGTCGCATATATGCAACAGTTAATTTTTGTTTGTGTTTTGAGGTGAAAGTAAGTAAAAAAAACAGATTATCAAGAACAGTTTATAACTGAACAAAAATATAAAAGCTACATAGGATAATGCAGCATATACATACTGCAAGCATACATACATACAGTGATGCAGAAAAGTAAAGACCAGTTTTTCCAACTATCGTATGTCGTCCAATCATCATATCCACAGACCAAGCGACGCAGTTGTGCGTCAGACATCTCTGTAGACCACTGCAGGGAATTCAGTGCCTTCAAATAGACCGTTACAAAGATATAAGCATTTTAAAAACATTAGAACCCCGACGCAAATATACGACGGCAGTCTATTTTAATGAGACTAGCCGTCATGCGTGGAAACCGGCCGTCGCATATGTGTGTCGCTGGTCCATGTGAATGAAAATTATCGTACTATTGCAGTAGCGAACGTGTTAAACCAAACTGGTTAGCGGACTTTAGGCTACATGACAACTATTTGGAAGTGCCGTTTCTTACGATATTTTAATTATTATGTGTTGTTAACAAACAGCAGCTGTCAGCTGGCGACGCTGGCGTTACAAATGGCATACCTTTGTTGATGACAGATGAACTGTGTTGTGAGTTGTAATAGTGATCGAAGTAAGTTTGTATATAAAAGTCCATTATGTGTATATATTCTTTTTCTTTGTAAATTTTTAACAATATTTATATTTTAATTTTGCTGTGAGGTGTGATAGACTTTGTTTGTTATACTTGTAACATGAAAAAGTATAATATTTGTTTGGAACTTATGGATTTGAACCCATGCTGGATTTTATCAACATAAGATAAGGACACAAAATATTGGATGTTTGTATAGTCAGTTTTATTTACTTTCATAAAATAAACTACTTTATAAATGAGTTATTAGTAAAACTCCGCAAAAGTGCCAAAATTTGCGTGACATTAACAAAAATGTGACATGACACCCGGAAGGTTAATGACACTTCTAAGTAGGACTAATGACTGACACTTCGTATGGTGTTTTTCAGTTTGATTTAAACAGTCAACTACGAACGAACCCCTTTTTGGGATCGTGACATTTAGATCCCGTACTATTTTACAACTAGCTGTTACTCACGGGCTTCACCCCGTTTGACTTCATAAGTATTAATACAACTATTGATTGGTTAAGTTAAGCTGAAATAAACAAAACAGAATACAGTAATACAAACAAAATATCACACCTGATTTTCATAAGGTAAATAAATTGAAAAAAATAACATACAAATAACTAATAAGTACAGCTGAGATATTTGTAATATTAGGTATATGGAAAGTTCCCTTTAAAAAGGAATTACGACCTTAAAGGGCAATTTATGGAAGTTTTGCAGAAGGTTTCTCGTCACAAAAAACATTTTAAGTACATGGTTTATGGGGGTGTGACTTGCGATTTATATATGGATGAAATGAGAAAAATTTTAAAATTGGGCCGAAGAAGATACTTACATAAAGAACATTTTATAATCCTTGAATACAAAATAGACCTTTCAACGCAAGCCCAACTGAGACTGATTACTACCAGAAAAATTAATTACGATTATGAATTATGCCTGTAAAAGATCGTTTGAAAGAGATTAAACAATGTTATTTTTACTTACAATTATGTGTGCAGAACAAACTGGATTTTTTGAATTAATTCGTTTAAATGCATAATCTGAAACATTTGAAAACCAAAACATTTTGGCAATGAAATGACATCACTTGCAAATGACATCAAAGCCCAGCCAATCCTGCTTTTCTCCATTAGTCACTATCACCAGAGGATTAACGGTAACATATATTTGATAAAAAAAACATGTTTTTTTAAAGGTGCACTTGACGTTGATCGTTCAATATTCACTTGACAACAGTCCACTAAATCAGTCACATTTAAATATTTTGTCTTTTTTGTATAAATCCAAAATAAATAAGATTTTTAAATTTATGAAGATACTGCCCAAGCTCTGGTCTTGAACATATTTATCTAAAAATTACTTAAGGAATATTTTTTTCTGACTGTCCAATGCCCGATCAAAAAATAATTTACTTCTAGTCTAATTGTGTATGAGGAACTATGGGGTACAATTCAAATGCTATCCATAGTATGTGCATATTTTACTAGCCACCTTGGATATCAGTATTTATACTTTTGTCTCTAAGTTCTAAGTTAGCATTGTTGTCAAAAACTTCTTCTTCCTCCTCAGGCACATTGGTTTCTCTGTGAAATAGTCTGCTGAATTTTGCATCTGAAAATAGTTCTTCTTGAAGATCGTTCTGTAAAAGTCCTCCCAAAAAACTTTCTGCCGACAGGATAAAAGAAGAAGAACTAAATTCTGGCCATGATGTAAATTCTAAGAAGATCTCCAGATATTCATCTGGAGTGAGGGAGCCACAATCGGTATATATAGTGTAACCTCTTGTAATGAGGCGAACTCCACAACCCGGCACCCACCTTCTAGAACAGATTATAATTTAGTGTTAGAACTAGATCTACTTGCATGGTAAAAATAACAAGTACCATGAGAATGAATATATAATGAGAAGGGTTTGAATCTTTCCCTTTCAAAATCCTAAAAATACTTTAGAATAACAACACACATAAAATTGTATTTTTCAAGTACCGGTAACCTTTTCCTATGAAGGCACAGAAATATGTCATGAAGCTTCAGAATAGGACTTTAAAGATAACTATGACCAATACTTGACTTAATAATGCAAAATAAAAACACAGCATTCCATCAAAAAAATAGTTGGTATTTTATAATATTTTTTGCATGCGGTTAAAATAACATTTTGGCTTGGTTTATTCTCAACACAAATACCATATTTAGTTTTTTCTCTAGAGACTATAGTGAAAAGTCAATCATCTAAGAGCCTTATTATGCGCGGCCACACGAGTGGCTCCCCACCGCGACTGCCCAAAGACCACATTTAGCGGGCCATGTAATCATATGGAGCTTAGGTATGGACTGTAGTCGCTTGACCCTCGCCATTGGTCAAGCGACTGTCGCGCCACCAGCATGCAATGTTCTCATATGCTGCTTATTACAGGCCGCCACAGTCGTGGGTCTCAGCGCATCTCCCACTCGCCGCAGTTACGAGTTTTGTGCCAAAATTTTCTTATTTTTATTATATTTAACATACTATAGTATTATTGTATAATTGTTATAATATTTATATTAATGACAAAACTATTATATTTACTTTAAGGCTTTAAGGTAAGTATTCTTGTGTGTTACCCATAAGTCACCGTCTATTTTTCTAAAAGTTCATCAAAAGAATGTTTTTTGACAATAAAAAAAAACATCTTGTTATCCTCTCTGAGATCATCATAAAGTGTCAAAAATACTCCTTTTGAAAGTCTTTCTCTTAGTAACGGATGGACTCCAATCCAATACTTTTGTTTCACCTTAGTTTACGACGTTTAAGTAAAAGTAGGACAAATAGTTCATCTTCTTTGCTTGACTACTTCACCATTTACACTGAGAAACTACAAGTCTGTATAAAATTTGTTCAGACGGGCGACCTCATCACACCTGTGGCCACCCCAAGCGACTGAGCAGTCGCGGTCACGAGCCACTCGTGTGGCCGTGCATAATGAGGCTCTAACTAAGACAGCAATGTTCTTTGATCATGATTGATTCGTAGCAAACGGATTGATGTTTAACTTAATAATAACAACTTACGTCAATCAATCCAGTATGTTTATGGAGGATGCACGTTTCGACCTTTAGGTCATCTTCTGCTCCGCTTTTTCACTAGGTTGTTACGTACTTAGTTGCATTGTTGGTGTAGCAACCGCGTCAAATAATTTACATTGTGAAACATAGTCAGACCACGTAAACATAAAAACACAAAACACAACATTGACGAATACGAAAACATTTGAAATACTATCACCGTGCGCACGGCTGAACGGGCTCGGGACTGCGGCGGCACTGACTTGTCCAGGCACCCTGCTTTGGACTTTGAACATGACGTCACTCACTCCTTGTATTATCCGTCAGTCGAATAATGGTGTCATATACAGGATTGGCGTCAGAATGAATTTTTTCATTTAAAATATTTTTGTTTAGCTTGAAGTCCTTGTATATGGCCATTTCCTCTATTCTGTCAAGCCGCTGTCCTTTCTTTTCCCTCGCTAAGATTTTCAAGTTACTACTTATATTTGTATAAGTGTGTCCCAGTTCATTTAAGTGCTCCGCATATTTTGATTTAATATTTGTTCCTGGCGTTCTGTTAATATTCTCAAGCTCTTTAACATGCTCTTTAAATCTCAGTTCAAAAGATCTGCCGGTCTGTCCTATATAAAATGCGTTACAATCATTACAATTAAGTTGGTATATACCTGAAGCTTTGTATTTATTTATATTGTTGGGTTTATTCGTGTTGCTTAAGATTTTCTGTAAATTGTTTTCTGATCTGAAAGATGTGGTGATATTTTGTTTTTTAAACGTTTTCTTGATAATGTGTTCAGTTTTCTTTGAATACCTAACAGATGCATACTTCTTGTTTGATTCTGATTGTGATAAATTAGGTGATATATATTTTGCCATGCGTTTATTATACATTCTGTCAATAAGAGCTGGACCATAACCATTTTGCTGGGCTATATATTTAATGGTATTCAATTCCTTCTGTTTGTCTGTGGTACTCATTGGAATGTTAATTAATCTATGTAACATGGAATTGAAAGCTGAGAGTTTGTGTGATAACGGATGATAAGAAGTTGCGTGGATTACTTGATCGGATTGTGTGGGCTTCCTGTATATTTTAAAATGGTGCTTATTGTTAACATTGGATATGGATAGATCTAAGTAATTTATGCTACCATTAGATTCGGTTTCTGATGTGAAGGATATATTGTTGTGTATGGAATTTAAATATTTTTCAAAGATAGCTGTTTGTCTCTTATTGCCCTTGAACAGACATAAAACATCGTCCACATACCTCCACCAATAGATAATTTTACTATTGTATTGATTGCCTGCGAGTATTTTATTATTTTCTAAATTATGAAGAAATATTTCGCTAAGAATTGCTGAAAGTGGTGAGCCCATTGCCAATCCCTCAGATTGTTCATAGTAATTGTCATTGAACACAAAATAGTTTTGCTGGACGATAATACTGGCCGCGGTAATCACTTCCTTTATCTCATTATCACTTAGTTTCCCCCCTTCTGTTAATCTCTCCTTCAAAATAGTTAATGTTTCTTCTACTGGGATACTAGTGTACAAACTTTTTATGTCATACGAAATCATTGTTGTACCTTGTGGTATTTTGATGTCTTTGATTTTGTCAACTAGGTCAAATGTGTTTTTTAAACTTTTGCTGTCCTGTAAAGTGATTGATTCTCTGATGATTTTGTCAATTTTCTTTGCCAAAAAATAAGAATAAACCCAACAATATAAATAAATACAAAGCTTCAGGTGTATACCAACTTAATTGTAATGATTGTAACGCATTTTATATAGGACAGACCGGCAGATCTTTTGAACTGAGATTTAAAGAGCATGTTAAAGAGCTTGAGAATATTAACAGAACGCCAGGAACAAATATTAAATCAAAATATGCGGAGCACTTAAATGAACTGGGACACACTTATACAAATATAAGTAGTAACTTGAAAATCTTAGCGAGGGAAAAGAAAGGACAGCGGCTTGACAGAATAGAGGAAATGGCCATATACAAGGACTTCAAGCTAAACAAAAATATTTTAAATGAAAAAAAATTCATTCTGACGCCAATCCTGTATATGACACCATTATTCGACTGACGGATAATACAAGGAGTGAGTGACGTCATGTTCAAAGTCCAAAGCAGGGTGCCTGGACAAGTCAGTGCCGCCGCAGTCCCGAGCCCGTTCAGCCGTGCGCACGGTGATAGTATTTCAAATGTTTTCGTATTCGTCAATGTCATGTTTTGTGTTTTTATGTTTACGTGGTCTGACTATGTTTCACAATGTAAATTATTTGACGCGGTTGCTACACCAACAATGCAACTAAGTACGTAACAACCTAGTGAAAAAGCGGAGCAGAAGATGACCTAAAGGTCGAAACGTGCGTCCTCCATAAACATACTGGATTGATTGACGTAAGTTGTTATTATTAAGTTAAACATCAATCCGTTTGCTACGAATCAATCATGATGAATTCGGCTTGTCAAGCAGAGGTAGCAATGAACCAATATAGATACACTAGGTTGGCAATAGATCAGACCATTGAGAACATAAGATTTAACAAGTTCTGTCTGGAAAATGACATTACGCCCAACTACATCCACATACGGACGAATTGCAAAACAGTTGCAGCCAAATTAGCAATCTCCGTAGCTAAGAAAACCTGGCTAAAAACTGAAATAAAACAACTTTATTCTAAAAAAGACAGGTTAAATAAAAAATTGCTTAACTTACACATACAAATAGGACAATCATTGAACAATGAAAACATGATTGCATTTTTACAAAAGGTCAATGATTGGATTGAACCTATCATAAGTAAAAAACGAGATACTCAGAGAAATAAATTAAATAAACTTTTAAGCATTCAGAAACCTACACAAACAATTGTTTCTGACCATGAATTCTACCCCAGAGTTGTAAACAATACTGATATAAGTTTTGATAAAGACGAACAGGATCTATTAAACAAAGGTTTAAAATATTGTGTTAACATAAATGAAACAGAAAACATTGTCAGCTCTCTTCTTGACGTAGAAAGTGCCACCCAATATGTATCGCATGACAAAAGAAATCAAATTAGATATGATATAGTTAATAAGGTTAACAACATGCATAACATCCCCCAAAATAAGGACAACATTCGCAAAACCATCAAATCAATTAAAAATAAATTAGAAAATAACAATGCTTTGATCGTAAAAGCAGACAAAGGTAATACAACAGTGGTTTTACACAGAGATGCTTACAACAAAAGGGTCTTGGACTTTATTAATGACAATGATATAAATAAGCTAAACAAAGATCCTACCCTTAAATATACCAGGGAAGTAAATAAATTTATTAATGAAAGTAAAGAGCTTTTTAATGAATCCACGAAAAGGTTTCTCAAAGTGACAAACCCAAAAGCCCCCAAGATAACAGGCCTCCCAAAAGTACACAAAGCCGGAACCCCAATTCGACCTCTTATCAATTTCAAAGAAGCCCCATCTTATTTTTTGGCAAAGAAAACTGACAAAATCATCAGAGAATCAATCACTTTACAGGACAGCAAAAGTTTAAAAAACACATTTGACCTAGTTGACAAAATCAAAGACATCAACATACCACAAGGTACAACAATGATTTCGTATGACATAAAAAGTTTGTACACTAGTATCCCAGTAGAAGAAACATTAACTATTTTGAAGGAGAGATTAACAGAAGGGGGGAAACTAAGTGATAATGAGATAAAGGAAGTGATTACCGCGGCCAGTATTATCGTCCAGCAAAACTATTTTGTGTTCAATGACAATTACTATGAACAATCTGAGGGATTGGCAATGGGCTCACCACTTTCAGCAATTCTTAGCGAAATATTTCTTCATAATTTAGAAAATAATAAAATACTCGCAGGCAATCAATACAATAGTAAAATTATCTATTGGTGGAGGTATGTGGACGATGTTTTATGTCTGTACAAGGGCAATAAGAGACAAACAGCTATCTTTGAAAAATATTTAAATTCCATACACAACAATATATCCTTCACATCAGAAACCGAATCTAATGGTAGCATAAATTACTTAGATCTATCCATATCCAATGTTAACAATAAGCACCATTTTAAAATATACAGGAAGCCCACACAATCCGATCAAGTAATCCACGCAACTTCTTATCATCCGTTATCACACAAACTCTCAGCTTTCAATTCCATGTTACATAGATTAATTAACATTCCAATGAGTACCACAGACAAACAGAAGGAATTGAATACCATTAAATATATAGCCCAGCAAAATGGTTATGGTCCAGCTCTTATTGACAGAATGTATAATAAACGCATGGCAAAATATATATCACCTAATTTATCACAATCAGAATCAAACAAGAAGTATGCATCTGTTAGGTATTCAAAGAAAACTGAACACATTATCAAGAAAACGTTTAAAAAACAAAATATCACCACATCTTTCAGATCAGAAAACAATTTACAGAAAATCTTAAGCAACACGAATAAACCCAACAATATAAATAAATACAAAGCTTCAGGTGTATACCAACTTAATTGTAATAATTGTAACGCATTTTATATAGGACAGACCGGCAGATCTTTTGAACTGAGATTTAAAGAGCATGTTAAAGAGCTTGAGAATATTAACAGAACGCCAGGAACAAATATTAAATCAAAATATGCGGAGCACTTAAATGAACTGGGACACACTTATACAAATATAAGTAGTAACTTGAAAATCTTAGCGAGGGAAAAGAAAGGACAGCGGCTTGACAGAATAGAGGAAATGGCCATATACAAGGACTTCAAGCTAAACAAAAATATTTTAAATGAAAAAAAATTCATTCTGACGCCAATCCTGTATATGACACCATTATTCGACTGACGGATAATACAAGGAGTGAGTGACGTCATGTTCAAAGTCCAAAGCAGGGTGCCTGGACAAGTCAGTGCCGCCGCAGTCCCGAGCCCGTTCAGCCGTGCGCACGGTGATAGTATTTCAAATGTTTTCGTATTCGTCAATGTCGTGTTTTGTGTTTTTATGTTTACGTGGTCTGACTATGTTTCACAATGTAAATTATTTGACGCGGTTGCTACACCAACAATGCAACTAAGTACGTAACAACCTAGTGAAAAAGCGGAGCAGAAGATGACCTAAAGGTCGAAACGTGCGTCCTCCATAAACATACTGGATTGATTGACGTAAGTTGTTATTATTAATGTTCTTTGAGTGCATTTTCTAGAGCGAATATCTTATACAGATTAGCTTTAAGAGTTTGGGAGTATAGGGTAGGATCTAGGTTATTTCAAATAGCTAATTTACGCACAGTAACTTATAAGTACAAAAGATTTTTGAGCTAGTACTGCAAGAGAGGTTTTCCAGATTGACTACAGCCCTAAAAGTGAAGAAAACATAAAAAAGTTATCATAAAACACTATCTACAAAGAAGCCACATTTTTTATTAAATTATGTAGTATTTTAACAACTCTTATTTAGTCCATGTTTCAGTTGACACCAGGTACCAGTAGGCCTGATATGATAAATCATACTTACTCCATTAGGTCAATTAATGAGGCAGATTGTTTACGCATCATAAATTTCACAAAATATAAAAAGTTTCTGAGCAGATCTGGAGATATTCTTTGTAACAGGTCTCTTTTGGGTGTTATTCTGACCAGGCATACATTGTCACTTGCTTCTTTGTTCTGGAAAGATATCATAATTAATTAGTTAAAATGAAAATTAACTAAAGTTAGTAAGACAAGTTTGTAAAACTCAACAACACTGTGAAACTATTGTAGTACAAAGTACAATTATCATAATATGTATGATTATTTTTTTCCAATGTTTTATTGTTTCTTCAAAGGTGTTTCATGAAAGAAAACAACTACTAACTGCAACATAGCAAATTATACTTGCTAGATCAACTGACCTCTTTTGATTTATTCTTTGACCTTGGGTTGGCACACCAAGGAACAAATGCTTTCTCTGGTAGTCTAGCTAACTCTTCATGGTCAAACAAGACTTGAAATGCTACACAATTGCTTCTGTAATTTTTCTGATTACTTGGATTTGATGTGAGCTTCTGCAAAAGAAAACAAAACCCATGTCATTAGTTTATATATCAGTTTGAGTTTAGTGGTTGTTTTATTCTATGAAAATGTGTATAATTAAATAGAATGAACAGTAAGTATGTCACACTACCAAAAATGATCATTTTAGATAATGAACATTCAGTAAAACTTCACTAACTAGACACCCGGTAACTTGAAAGTCTGTGTAACTCGTCAGTCAACAGCTGACAGGGTGAACGCAAAAAAGCATATTTTTCAGAACATTTAGTTTTAATTTTTGAATACTCAACATTTCTTTGAAGATCGTTTACTAAATATGTGAAAATGCACAAGTAAGTAATCCATTTTGTATAAAAAATAGTCTGTTATGTACTCATTTATTAAAACAAAACCAATTTAAAGTATAAATGTTCTGGATAGCTCGACAACCCCCAAACTCGACCACCTCTGGGTCCACAGATTATTGAGTTGGTCAGGTTTTACTGTACCGGTACTTACCTTGCTTTACCTTTAGCAACACAAACAGAAAACATAGACACAGGATTTTTTAACAATTCTCTTATCAATATAGTTTGACCAGTAGTTTCAAAACCATTTCTCCACATTTAACATAAATAAAAGCCAAAAAATTAAAATCCATGTCCTACTCTAATTCCAGTGAAAAAAGACACAAAACAGGTGTTGTGTGTTATCTCTACTAAACTCACTAATGCCGTCAACTATCACTTTAGTCAGACACCGTCTAATTAAGGTTAGCCTACTCACATTATTAAGCTTATTGCACTTGTACAGGCATCAAACTCATGCAGGTAGAAAGATCTCACAGCTACACTCATCAGTGCAGCTCAGACACCGTGTAACCGTCAGCCGGCCAGCGTGACCACCATTTATGTGTGACACTAGCGCTCGCAGGTGAGATTCGACAAACTACTTCAAAAAGCACCAGTAGGTTAGCAGTACAGCATACTGCACCACAAAACCCATGATGGGCTACACTCGCAACACAGCGTCAATGGATTGGACTACAAAAGCTTAGCTTAAACAAGGCTCCAAGCTCAAGCTTTCAACTTGCTCACTCTACACATTTGGTAGCCTACGTATTTATCTCAGCACTATTGCAGTGGGGTATCTTATAGGTTACCTTAGATAAAATATACCAGCCTCCCCTTTGTAGATTTACCATCCTTATGGATCAGCTGAAAACAATTTTGATGGATCCTTCCGGTGCCGGTAGGTAGCGGTGTGCAATGCATCGAAAATGCATCAAAATTCTGATTCGATTCGATACATTCAGTGGTGTTCAAAAAACAATTTGATTCATGTGGGAGTCAGTATCCATGCACAAAAAACGCCTGCAGAAAGTCAATGCAATACACGCAATACAGCAGCGTGTTGTTGAGTTTTCTTTGCGAAGACGTTCTTATTTAATTCATTCTTTGCTTGTAAATATTGCTTTTATTGTTTTATGATTTTTATTTTGACATTGCAAATGGTGAGAAGTTTTGTTAAGTGTAAGCAGTGTTGTACTACTGTAAACATAGCCAAAACAAGTACCTCAAAAATCATTCTAAAAATAACACAAGTCTGACAAATTGTTACTTGATACTTAACTAGTAAAATTGATGTTTTAGACAGATAAATTTGGTTTTTTTGTAGGTCTGAAGCTATGTATACCTTGTAGTTAGTAGGTCTGATTCCATCCTCTCATTAGTACTAATTCAGTAGATTTACAAAAATTTCAGAGTCCCAATCAAAATCTTTTAAACTAAAGCGGCATTTACCTAGCGACATGGTTAAGCCAGTTACACAGCATGCCGTGGCCGGAGAAACCCATCCCTTTGAAACCAACTGGGGACTGTTTTTCTAGCTATGTGGTACGCGACTAACTATAAACCATGCAGCACGAAGCGTGTAGCGTGATTGGGGAGCACTGCAGGGCCGCGTTAAGGGTCAGTGGAGCCCTGGGCAAAGCACCCCCCTTTTTTTCCTAGTGCGGGCGGGCAGTGGTTGGGGGGCACCTAGTGGGCGCCCCCAAACCTCCGGCGCCCCTGGGCATATGCCCAGTCTGCCCATTTATAAAAGTGGGCCTGGAGCACTGCCTCGAGAGCAGTCTAGTCAGTTATTAACCACACCACTAAATTGGGCTGTTGTACAATAGAAAAAAGAAATATGGAGGAGAATACTGGTTCGAGTACCGTTGATGACGACTGTTTGTTAACAGACTGTGTGTCAGAGTTTGAAGTTCTGTGAAAAATGAGCCATCCTGAATTTAAATAAACACAGCAAACCTACAGACTAGCAGATTTCCATTTCTTGCCTGATTAGATTTTTACTAAAATATCTCCTTGAAAATGTGATATCTATTAGGGTACCTATTTAAATAGCATTACCCCTAAAAAAACCCCCATGCTGGTTCGCAAATTAATTGGAATAAACATGGTTTACACATTTATTGCAAATTTAATTTCTTGCTCATTTTTCATGGGTCATGTTTCACTCAAATTATCTTGCTAGATTACGGAAAAACGTAAAAGTTAATCGGTCCCAGGAGACCAAAGGTAATGGCTTATTTCTATGTGGGTAATTTGCTAAAATTATCTTTAGTTAACCTAAAGTATTCCTTAAATTTTATTTCTTCATCCATCAGGTGCCATCGCCATCAACAAGAATTTTCAATAAAGCACCCTCATGGCTCTTCAGAGATTCAAACAGTTCATTACAGGATTTTTGTCTGTTGGGCAGTAGAGCTAGGGCTATGTTTACATCTTCGTCCATCTTTTCTTTTTTGACCAATAACATGAAAGTAAGACAGGCACCTCTTTCTTCAATCCTCAGCAGAATACTACCGTAGGAACCGCAAATTGTGCCATACTTTATAATCATGCCGTTCCTTAACAACGCTGCGTTCTTTAACGCTATCTTCTTTAACTCTATCTTTCCATAGCAAAAATAGTACTTCCTTTTTCTCATCTGAAACAAATTCCAGGTATCCATTGCGCATTTCTTTAAATCTACCAATTCCCCGGCATTCCACTTCTTTCATCCAAAGAAACTTTCATTACAATTCCATAGAACTATTTAATAGTCTTCCACCTCAACTGAAGGCCGAACAAGATCTAAAAAAGTTAAGAACAGGTCTAAAGTCCATGTTGTTAGACAGATAATTTTACAGCGTCCGTGAATACCTACTTTAGTGGTCATTCCTAAAGTCATGTGCGCATGTATAGTTATTTAGTTATACAGGGTGATTTTTAAATGAGTTCCCCCCCTACTTTTTTCTACATTTCTTAAGATATCAACTCCGGACCACGTCAGATCATTTTAGAGTAGTAAGTACTTCATTTTAACTGGGTATAAATCTTTGGCCGCCATCTTGGATCCACCATATTGTATACAAAGTTTTTTTTCAAATGTAAAGGTAGGGTTGTGACGCATTATTCCAAACTAGAGTTTTACGCTGATTACAATGCCGCAATTTGTTTTAAAAAATCTTGATCCGTTCTAAAGTTATAAGGACTTTTTATAACTTAATTTTTAGCCCATTTTAACATTGTGCATTTACAAACTAAGACCATAATCTCAAAATAGTACTAGATAAAGATAAGTATACACCACCATTCATTGTCGACCTATTTTCACTTGGTTATGACGGATGTATTTTTTCAGCCGCCATCTTGGATCCGCCATTTTGAAATGTGACAAATTAATTTAAATATGAAAGTGGTGTTGTGACCCATTATTTTGAACTACTTTTTTATGCTGAACTCAATGCCGCAATCAGTTTTTCATTTGCATGTTTGGTTTTTGAATTATTGAAATTTTAAAAAAGATAATTTTAATATTTCATCAAGAAAGCTTGATAACCAAAAACAGATTGTGGCAATGAGTTCAGCATAAAAAGGTAGTTGAAAATGATGGGTCACAACACCACCTTCATATTTAAATTAATTTGTCACATTTCATAATGGTGGATCCAAGATGGCGGCCGAAAAAAATACATCCGTCATAACAAAGTGAAAATAGGTCGACAATGAAAGGTGGTGTATACTTATCTTTATCTAGCACTATTTTGAGATGATGGTCTTAGTTTGTAAATGCACAATGTTAAAATGGGCTAAAAATAAAGTTATAAAAAGTTCTTATAACTTTAAAACGGATCAAGATTTTAAAAAACTAATTGTGGCATTGTAATCAGCGTAAAATTCTAGTTTGGAATAATGGGTCACAACCCTACCTTTACATTTGAAAAAAAAACTTTGTATCCAATATGGCGGATCCAAGATGGCGGCCAAAAATTTATACCCAGTCAAAATGAAGTACTTACTACTCTACAATGATCTGACGTGGTCCGGAGTTGATACCTTAAGAAATGTAGGAAAAAGTAGGGGGGGAACTCATTTAAAACTCACCCTGTATAGTTTTTCAGTAAGGAATTTTGGTTATTAAGATGTAGGCTACTAAATTCATTTTTTCTTGTATTGACTTGGCTAATGCAAGTATTGTCAGTTTGGCCCAATAAATGACTTATTGACTTATTTAGCTTAATCTCGTAGCACACAGCGCGATTACTGAAGTTGGAGGAAAACGCACCCTAAAGTGTTCTAACTGTTGTGATGTTTGAACTTTTTACTTTATATACAATGTCTCCGAGAAACTTTTGTTCATATGTTTTTTCAGTTTTGTTTGACAACTAATAAAATACGGTACTTTCGTATTATCAAAGGCCACCCTAATACAACGCGCTGCGGCGGTTAGGTTTGGTTATCATAAACTTTCTATGACTCATATGGTATCGTTTGATTCATAAAGAAACGAGGAAAGTCCTACAAACATATGTATGACAACCCAACCTAACTTAACCGCCGCAGAGCACTGTAAAATAAGCGGGCTCCGTATAATACAAAAGTACCGAAAATACATGTATTTACCTCATATATATCAGCAGGAAACATTAGAAACAGCTCTGGCCTTCCAAGCTGACACAGCCCGGTCTGCAGAGTTATGGAAAGCATGATATGTGCTATGAACCTTTCATTAGGCATTGCTCCAATTACCTTCACAGCAGGTTCTAAAATCAAACAAAAATATTGATATAAGTAGATTTATATAATTTACATGTAATATGCTATAGCCTAATTATAAATCATGTTGTTAATTTTAACACGATCACTGCGGCACATATGAAACAGGCGCTCGCCAGGGCGAACCGAATCAGCAAACGCAATTGGCATTCAAATATTTCAGTCTGACAAATCCCAAAAGAGCAGCAGTGATTGTACTGCGTTACCCCGAGAGTGGATGTAGTTTAATGAAACACCTAAGGGTAGCAGCTAATGTGGCTTGAAGAGAGAAAATCCCCGAAACCGGGAAAAAAGCATTGCCAGAAAGGATTTTACGGGAAATTTAAGTACTAACCTACACCAAAATAAAGCTTGCACTCTAAGCTACAGGCCGGTAACGATCATAACGTTCCGCGTAAATAGCTGAGCTCACACTGTCAATTACGACTGCACAGCACCTGGCACGCAGTCGGCACCGCTCGATTTCGACCGCTCCGCAGTGAACGTGTTAAGGCAGTGAATGTGTTAAGGGTTTTTAGAGAGGATAGTAAGGTTTTTTAGTTTTAAGTTTTTATCAAAGATTTAAAGAATAATAAAATAACACACCCCAGGACATTGAGTGCTTTTAAGTTTTAATTGCTTTAAAAATATTTCAAAACACGTGACACCAGTTCCTTTATTTTTATTTAATAGCAATATTTCAGAAGGTGAATTGAATTTCCATTGTGCTTGAAATTAGCAAACATTCCTATGTTTGAAAACTGAAATGGATACATGCAATATGTTATATATAGGACAATCTCATTCATTATATTAGTACTAGGTGAACCTGCGCGAATTCGCACGAATAATAAATTAGGATATTATAGCAATGTCGTTAGAAGTTGCGTCGTTGTATCGACGTTGGTCTTGAGCTCGATCGTTGGCTTTATGCATTCTAAGTTCTTTTTGCTGTTCAGTAGGAGTATTTTGCAGGACGGAGCTCATCATGCTGAAAACTTGCGAGTATGGATCAACATCAACCAAATGTTGTGTCAAAATGTGCATGAGTTCAGTGCTGCAAGAGCCATTAGCTTTGTTTAGAATTCTTTCTTGAACAGCGGTTTCGACGTCGTAGATATAAATTTGGGCATATGTGGGATGCTCCCCTTCTGACGGTTGAAAGGTGCCAATTGAGTGATAAATTGTGTGGTGCACCTTATACATGAAAGGCCCTCCACCGTTATGTTCTTTAATTTTTGCTCGAGTGCTGACCATTGCGAGCGCAGAGTTGTATGATCTAATGTTCTCTTTGTAGTTTCTGCTCAAATGATTTGCTCCATTAAGTAGGCTCTGGACATAATAGCTTTCTCGGTATGGAGGTAGATTCACTTTTCCTTTATGGCAGCAGGATGAAAATCCTTCGCCTCGTCCTCTTTGTTCTTCTTCAAAATGTAACGCACCACATTTCTGACATTTTAATGCCATCTCGCCAAGTGAATGCAGTTGAATTCTCGTATTTGTCAGTGTAATTTTGTAAGTACACGTTGCCACTAACCGTTCTAGCTCCTCGTCTGGGGTCCTTATACGTTTTGCATTTTTTGAGTATTTGCACCGTGTCAATATTTCTTTGTCGTCGGGTCCTTGGCATGTTTAAACGAAAATAAAATGTAAAACTTTTCTCCCGTCGTGTCCTATAGGTAACATTCCTTTGCCGGGTTTCTAATTATTAAAAAAAAACATGCAAAATGTTTACATTTCAAAACCAAACAAAACAGCTGGGATTTTTTAAACTTATAGGCTATATTGACATCTGTTTCAGAATATAATAACATTCAATCAATCACAATGTTATCCTTATGGAAGGAACTTTGAGGGCAGCCCACGCCCTTAAAAAGATATATTTCGAAAATCTAAAGCCAGTTTGCACATCTACACACCTAGACGAGCATTTTGGTATATAATATGTGGGGTTAAATCTTAAAACAAAAAAGCCTTATTGTTCACAAAGTTTCATGTCGCGTATTAAATATATAGATTTGGAAGATATTTGAAAAGATTATGAAGTACGTCATGTTCGTTTTTTTCAATACCTACTGTACATACAGTAGTTATTCTTGTACCCGTCAAATTGGATTCAGAGCCTCTTGGCACTGAAGTAGCTCTTCAGGCGTTGTAAAATGTTTCACAGTGATTTACTGACCATGAATTGGATCAATACAGTATACTCACGATTGATCAGTACAGTATACTCACGATTGATCAGTAAAGTATACTCACGATTGATCAGTACAGTATACTCACGATTGATCAGTACAGTATACTCACGATTGATCAGTACAGTATACTCACGATTGATCAGTACTACTCACGATTGATCAGTACAGTATACTCACGATTGATCAATACAGTATACTCACGATTGATCAGCACAGTATACTCACGATTAACCGATCCTTGATTATCTGACAATATTTCTACAGACAATCCAGAACCAAAAATGGTTTAGGCTACCTACTATTTCCATGTAGTGTGACCTGTACACTGTTGCAGACAACATCGAAACAATTTAATTTGCTGCTCATGTTTTTACTTGGAAGATCTGTAGTGCCAAGGGCTTAAGGTAGAATTGAATTTTCTTTGTAATGCTGGGCATTGGGCACCTTTGCTTTACTGTATTTTGTAAATCCTTATAAATATAAAATTTGCAAATGCAAACTTCTCTTCTACTCTCATAGGCCTATCTTTGTTGGAATTCAAACGGAAACCTGAGGCTGAGTAAACGGGTACCGTACCGGTATTGGTTTGTCTTATTTTTTACACCAACAGTAAGTTAATCATGTTTTTACTTTGTTCGTTATTTTTTATACAATTTTTGATGATGGCTTAGTTAGTTTCGTGATGTTTCAGTCCAGGGAGCCGAAACCCCACCGGACTGAGGCTGTTCTAGGACCATGTGCTCTTCTAATAGTTTCTAAGGAAAGCCTATTCATTGGTAAAATTGTGTTAGTATTTTAAAGTGGCTTACTTGATCGAAAAATCATAAAACTTACCATCTTCCCAATTCAAAGATGGCAAACCATCAAATATCATTCTCATCTTATCCCCGTTGGTTAGGGCATCTGATTTTATGATATTTCCAAGGTGTTGTAAGTCTGCCTTTATTAATCTTGCACTGCTTTTGTGGAGCTCTATCAGTTTCTGAAACAATAATCAAATTGAGCTGATCAAAATAGAAAGCAGAGTTTCACCATAAAGAAAACTACAGTTGGCCTACTGCAGTACTTTGATAGCTAATATGTTAGTTTTTATAGTGAATTTCCCATTTAGGGAATAAGCTATTACCGTAGCACTCATAGTAAGACCTGAACCTGGGATCGATTTGATTCGTAATTTTAACCTTCGTTTTACGGCCACTCTCCGACAAAAACTGATTGCATTTTTGGATTCAGCGTGAAAAAAACTGTAGATATAAATAATATTAAATAATTGCCAATAAATCTGACAATTTTAAGGGAATATTTGAGTAGAAATCCAACCAGGTAAATTAGTTTGCAGGTTTGCTGTGGCGAGGGTAAGTTAGGCTATTTTACTTTGCTTCATCACTTGCCCGTGGTCTGTGTGTACTGTTACCTACACCCGGTCTAAGTGTAATATTAAAGTGTAAACCTCGGTCCGTGGCAATGACCGCAGTGTCGCATATACATGACAATTGGTAGCGAATGATCTAGAAATGTGTTAATTCACGGTGAGGTAAAATAACAAGAGCTATTACTAAATGGAATTCACCATTTTGTATCTATTTAGGGCCTATGATTTGATAGTGACTTAGGGCCTACTATCTTAACAGCCTTATCAGATAAACACCTGAATTTTTCACTTACTAAGTTAAGTTACCTTTAGGTGGTCATAAAGGTCAGAATCTGGTTCATAAATTCTCAAATTTTGTAACTGGGTTTTTAACAATTCTTCAGTAAGAACCCCTGCTCCAGCACCAATTTCAATGACATGTCCACTGTAGGTTTCAAGATGTGCCTGAAGCTTCTTCATAATATCACCTGGACAAACAACATAACCGTAAGTTAGGCCTATAGAATAAACTTGAGTGAACCTTAAAAAAGAACCATTCCTCAAAATTGGTAACACGTAACATAAGTTACTAATATAAAATTGTGGGATACCAATATGGATTTAACTTAAGTGTGCAAAAAAGATATGAAGCAACATGTATAGTGTAAGAAAGGGGATTAACCCCGTGCCCACGGTGCTCATCTATTCAGACACTCTGTTCACATTACACTTAGTCGACCAGTTGGTGTGAACAGAGTTGAACAGTAGCATGAGCATCGATTTACAAATTCCTTTCCCAGCTGATGTGAGCTAGGCGATGACCGGTAGGGCTGACTTCCAAGAAACACCGTTAACCTATAAGCCACACACCCTATCAGTAATCAGCCAATGAGAAGGGCTAATGAAGAAGATGGAGGGGTCAAGACTCTTGGAGCTAGAGGATCTGAAGGAAAACGTCGGGGAGATCACCACGGGCCACCGGAGAAAGAAGATCGGGAGTTTGGGAGTGCGTGTACCGGTGCGTGTGCTTCTGGGACAATTAACAGTATGTAAAAAGAATAAAATATATAGGCTAACAAAAGTTTTGTCAAACATACAAGTCATGTAATTTGTCAGTAACTAATTCTTTTAAATTTTCAATTGATTTTCTTTTCTTGTAAATTTAACGGTGTACATTAATTTATCTTATTATTGTTGATTTTTGCCTTTTCGAAGTTTTCTTTTGCTGTTGTATCACTTAGTAACTTTTGTTGTTTTTCTAAATTTAAATTTTTGTTCATTACACGTTGAGTAACACCCTTAAGCAGTCTTATGTCTCATTAACCTAACACCTCTTGACTAAGCTAAGCGAGTGAATACTTTTAGGGAACTTAAACTTAAAGTGAGGCATGGGACTCGCAATAGACATACCACGAACAAAACAACCTGCGCAGAAACAAAAAGATCACGTGGTTCGCGCCGGTAGGTGTGGCTTACCCTTTAAACCTGCGCGGCTCGAAACGGCCCAGGGTTCTTTTGTTTCTGGTATTACTATAGCCTATAAAAGTTATTGGAACTTATTACTTCATAATTTCTGCTGTTTGATACTTTATGCCCTAGCAGTTTGGTCTGAGAGAGATCGATTAGGCCTACCTATTTCAATGGGTACTTGGTTACAAACATCGGTAACCTACCATCGATGTAAAAACGTCAAACGTTGTTAGAAAAACATTGATGTTTAAAAAACATCAACTATCGATGCTCATCACTAACTTAATAGAATCATACTAGGGTAAGTTAGTACTAAGAATATAACCCAAGTTATGGATAAGTTATAGGCTACTTACATGCAACTTCTTTGTCAATTAGGAAAATTCTTAATTTATCTTTCATTGCAGGTTTCTGAAAGAGGTATGATGCTGGGAGAAAGTTTTTAAAAGGGGTTAAATGTGGGTAGGCATTATAAAAAGTATTAATTTTATTGATATGCTTTTGCTTGGGGCTTAATTTGACTGGCTGAGGGTTTTCTAAGCTGTCAGATTCCTCATATGATGACTCAACTTCATTTGAAGTCTGAGCTGATTCGTTTAAATTAGAGACTAGGCCTAGGCCTATCCTTTTATAAGCACAGTGATTGAGCCCAAAATGTCTCAAATAGTTTCTAAATAGCATTGTTAACACCTAAAAATTACTAATTACATGAACATAATGGATGTGTTAACCTGAACCGTTCATAAAAATATAGGCTAGTGATGATAAATCAAGAATTAATACAGTAACAACTGATTGTTTCTGAGCGAAACAAACCTAAACACAGTCGCAATAGCACGATTTGTGATAGTAAAAGCACATCACGAGAATATCACTTAGTTAGTTTATTTAGTCAAATAAATAAACATAACATAACCTAATCTAAGTTCTAACCTAACCCTAAACAGTAACAGAAACAGACAAAACTGAACTTATTTATTTACTGATTTTTTTTATTGGTTCGTCCGGTCTTCTATTTTTCTGTTACAGTATTATTAGTTAGGGTTCGTTTCATTGTATGAAGCCTTAAGGTAGAAGTTAGGCTATGAAAACTAAAAAAAACTTTTGTATATAATCGGAGCAAGAGATTTATATAGAACGAAAATTGCAATTTTTTCTGTTAAGCAATTAAAGGTGGCCATGGTTAAGCAAGTATATGCAATGGGCATCGTCAATACAATAACAAAATTGTAATTATACACCACAGGTTTTAAAGAAACAAAAAAAACACACAGCAAACAAAACCAAAAGCAAGCCATGCACAAAGACTAAAGGCAAAAACAAAAAAAATCAAACCATGCACAAAACCACTGAGCTAACAAAACTACTGGCAAAAAAGAAAGCTATCAGCATTGAATATATAGGTATATATTAGTTAATGATATCAGTTACTTGATTTGAAAAATTCACTAAATTACTGTCAAGTTTTTTTGGAATGTATCGGAGTCGGAGATCTTATAGAGAGGGAATGCCAATAAGAGTGCCCAAATGATACAATGAATACAATGATTTTATTTGGCCAATCAACAACATTGTTACAGACTATGTCATCAGTGTACAAGCATAATGTACAAGCATAAAATAAAATAAATATCGAGAGTTAAAAATCAAACCAAGCAAAAATCGATCAAAACTAACCATGTGAAAAAAAAATGTTCAAGACCATGCACAAAATGATACAAAGGAAACCAATGCAGTTCATGTAAAATGCATGCACTTTGCAAAAACAGGTAACAGGCTGTTCAGAGGAAAACTTACTTAACTAACTACAGTGTCAAAAAACTCTTTAAATTTGAAAAAAAGGATTTTCAATCAGCCAGTCTAATATTGCGGTTTGGAAGTTCTTTCTTTCCAGATTTCTCACATGACCAAGAAGGTGATTGAACAGTTTTATTCCTGAAACAGGGTATGACCTAGCTCTTTTATCAGTGTTGGACCTAGGAATAAAAAGCTTCGCACTAAACCTAGTGTCATGATTGTGCACTGAACTGGTTACAGGTAAATCATTCATGCTGTTCTTAATACTAACAAGGCATTGGAATATATACATATTTACAACTACAGTTAGAATTCTTTGTCTCTTAAACAAGGGCTTACTGTGTTCTTTATAGTGAGCATGACAGAGAATCCTTACTGCCTTCTTTTGCAGTCGCAGGATCTTTTCGACATTGGGTGAGTGGCCCCACAAAATTAACCCATAGGATATGTGAGGTTGGAAAATGCAAAGAAGGGCATTCTAAGGGTACTTTGTGGCAATTGGTCACTTAGACGTCTTAAAAGATGCACTACTCTACTTAGTCTAGTACAGAATTGGCTTATGTGGTCTTTCCAATTGAGACAGGGGTCAAGGTTATACCAAGGAGTTTGACAGGCTCTTGGAAAGGAACTTGATATAAGGCTCTTGGGGGTCGCTTTACATGATATAAGGGAAGTATCATCTGCATACAACATGCAATTACCTTCAAGTCTGGTATAGAGGTCATTGATTGTCACTAAGAATAACAGAGGCCCCATAGCATGTATAACATAATATAGCATGTAGGATAGCATGTTTAACACCCGAATAAAAGATTGTTGTATGATAGTACCAGATTAAATATAAATAAATACTAATGTAGAAATCAATGCTAAATTTTACTAATGACAGACATAGGTATACGTTGGTCTTTTGGTCTGTCTGTTTGTCTACTACTGTCACACTACTGTATGCGTTGAACTCGCTCGATTTAAGTCCCTCAAAATCCGCCATGGCACCATGACCATGTGTCTCGTGCTCGTGCATGCGCCTTGTCGTCAGATGTCGAGACGTCTTGTCGTCTTGTCAATTGTCATGTCGGTCGTCTGTCAGCTACTAAAGTAGTTGTTGCGGAAGAACTTTTATTTATTTATCGTTTCTAGTTTAAAAATATACATAGGTACAAATATACCTACGGAAAGAAATATGGATGAGAAGGGGTATGAAGTTAGAGAAATTGATTCTCACAAGGTTAGTATTTTTAAGAAACTGTACCCTAATGTTGACTGCCTAGGTATCAAATAGCCTACAGAAAAAAAATTATAACCCTTCAGTGTTCTTTCCTTCACATCCTAGGAAACAATTATACTCGGTCTCGCTATTATGAACACTCGTTTACAAAATTTAGTTTGAGGGGAAGTGATTCCATCTCCTTCACCTCACATTAAACTTTAAATCAGACAGCTAATGTATAGATTTGGAGAAAAACAAGTGTTGGGGAACCCAGCAAACCTTCCTCTTTTAAATAGTTATCTGCGATTGGACATAAGACATAAGATCAATTTATTTCCTTTAGAACTTTTAAGTACAAAGTCATTGGAAAACGTCAGTAATTCTAATAGGCCTACATTATGAAATATACATATTAAAGATTTTATGAATAAAACAATTCCTTCATCTTTATCTTTTTTTCAAAAGAGGAGATGTGTAAACAATTGAAATGTTCCTTCTCAAGATTTTCCGCTTATAGATTACTTAACACGTTCGCTGCTGAGCGCTAGATGCCGGGACGGCGCCAGTTGCTGAACTACGCTCGGCCGCTGCGTGACATTGCCACCGATACACTGAATTACAGTAAAAACAACAGTAGTTATACTGGATGGCAATGTTCTGCAATAAAACTGGCTTTGGATATAGTACTAAGTGATTCTGATAGATAGCAGCACTACCCAGGTTACAGTCGGTAAAGTAGTGTCGCTATCTAGCAGGAAAGAGGTAAAACAAAGCCCTGTTCCAAACGACCCTGGTGGTGATTTGGGAAACTATATTTTTTATTGTCAGAAAAGTACGTCCCCACGAGCTGCAAAGAAATATAGAACGCTTGTGACGTGCTGGCTTATCCATAGCAACGTTAAACAACAATGAACGGTGACGTTCTGGAACGTTCTTAGCTCCTGGCGCCGTGGCCCGGCTGACGTTCCGGAACGTCCGTAGCAGCGAACGTGTTAACTAGAGGTTTGTACAAAATAAATGTTTCTCTTGATTGTTGCATTTGTTAAGCCATTTGTTGTACCTACATTTGCTGTCAGCATTTGTTGTACCTATGTCTGCAACTGTCATGAGAAAGTTTAATTTTTTCTAGATTACTAGATTTATTAGGCCTACATACATTGTATAAATATTGCTGACATTTAAATAAACACCCACTGTTCATCACTCAGTCATTTCAGCAGCAATAAGTTAGAACATTATTTTTAAGTTTTTAAGTTTAGTAATACTTGAAATACTTGTCTTCTACATCGTTGACCGACATGTCGGATGGATTGCGTCATGTTACTATTTACATATAAACACTATAAAAACCATTAAAAATGTCTACATATACTTTTACTTCTACTTTTGTGGCGGACGTGTCACGTTAAAAAAAGGGGTTCGCTTTCCAACTCATGCAAGGCGTACAATCGCCTATTCAGCAGTCCATCACGAATCGCCCTCTTAAAGTCTGGCAGGTCCATGTCACGCACTCGCTTAGGCAAGGTGTTGAAGACCGTAATTGCCAAAGATATATGCTAATTACCAATGCCGTAGCCTACTAACCGAAACAATCACCATGAACATCTTGGTAAGGACTTCTCAGCTCTCTTTGAGGGGAATACGAGAGAAATTGGTATTTTGTGCTCACGTTGTGCTGGTCCGAAACAATCGCCACAACAACTATTTCATTAATAACCTCTCGGTAAGAACCTCTCGCTAAGCAAAAAATACAATCAAAACTTCTCGAGAAGTTCAAACAATCAAAACGTTCAGATTGTAACATCATGCAATCATGCAAATAGGGTTGCTGAATTATCACATAGCTCAAGCACATAGCGTCCAACAACTTCTATATTCTACTCCATATTATAATTGTAGCCTTTAGCCTAAACTAAAAGTATGCACCTGTTGACATGTTACTAAACTTACAAATAATGTTTAAATACAAACTTTTCCCAAGTCATTTTAATGTTATGAGGTCAAAAAATCCCTGATTCAGTAACTTAATAGGCTTTTCCCAACAAGGCTATCAATACGAGGTGAATATCAATACGTAATTGTACTTTACACCATTACCTGCATATACCTAGAAACTCTTAGTATTTCTTTAAACAAGTTTTAAGCATTCAATTAAGCATTGTGGAACTCTTGAGGTACCGGCAGAAAAATTTACCTACCTAATTTAAAAAAGTCAATTCTGTGTATACCCTACTAAGCTTATTTACACATATTTATTTTATTACTGAATTAAACTATGGTAAGTTAGGCCTACTTAATAACATTTATGATAGAAATTCTTGTTTTTATTTTCCAGGGTAAAGGATTGTTTGCCACCAAAGGTTTTGAACCTGGTGATGTGATTTTTGAAGAAGTTCCCCTTGTATGCTGCCAGTACGCTTGGAATAAAGATTATGGATACTCAGCTTGTGACCACTGCATGAGGTAGGCTTTAAACGTTAATACATTTGTTTTATTTCAGTGTAAAAAAGAATTGGCATAATCCTACTAATATTATAATTGGGAAAGTTTGGATGGATGGATGTTTGTGACAAGTAAACACGAAAAATACTAAACCGACAGGGTTGAAATTTGTTATGATGATAGCTCACATTATCCTGATTAACACAGACATATTCTTATCCCAAAAACCCTTCCAGACTCCGCCCCAGTGACTGGAGTTTCCCATGTTAACCTTATGAGTACCGGTATTCATCTATATAGGCCTATATAAAGCTCAAATACCACTGACTCATTCATTCATTAACTCACTCATCACGAAATCTCAGAAACCATAAGACCTAGGAACCTGAAACTTGGCAGGCATCTTCCTTTTGGGTAGTAGACGCTCACCAAGAAAGGATTTTACCCTCCGACCTCTGGGCTCCGCCCCAGTGGCTCTGGAGTTTCCCATGTTAACCTTATGAGTACTCATATTTAAATGGAATTAATGAATCTTAACAGCTGTTTCAATTAAACAAGTTGGTTCTGTTCTATGATGTTCAATAGCATTAAAGTTACAAGGATTAACAACAGGGTGCAGCACTATTATTTCTTTTACATTTATGACAACAGCTAATTTGCAACCAAAAGGTGAGTGAGCGTAGCGAACAAACTTCAACCAAAAAGTGAGTGAGCGTAGCGAACAAACTTCAACCAGGACGTTTCAGGACGTGATTGAGCCATGCGAACGAGATCATCTTGAAAATTAAGAAGTTAAACGGGGCAAAGCCCGCGGGTTACAGCTAGTATTTTTATAGCCTAAGGAATTAAAGAATTTTGTCAGCTGTTTCAACTGCACTAGTTGGTTCTAGGTATTAAATAGCATTAAAAAGTTATAAGGTTTACTAACAGGGTGCAGCACTATTATATTTTTGCATTTATGACAACAGCTAATTTTATATAGGCTACCGGTAATTATTATTATGAAATAATTATTTTTATAAAGCGCAAGTTAATTGGTATAAATGAAATAATTATTTTTATATTTATTTTATAAATAGATGATTGTCAATGAACAGGCAACACCTATAAGCAAATATCGTCATTCACGATCTCGGCAACTCGGCAATACCGTGGTCGTCACTCGAAGTCGCGGCAACACGCGTAAGTAAATGTTGTTGTCTCGGTAATAATATGATCGTCATTCGCGATGGCAGGAACACTTGTGAGCATTATTTGCTATTCCAGCGATACCGCGACCGTGGGTGACGATCCCCAAGAGTAAATATTGCGGTCTCAGTGATAACGTTAAAGTCATTCACAATTGCAGCAACACTCGCGAGCATATCTTGCAATCCTGCAATCGTCTCCTGCGATCGCTACTACATTGTGGACATCTCTTTCGGTATCAGTAACATTTCCTTGATGATCTCCAGTGATCGTGTCATGATTTACCTAGGGATGAAATGAAAGGGAACCAATGGAATGCCGTCAATGAATTAAAACTTGGTATTGGTAGTAAAAATTGGCTCTTGGTAATCATTGTAGTCCTTGGCCCACCCATACCAAATTCAAGTACGATTCTCGGTGCCCAGGTTGCCTGGATACCCAGATACTCTGTTTCAATATGTGTATAGTACACCAGTACACCAGTACACCTCTCTCACACTTTCCATATTTTTCCCAATAAGAGAAAATTGGCTGTAAGCATGTGCCTAGTGAAGTGAGCTATCTTAATACCAATCTTCTAAACTAAATGAACCTTTGATTTGAAAACTAAGGATCAGGAATAGGCCTACAAACTTTAACCCTGATTTGGCTGACCTTAAACTGCCAAATACAAAATTCTTGCATAACATTGCTGTTAATTTTAGCTTTACTTTTTGAAAACTCATTGTCAATTATTCTTTTCTGCATCACAATTAAATTAAATGTTTAATCAAGTTGGTATATCTTTGACTAGGTCTATACACTTCTCAATTGACTATTACTCTCTCTACTGTAGGCTACTTATAATCAGTGTGCGTCTGTGCGAATCGGCTGCAAATCTCACTTCAACGCTTTTCACATCGTAAACATTGCAGAATTGCTGTTTTATTGTAAAATTATCGCATTTAAAATGCATATCGTATAGGCCTATGATGGAATAAAAACATATTTGGTCACACAACATTTGTTTACAAGATGATTTTTCACATTAAAACTGCTTGAAACTTTGAAAAATGTATAATAACCTACCGGTATATTACAAAATAATGAGTTCAAACAAGTTTCAAGAAACATTGAAAAATGGACTCCTTGAACGTGCGTTTTATAAAATAGAAGAATTTTATAACCATCCCTTGAGTTAATTTTTTGTTTTTAATTTGCTTAACTACTGTACTGTATTAACATTATTTGGCTAGGTATTTTTTCCTGTTACTTTGTACTTTGTATTTTTCTAGTCTAGGCTCAATTTTGACAATGCACCTGTTCTATATGTTATCACATCTAAAAGAATGTTATGTGCAAATAAATAATGTCTAATGTCTAATGTCTAATGTCTTTATATGTGTAAACTAGCTGATCTGAATTGTACACGGTTTTAACTGACTACTAAATTCCCGTACGTAGGACGGGCTAACACCTCGTTAAATTAAATGTTTAATCAAGTAAACTAAGTATAAAACATCAAAAATATTTGGTGTTGTGTTTTCATCAGTCCTACCTAAAAACGTTAAAGACAAATAGGTAATACTGTAATATCATTGTAAATATACTGTACCCCTGCTCTGCCCCACAGGGGGTCTAAGATCCAGTCATTTTCTAATGGAAGTACTGCCAAAGTGCAAGGCGTTTAAAAGAAGGTGTGTGCATAGTGACGTCACGTGCAAGCTGAATGGGTTTTAATTGACCAAATCTTATGTTTTCTTGTAATTTCCCAAAGACTTTCAAATGACAATCATTATGAATTAGTATTGAATATATAGGCCTAACTCTATTCAGCTTTTTATATCCAACATAGTGTTTTATTCAATTTTGAATATACAGTAGACTCCCTCTTATCCGGACTCCTTGGGACCGAGGCCAGTCCGGATAACAGGTTTTCCGGTTAAACCGACGTCCCCAAAAACTCGTTAAAACCGACTGTTTACTGTGATATTGGACTTAAATTTAGGAGAGCGCTGTATTTAGACACGAGATTACTGGTCTCAAATCTTTCCCATGAGAACAGACGTTTCAGTATTGCCCATTTCCTGCCGATCTAGTCCGGTTAAACCATTGTGCTGATAAACAAGTATGTGAGTCGGTGGCTCAGTATGTGAGTCGGTGGCTCAGTCGGTAGCGTTGCGGACTTCGGGCCCAAGGCAGCGATGTCATGGGTTCGGATCCTGGTCACTGCCACTAAAATTTTATCAGTACAGTTCACCTTTGTACTGTACCGGCTCACTCCTTGCTTTGCTGTAAACGATCCACGCACGGGCGCTTAGTCTATGTGGACGGGCAAATGCAAGGTTAAAAAAGGCCGCCAACCTCTAAAAAAAAAAAAAATTGTCCGGTTAAAGAGAGGTCATTTCCGCCGAGTGTAGTCCGGTTAAACCAATGTCCGGTTAAAAGGTGTCCGGATAAGAGGGAGTCTACTGTAATCATAGTGTTATACAGTAGCCTATATTTACATATATTTATGCTTATACTGTTACGTTAAGACGGTAAATATACAAAAAAAGATGGTAAGTGGTGATTGATTTCGATTGGACACTCCAATCATCATCAGACCCAATAGGCGAATGACAAGAATCTTGAATGGCGTCCCTACTTAAAATACCCTATTGGCTACCGGAAGCACCGGCCAATACATTTTTATAAGTACAACTGGAATCAAAATTTACTTGTTCATTAATCAACTTATTTATATTTTTCCTGAAAAATAAGTTGATTAATGAAGAAGTAAATTTCGATTCCAGTTGTACTTATAAAAATGTATTAGGCACTTATGTATGTATGTAGGGTAGGGAAGGGGTTTGTAGGGGTCTTTATTTACCAAAAGAGCACCACTATAGCTTGGAAACACAATCATACATCATTAAGTGAAGCCATCATAGCTAGACCTGACAAAACATTGGTAGCCGAGTGGTTATAGTGCTCATCTTAAAATCTGAAGGTCGCTGGTTCGATTCCAAACGAGATAGTTTCCAGATCCAGATACCATATTTTCATTGGGCTATGAATACATTTTGCTATCTAACAAAAAGATCGACGTTAAGATTGTAACAATACCGGGGTTTGGACCTTACCCTTACGGGGTTTGGAAAGCCAAAGGGTACTATAAAACACAAAACTGCACTAATCTAATGAAATGCATTGCAACCATGACATTTTATACCATGCACATAGTGATCACGACACTAAAAACTTGCAGTATAGCCCAAGCAAATTAGGAAAAATAGAGGAACAAATCTATGTATTCCCAATGTTTTCAAAAATGTGTCGGGGAGGGTCCCCTAATGAATATATGATAGGTGAGAATAAAATCACCCTGCCGCTCTCTGGTGGTGGGAGGTGTAAATGCCCGAATTTGCGGTTTTTTGCTTATAACTTAAAAACGGCGTGTTGTAGCTTAAATTGTTCAATGTAAAAGTTAAAGCTTATTAAATTTGCTACAACTTTGATCATATACATTATTAGTGAAAGACGCATAGTTTCTGAGATATCCGCGCTCAAAAAAAATATAATGTTCGAAAAAAGATTTTCACCTTACATTTTTTGTTAAAATCTTATTTTTTCTCCTGCCTTGTTATTTTTCAGAAATATTGACGGAAAGAAGGTTGTAGAGAATTAAATTTACTTCAATAATATATACAAATATGTAAATAGATAAGATGTAGGTAAAAGTTACAGCGTGTTTAAGATTAAAGAGTAAATCGTGATTTACACAAATAATTACTAAGTCTTGTTTTTTTTTCATTGCATGATTTGTATGGTTTCTTATAATTATTTAGGCCAAACATAAGTATATTTAAGGTAAAAATTGGTAATAGTTATGTAAATAACAATTTGACAAAATATAAAGGTTATCTATTTATTACAATGATCCAAGTTAAAACAATTAAAACATACAAAATAAATTCATATTTAATTATAGAACTAATGTTGACTAAGGTAACATTAGTTCTATAATTAAATATTCTAGTTCTTGCCACTGAGAAATACATCACAAATTCATGTTATGATAAAGATTGATCTCATTCTTTTTCATTGTCTTCTTCCTCATCATCGAACATTGTACAGAGCCTAGTCTCGTTTTCTTGTCGGAAAGAAAGTTCTCTTGCTTTATACAACTGCCCCACGGAAAATATCGTACTTGATTTTTGCAAATGTACTAAAGATTAGCAGATATGTAGTCTAACCAAAAATTTGATGATGGAGATGTCCTCGATAGTGATTATCAGTTCCAGATGACACTAGGTTGAGAGACAGAAGTTGGACCCTCTCGTTCAAAAGGAGCCAGACCATGGATATTATAGTATTAAATCTTTGTTTCGGTAACTGTTGGTATAAATAAAACTGTTGTGATTTGAATTTTGAGTTTACAGAATCATTTTCATTATCCGCATTTTCCCTCCTCCCATTTTAAACAGTAAACAGGTTACAAACCATATTTTCAGGTAACTATTAGACTAATGTTGATTCCCCTAACAGGAGATGTTTACATTTCTTATTGTACCATTTTTTATCTCTTAAATATACTTATGTTTGGCCTAAATAATTATAAGAAACCATACAAATCATGCAATAAAAAAAAACAAGACTTATTATTATACAAGGTAATTATTTCTGTAAATCACGATTTACTCTTTAATCTTAAACACGCTGTAACTTTTACCTACATCTTATCTATTTACATATTTGTATATATTATTGAAGTAAATTTAATTCTCTACAACCTTCTTTCCGTCAATATTTGTGAAAAATAACAAGGCAGGAGAAAAAATAAGATTTTAACAAAAAATGTGAGGTGAAAATCTTTTTTCGAACATTATATTTTTTTTGAGCGCGGATATCTCAGAAACTATGCGTCTTTCACTAATAATGTATATGATCAAAGTTGTAGCAAATTTAATAAGCTTTAACTTTTACATTGAACAATTTAAGCTACAACACGCCGTTTTCAAGTTATAAGCAAAAAACCGCAAATTCGGGCATTTACACCTCCCACCACCAGAGAGCGGCAGGGTGCTTTCATTCTCACCTATCATATATTCATTAGGGGACCCTCCCCGACACATTTTTGAAAAAATTGGGAATACATAGATTTGTTCCTCTATTTTTCTTAATTTGAACTTATTTGCTTGAACTAGTATAGGATTTAGAACTGATATCTGAGCTGGCTCTTTTTTTTATAAAAAATAAACTTCTTTGAGTTAATAGCTTAGCCCTAGTAGAACCTTTTTCTTATTTGCCCTAGGCTGTTATTTGGTTTTATAGTATTTCCATTAAGCCAAATGGTTACTGACTTTTTGTTAATTCTTCATGTGGTTGATTTAGGTTATTTTAGTGACTAAGATAGATTTTTTTTAGTCACATTTGAGTTTGTGATATTTATCACTTACCTTGATGGGTTGGATGGAGATAATCTTTTTTAGAAACACACCTGCTCTTCCTTGATAACAACTTATAAAGAACATAAAATAACGATTTTGCAATAAATCAGAATTTTGGGTAATTTACACTTGATTCCAGTTTGAATCTAATGTGTTATTTGAAAGCTGTTATTTTAAGAAAATGTAAGCGTAATTCAACACTTGAATTAAGCTTACTTGTTATCTGGGATCACTTCTCTCACACTCGTACTATCCTGACTCATCCCTTGCTTTGCATTATACGTCACATGCATTTGAGTCCTGGATGTAGACGGATATTTACAACTAGCATGGCAATGGGCACATGTGTGCCTAATATACATTGATATACTGTATACCGAGGAATCATGATTTACAAAGTCGATTGTAATGTTCCCTCTAGACCTCTGGAAAGTGTTGAAGAGAATGTCCGCAGGCTCACCAGTAGACACATAGGTCTACCTCACCCGGAGTGTGATCCTACGGACAAGTCTAGGCATGTCAGCTGTCCTTCGTGTGGGGTGAGTCAATTAAAAGGTTTAGTTTGATTTGGTTATTGGTTGTAATATTCTTAAATCTTGTATGAATTAGGCTGCGGCCACATGGGCGTTTTTTTCACGCACAAACGCAGCGTGAAAACACGCGAAAAATTAGAGTAGCATTGAAACAAATAGACACCCGCTACTGCGGGAAAACACACTGCGTGTGGCATACCTCATTACATTTAATGCTGCTCATATTTCTTGCGTTTTTTCACGCTGCGTTCTTGCGTGAAAAAACGTCCGTGTGGCCGTAGCCTAAAGCAAGTTAGATTCAGCTGTTTATCCTAAAAGGAAAATTCCAATAGGGTTGAAACACAAAACAAAGTACCTGTAAAGCAAAAAATAATCATGTCAAAACTTTAAAAGTATCTTTTTATTTAGAATGAGCGTTGGTGGATTTCATAGATTTATAACTGAGTTTCACAATATTGAAAAGAGAACTAGAATCAAAACCATGTTTTGTTTTGTTGTTGAACAAGTTTTGATGGGTGGAAAAGGTTTAAAGAAGCATGAGACAGGCCTAACCTACTTTACATTATACATTTACTGTAACTTATACATGGTTTGCCTGTTAATTAAGGTCTCCAGTTAGCTCCTGTTTATTTTTGCGGCCAAGCAAGTGAGTTCAAATCTGAAACCAGCAGCAAAGATTAGTCTTGTCACAGTGGACGATATCATTGTAAGGGAAAATCGACGATCCTGCCAAGTATCAATATTGTTCTGTGGGAAGGAAGTTAACCCGGCTTGGTCGCAAAGGAACATGTCGGAGATCTTAATTGACAGAGAACCCATCATATATTTAAAGTAGAAAGCAATGTGATTAATTGGTGTTAACAATAGAGAGCTTTGAAAAAGACCCAATAATCTTTATTACTTTCTTCAATCTGTACATGATCAATCTGTACAGTCAGTATTATACTCGTAGTAAATGAAATAGAAAACCCAAACCTAGTTTCTTCATTTGCTACATTCTCTTTGTATCCTGTTGGTTTACAAGTTAATTTAGATTCAGTTGATGAACTTAATGGTTTTGTATTTAGCTTAAATGTTTTGTGTTGAAAGTTTCTTTAATTTTCTTTCTGAAGAAAAGGGGGTAATATTTTGGTCAAACTAATGGGTTTGCTGCAGGGTCAGACTATTTCATATAATCCAAGCCTGTAATTCCTTTTACAGGTGAAATATTGTTCAAACTCATGTCAGAACCTTGCAAGCCAACAGTACCACAGAGTTCTCTGCTATGGGCCGGACCATCCCATCAACAGCCTCATTGACACTTGGAAGTAAGTGAAGGTTATTGAAACAATTTTTTTTTTATTTAGAAAACAATGTCTCGCAAAGAAAAGAATGTAGGGCACAAGACACTGTTAGAGTGGTGTCAACGTGGAACTCCAACCAACCTCCCATTGAAAAATTGTCTATAACCTATGAATTTCTACCTAATTATTTTTTTTATTTCAGTGATAGAAACAGAAAGAACGTTTTTTGTTTCACGCTACCTATTCATTTATTCATCATCATAATTTATTTACGGTTATGCAAATTCAACATTAACTCCTTAGAGATCCAATTTTTTAATCTTTAACGCAATACCAGTAAAAGTAAATAAATATAGCCTAAAAAAAATGTAAATAAATAATGCACATATAGATTTACAAAAATGAACACAGGACTCAGAGACTTAATGTAGTTACTGATCTTAAAAATGATACTGAGCTGAATAGAGCAAAGTAACTACAACTCAAGTTATATAGTGTATGGAAGCTACCATGCAAAATTTTGTCCACTAAACCCAGTATACTACTGATCTTTTTGGAAATGATTACACTCCCTCATAATGGTTGCACTCAAGTCACACACTTAAGTGTAGGTGGAGACCCTAACTTGGTGGAGAGGTTGTCCCCAGGATGCATTCTGATACACCACTGTCTGCAGCGTAACGCTATGCAACGCCATGTAACCTTACGCTGCAGACTCCCAAGACATACCACGACAGACATCTGCGAAGGTTGCACAGCCCAATCATGACTCAGTTCTCATCACCCAAGTGGATGAGTCCAGATGAGCCCAATGCGCATGCGTGAGGGCCCATCAGTCACAGTTGTAACGTTACGTCTGCCCCCGAGCACTCGGTGAACGATCCAGCACACATCTCTGCTGGAGTCCGCAGAGTCTGTCTACGGCTTACTTTTGAAACAACGGTAAGCGATCGGCTCAAAAAATCTAAAGTGTAATATAGCGTTACGGCGCAGACAGCGGTGTGTCACTGCCTTAACTACGCACCTCTACCCAATTGAGAAATCTCATGGCTGATTAAACAAAGGTCAACAAATAAATAATTAACTTGTCATCATAAATTTATTACATTTAGTCTACACTAATGAATTTCTATAACCCAAAGGTTTTACAAATCCATGATTTTAAATCAGCCCTATAGATCGCTATACTCGTAGTGTAGCAGGCTTACCTGAATGAGGAAGTGTGCATCTGTGTACAAAAATGACTAAAACTTTACACCAGCGGTATTTAAACTTTTTAATCCGGCCGTTTATCTTGGATTTTTTTACAACCAACTTGATGATTCAATTATACTAATGATTTCAGAAGTTTAGGCTATTACTGTTTAGTGTGTAGGCCTACCTGACACCACATCTATTTGTCTTAGATCGATGCACTACCCTCCAGAAACAGCAACCATCATGTTAATTGCCAGGATATTTGCTGTTGTTGAGCAAGCTCAAGACAAAGACGAAGTTGTTTCTAACTTTATGAAGGTAAGGACCAATTAATTGCTTGTTTAAATTAACAAAGATATCGTATTATTATTATTAAATACTTTTAACAGTAGGACTAATTGTTTGCATTGAAAAATATTTTAACTTTCAGTTTTGCCACCGGTCTGTAAATGAAGAGGATGAAATTGCTCACAAACTTCTGGGTTCAGAATTCAATCATCAAAGGGAGGTGCTCAGACAACAGATGGCTTCTCTGTTCCCCAGTGAATACGTGAGACATGTAAGTACAATCAAAACTATCGTCCAAAACAAAACAAGAGTAATTAATTTGTGATAGATGGGCCTGTATTCCTGATGTACGGTATCTATATTATTAATATGCTACATGAAACTTTGTAAACAATAAGGCTTTACTAACTTTGCAAATGATCAGATATTTACAAGAAATGTTGATCATATCGAACCGTTATGTACATTGTGAGTTTTTCCATAATATTTGAGTCGACTCTTTCAAAGTCATCGGATGACTGTTATTCGTTTTAAAATAACGCCTGTAACACTTCACAATTACTCAAATTCGAGCAACAGGTACACTAGTTTGTAATAAATTGAGAGAAAGTCATACTCTTTAAAATTTTATCCATTCTTTTATTGCTACTAAATTTCTTTTGAATTGATAATTTACTTTGAATGTAAATGTCTTCTTACATTGTACGGCCCGTGTTGAACTATAGGGAGTGTCGAACTATCGAGATTCTACTCAAACTGTATCAGGTATTGGGGAGAGGGGGGGTTGTTAGTGTTGCGGTTAGAGTGCAGTAATTCTGACCTACAGACCACTACTAGGCCTATTATTGGTTTAAATGACCCACATAGAGTGTCGTTACCAAGAATAGACCTGAATAATTATCGCTATGAAGATAATTAGTTTTACACAGGTACATATTTTAACCTGGAAATGAGCGCAAGGTTTGTTTAGAATGGTGTGAGATGACCTGTGTAACTTAATTACTGACTAAATTCAGCTTTTTTCAGTCAAGACCATTATTAAAAAGCCCAATAATCAAAGGCAGCTGGACCCAGTTTTGAACCATAAAAAACTACTTTCTCAGGATTGAACCATATTTGGTTCAAGAGCTATGAAAGGTCTCATATGTAAGAAAAGGTTCATGTGGTTTTTGACTCTTTGGATTATAGACAAAATATGATATGAATATTAATATCCCGTTACATTCTAACCGTAATTCAATTTATAGAACATAGATCTCAAGTTTTGTAGTTCATGAAGCATAGTGGAATAAGAATAGTCTGAACAATGAACATCCTTATCCATGACGGATGTTAAAATTTTAACCCATTAATGAGCCCCATTGAAAATGATTTGATGCCTGCAGTGGTTGACACCAGATGGGTTTCGCTCCTTGCTTGCGCTTATCGGCACAAATGGTCAGGGTGTCGGCACCAGTGTGTTCAGTGCTTGGCAGAAACAAGTGTTACAACTCACACTACCTCCCGAGGAGACGTCTACTTTCAACTCTCTCATTGACAAAATATACGATGAGATGGACGAAGGTCAGTAGTAGGCCTACTGCTGTAAGTAAAGGTGTCACATCTGTTTTTCTTTTAAGTGACCATTGTTCTCAATTATATCTCACAATACAACACATTTTTATTTAATGAAAAATAATACTCCTTAACTATTTTTTTACTGTAACATTACAGATTTCTAATATCTGTAAGATATTAGTAGATCTGAAAGATACAAAAACAATCTGAATTCTTACCAGCTTGTTAATTCCTACATGTAAGTACTAGCCACTTTTGAATTATTGTATTTTATGAATCATTTATTTATTTATTGAGCGAAGCTCTTATACGTCGACTCTTTTGCATTTCGTAATACGCAAACTCCTAGACGGCTGAATCAATTGTTTTCAAATTTTGCATGTTGATAAAGACCATACCGGTGAGTGCCAACATCTATATCCCTCCAAGTGTCTCTAGTTTTGGTCTTAATGTTCGCCCATTTATTGCGCAATCGCAGGGTTTTATTAAAATGTATCTTAGAAACTTAAAAACAATGTAAAGTATACTGTTTTATATATCATTTTGTTTGGAAAATTATGGGCTTCAATGTAACATATAAAACATAAAAAAAAAATGTTCAACAATTTTTGTGGGGTTAACATTTCTCAAAAATTATAAAATAAATGAAAAAAAAATTTATTTGCGCTCAATAAATTGTTATAATTTATAGGTCTACAAATATTTTAAAATAGCCACTTTGTTCAGAATTTTATGAGGATTCCAAAAATAATATAAGGAAGTAGATTTGCAAATAAATAAGTTATGGGCAAAAAACAGATTTCGGTACATAGCGTTTAGCTAAGAATGCATAGCCTAACCATAGCTAGGAATCTGGCTGATAATTTACATCAATATCACTACCTACTTTTTCAGGATCATCAGACAGCCCTTCAAAATCACTTAAATCTTCTTATAATGCACCACGTATATCACTACTTTTGATTTTTAACACTAAAACAATGATAAACGTAATAAAACACATCAGTCATCGGTCCGAGGATAACCAAGCTGCTTACAAATACGAACGTCAGCTGTCTGCTACAATTATGATCGGCTCGAGAAAAAAAAGCGCTTAGAGACAGACCTCGGGAGAAAGCTTAGAATCTGCCAAATAAAACGATATCTAACTCGATCCAGTTCAATCCGATTTTGTCAGTCATAGAGCCTTCGCCGTAAACAGTGTTTGTGAGTCAAAAAATCGACACAAAACACTACACAAAGTGTGTTATGTGTCGTAAAATCGGAGGGATATGGCGTTAAAAAAGTCTCTCAGGAATCCGCCCCACTGGGTCTCAAGTTTCAATGTAATCCTTATGGAAGCAGTATTTGACACATAAACAAAGACATATGATCAGCTGTTGACTTTTGAATGCAGTATGTAAATAAATAGCTGATAGCATTATTCCACAGATATTAGAACAGGAACGGTATGGATCATAAATATAATCAAATGGCGGCACTAGCTTGAGGCCCGTGACGTAGGAAGTGGTGAAGGAAGTAGTAAAGGCAAGCTGTTTGGGGTGTGGGATCTGTTTATGACCATTACATTAAAAGGTAATTGCAATCCTATGATGCTATGGGAAGGGAGGGAATCAGGTCCGTGACGTAGGAAGTGGTGTGAAGGAAGTAGTAAAGGCAAGCAGTCTGGACTAGGGGAACTGTTTGTGACGATTAGATTAAGGTCCGGAGTTTGGGAACCTTTTATGACGATTAGATTAAGGTATCTGCAATCCTAAAACGCTATGGGAAGGGAGGGAAACAGGTCCGTGACGTAGGAAGTGGTGAAGGAAGTAGTCAAGACGAGCTGTCTGGAGTGTGGGAACTGTTTATGACGATTAGATTAAGGTATCTATAATCCTAAAATGCTATGGTAAAGCAGGGAAACAGGTCCGTGACGTAGGAAGTGGTGAAGGAAATAATATAAAGGCGAGCAGTCCGGAGTGTGGGAACTTTTTATGACGATTAGATTAAGGTATCTGCTATCCTAAAATGCTATGGGAAGGGAGGGAAACAGGTCCGTGACATAGGAAGTGGCGAAGGAAGTAGTCAAGGCGAGCTGTCTGGTGTGCGGGAACTGTTTATGACGATTAGATTAAGGTATCTACAATCTTAAAATGCTACAGGAAGAGAGGGAAACAGGTCCGCGACGTAGGAAGAGGTGAAGGAAGTAGTAAGGTGAGCATTGTGGAGTGTGGGAACTGGAAACCGTTTGTAGCAGTTAGATTAATGTATCTGCAATGCTGAAATGCTATGAGAAGGGATGGAAGCATGCCCACAACATAGGAAATGGTGATAGAAATAGTAAAGGCTAGCAGTGCAGAGAGTGGGGAATGTTTTTGGCAGTTAGATTAATGTATCTTCAATCCTAAAACGCTATGAGAAGGGAAGGAAACAGGCCCCACGATGTAGCAAGTGGTGAAGGAAGTAGTAAAGGCTGGCAGTGCAGAGTGGAGGAACCGTTTGGGCAGTTAGATAAATGTATCTGTAATACTTACATGCTATGAGAAGGGAAGGAAACAGGTATATGACGTAGGAAATGGTGAAGGAAGTAGTAAGGCTAGAAGTGCAGAGTGTGGGAACTGTCTTTGGCAATTACATTAATGTATCTGCAATCCTATAGTGCTATGGAAAGATAGGGAAACAGGTCCAGGACGTAGGGGGTGGTGAAGGAAGTAGTAAAGGTAAGCAGTGTTGAGTGTGGGAATGGATTAATGTATCTGCCATGCTAAAATGCTATGAGAAGAGACTTAAAATGATTATGAAGCACGAATCGATACATATTTTCGATACATGCAATCGTTTACAATCGAAATTTACAACTTAGTTGACAACAGCTGATTTTTACTCCATAGAGGCTAAAAACGATTTTTACTCCCTAAAGAGTAAAAACGCTACTTTAGACCCGCAACGCATGCATTAAAAACGACTGTTTTTACTGCAGTATGACAAAAACAATATAATATGAACCGTTGATGACTCCGCTCAATTTTGTGGATGCCTCTGCGAACGCCACCTAGTTTATTTATGGGTACACCATTTTTACAAGAAAATACGGAGAAGTTTGTACAGAAGAAAATACATAGAAAATACAGTGTGTCTTTCTAACAAATGACTGGCCAGTACAAAAGTAGTGAAAAAGACTGGAAACAACAAGATTATAAGAACAAAACATACAAGATAACCTCAAATAATCATTTAATTATAAATAACAAACTATCAGAACAAGTTACAGAACAATACAATAGATTCACAATAACAAAACCAGTATGCAACATAGAACAATAATGATAGCAATACAGTAAAACCATGCAACTTGAGTAAATAGAGGCAGAACAATGTTGATGAAAAACAGATGAATACTTGCACAAAAATAACAATATGATAGACTCTGTAACAAGAACAAGATAACAACAGATAGACTAAGACTATATTAAGAAAAATACCCCCGCCGCAGCAAACCTGCAGACTAAGCGAATTTCAACTTGTCTGGTTACATTTTTACTAAAATATTTCCATAAATAAGACATATATATTTCCAATTTAAATAACGTTAGATTTAACGAGTGCTTAGGTTTGCTGCTACGGGGAAGGTAAAAAGTGTTTTTTGACCATATGTCAATAGTATAGGATGAAATAAATAAATTTGCAAAATTTTATCAACATTATATCCATAAACAAGTAAATTACAACAGTTTTCATTTTCTCCATAAGAATAACATGGGAATTTTAAACATTTTTTTAAATTTTCTCCGTGACCGTTAGGCATACAACAGCGCTTCAATATACTAAATTATTTCTTTTTTTAAGCTGTACAAAATGGTTGAGAAAGAAATTAAAAATTTTTTTGGTTTTAGGGTAAAAAATGGGAAAACCCCATTTTTACCCCATAAAACCCCCCATAAACCCCTGTTCCCATGGTCCGATTATGCTGGTTAGCGAACTCGTTCGAATAAACGTAGGTTTACACGTTTGTACCAAATTTCATCAAAATCGGATAATTTTTGCTCGAGAGTTATCGCGCTAACGGACACATATATAAATATATCTTACTAATATTATAAATGTGAAAGTTTGTGTGTTTGAAGTTCAATCACGCATAAACTACTGGACGGATTGGGCTGAAATTTTGCATGATGATAGCTCACATTCCCGATTAACATATAGGCATATTCTTATCTCAAAAATCCTTTCGGGATCCGCCCCAGTGGCTCTGTAGTTCCCCATGTTAACCTTGTGCGTTTTCATATTTAAAGGGAATTAAAGTATTTTGTCAGCTGTTTCAACTAAAAAAGTTGGTTCTATGATATGCAAAAGTATTAAAAATGTATAAGATTTACCAACAGAGTGCAGCACTACTATTTTTTTCTTTGCATGTATGAAAACAGCTAATTTGAACTAAGCAGCAACAAAAAGCTGTGATACGCAATGAGGACTGTCAAAGTAGGATTGTTTACAGTTGTTTATGTTTTTAATTTCATGAACAATTTGTGATATTTTGCGAATTTTAATAAATAATTTTTCTTTATTGTTTAGGTAAAGTGGTAGAACATTATGGCTATGGTAGATGTGTAATACTATAGTATACCGTTAATTTAAAGAAGCAAATTTTATCAAACTGTGTCCGCCCCATTGAAAATGCAAAGCTTGAGTATAACTGCAATAAGCATTTTATACTTTTATGCCAACCCCGTACGAAGGACGGGTACTCTGCTAGTATATAAATATATTGGAAACATTATAACAACATTAAGTACCCTTTTAAATTCATTTTAATTAAGAAACGACATGTTTCGACACTTAGGTCATAGTCATGTTTTTATACAAATACAATAACAGATTAATGCAAAGAATAAATATAATCATATGTTAAGCTAACTTAAAATTTAGAGGATCTTGATCTATTCTTTGTTTAATTTTGCGTATATTATATAATATTTCTGTTTTATTGCAATTGTAGGATTTTTTCGAATATCGGATTTTTTTTGTTGACGTTCATGGTATTCAGTAAATTTTGAGGAAATCTTTTGTAATTTGTGTATATATGAAAATCTTCCTTGACATTTAATTTTGTTTTATTTCTTTCATATTCTAGAATTTCTAAATTTTCATTTATATTTTTGTATTCATGTCGAGTTTTGATAAGGTGCTCTGCAAAATTTGATTTCATTGTCGTTTGGTTACCTGATTTTAACGCTTGTATATGTTCTTGGAACCTTTTTTTAAAGCTACGACTTGTTTGGCCAATGTAGGATTTATTACAGTCTGAACATTACAGTCTGAATTTGATAAATGCCTGATTTGTTTATATCTTTTACTTGGTTGTTATATGCTTCATTAGAAATTTTGTTTTTTATCATCTGAAAGGCATTATTTTTAGTTCTGTAACTTATTTTCAAATTAGAATTTTGGAAGGTTTTTCTTGTTGCCTTGTTTAAGATTGTACTATGGGGTATGCAAATGAATTCTTTTCTATTGTATTCTTCAATCGATCTTAGTGTTTCAAATTTCTTCTTAATTTTCTTTCGAATCATTTTTTCAACTATAGAAGATTTGTACCCATTTTTCAAGGCTAAATATAGGATGATGTTTTTCTCTTTTTCAAAATCTTTGTTTGACATTGGTATATTTACTAATCGATGTGTCATTGAATGAAAAGTTGACAATTTGTGCTGCCACGGGTGATTTGAATTTGATGGTATGATTATGTCTGTTGTAGATGGTTTTCGGTATATTTTAAACTTATGCTTGTGTCTTTCTTTCGAAATTGTTATGTCTAGAAAGTTGATTTGTGAATTTTGTATTTCTTTAAAGAATTTAATTTGCGATGAAAGATAATTTATGTGTTTATGTATTTCTTCTGCTTCAATTTGAGTGCCTTCAAATAGGCAAAGAATGTCATCCACATATCGGTACCAACCAATATAATATTTTTGATTTGTTAGGATTTGTTTCGTTTAAAATCTTGGTTGTTTCTAGATTGTTCATGTAAATATCTGCTAAAAGTCCAGAGAGGGGAGAGCCCATGGGTAAACCGTCTTCTTGTATGTAAAATGAATTGTTGTATTGAAAATAATTTTGGTTTAGTGTAACTTTTGTTAGTTTGATTACGTCATTTAAAGTCTTGTTAGTGTTCCATGGTCGATTAATTGTTGTTCGAGTATCTCAATGGTTTCATCTATAGGTATGTTTGTATACATATCAATTACATCAAATGAAAGAAACAATGAGTTCTGTGGTATATTAATATCTTTAATTTTGTCTATCAATTCGTATGTATTAGATACATTGACAGTGTTGTTCAAATTTATATTGTTTTTTATTTTACTGTGTAAATATTTACATAAATTGTAAGTAGGGGCTTGTCGAAAATTGACTATTGGTCTAATTGGGATGTCTTGTTTGTGCGTTTTTGGTTGTGCTCGTAATGTGGGGGATTTTGATTTGGCATTTTCAAAGATATTTTGTCTTTTTGTGTGATGCTTTTACATTTTGATATTGTTGAATTTGTAGTTTTTGTGAATGTCTCTGTTGGGTCTTTTGTTAATAATTTAAATTTACCCTTTTCAAGAAAAGTACTAACCTTATGTTGGTAATCAGTTTTCTTTATGACAACTATTGAATTTCCTTTGTCAGCTTGTGTTAATATTGCATTATTTTCTTTTAATTTTTCAGTTATAGAATCAATAAGAGATAGGTCTTCTTTGGTTTTTCTTTTGGCATTTTGTCGTTTGTTTTCCAATTTTAATTTGTTTACTTCATGTATAAAGTTGTGTCTAAAGTGTTCTTGTCGGTCGTCTTCTTGTTGTCTTATGGATATTTCTAAGTTAAGTAAATCTTCTTTTATGTTATGTTTTTGATGGTCTAGATTTAGATTATATTTCATGGAATTTCCTAAAAAGTTTTCTTCATTTTCTGTGAAATTAATGTCTGTTATATTTTTCAATTTTGAAGTGAATTCGTTTTTGATTGTGCTTTCGATCTCTAATAGGTAGTTTGTTTGATCTCCACGTAATTTGGTAAGTTTTTTTCTTTGTATTGTTTTCTTTTTGTTGATCATAGGTCCAATCCAGTTTTTTTATATATTCTAGTACTTCTTTGATTGTTTCAGAATGGTAAATGGTCTTCATTTCTTCAAATTTGGTTGTCATTTGACTTTCAATGTCATGTAGTTTAGCATATAGGAATTTTACTTCTTCTTTTAACCATATCTTTTTGGCTGTATTGATTGTTCGGATTGCTGCTTGAGATTTACATTTTGTATGAATCTGTACGTAATTTGGAGTAAGGTTTTGAGCTAAACATAGTTTGTTGAACTTTATGTCTTCAATGATTTTTTTCTTTTTTTAGGTTAAGGTATTTGTATTTGTGTATCACTTTGTGGTTGTTAGCCATATTTATAATAAGCATGGTTGTGATTAGGGCTACTATATTAATAATTGGAAACATTATAACAACATTAAGTACCCTTTTAAATTCATTTTAATTAAGAAAGGACATGTTTCGACACTTAGGTCATAGTCATGTTTTTATACAAATACAATAACAGATTAATGCAAAGAATAAATATAATCATATGTTAAGCTATGTTTTAAGCTATAATTAAGTTTCTTAATTAAAATGAATTTAAAAGGGTACTTAATGTTGTTATAATGTTTCCAATTATTAATATAGTAGCCCTAATCACAACCATACTTAATATAAATATATATATGAATTTGAACGGATGGTGTTTTTGGCCTCTGAGGACCTCAAAACGAAAAAGTAAATCGGTCCCGGGTCTAGGTCTTACCATGAGACCTACGGTAATAGCTTATTCCCTATATGGGAAATTCGCTAATAAATAACAATGCAGTAAATAGAAAGTTTAGAACATGCAAAGATAGATGCAGGAGATCAGGATGAAGTAGGACAAAGGTAGGAGATAAGCATTTCCCTCAGCAAAAAGATGCCAACACACGAAAATGGCCTGAAAGCCTTTGCTTGAACAGATAAAGGCAGTAAGCCTCCTGTTATAGAAAAACAATATGATTTGATAAAATTCCATCTCAATAATCACAATTAAAGCACATTGCAATATGTTAAGAAAGGCTTGAACCATTGACTATTTATAGAACTAGAAGTTTTCACTGGTTTTTGAAATAAAATGGTCGTTGAATTGATCCACCTACAGAGTGCATTGATGTTAGTTACTGATTGTTGAATACGTAAACGTTTAACTAAGTTAAACTGACAGCACAACTTATTGTACGCTATTAAATAGAATGTTTTTATGTCACACAAAATATTTCAGTACCACAACAGTAACAAAAACTAAGGCAGAAAATTAAATTTTTGACTGTAACACAAACCGCGAGTGGCTCATTCAACTATGTACTTTTTCTATAAAAGACATGCTAAAGCTGGTCCATATAGCTGGGACGTCTATTCCAGTACCCTTAAGTCAATGCTTAAACTCAAGAAAATAAACTAGTGTCACAAAAACACAACACAATTCCTAAAGTTTTTTAAAGAAGTAAGCAAAAACATTTTATAAAATATCACTAAACTGATGTAAAGAGTATTGCAATATAAGGATGATTGGAACTGTTTTCAGTGGTTGGTACTTTCCTGAACTGTGAAGGGTCAGCTCTGTACAGTCTGCAGCGTCTAGCCAATCACAGCTGTCAGCCGAACGCCACAGTCACCTTCCCTCACAACGACTACACCCTGTCTCTGAGGGCGGAGAGGACCATACAGCCCAATGAGGAGATCTGCATCAGCTACCTGGACGAGTGCTTGTTGAGTCACAGCCGTCACACTCGCCACAAAGTGCTCAGGTCAGTGCTGCAAAATAATCATATTTATTTTATATTTCTTTATGATCCTTTTCTTTGGCTTTGCAGAACAATTTAGAAAAGATTAATACCATAAATTACACCTAAACAACAAAACAGTAACTAATCGTAATTGACCTTTTTGAAAGAAATGCTTTGTAAGAGTGCTCAATAAATTTACCATGTGGAGTGTCGTAACCTAACGTTACGCTAGAAAAGTGGACAAAACAGCAAGAGAACCACTTACGTTCGTTGGTGGACATAGAAGACGGAGCCGTGACGAATCATCCCACTTCAGGGCCCAGTGCACAGTGCAGCCACCCCGCAAAACATAATAACTCTTCCGTTACTAATAATTATGACTGTTCATATATGAAACTATAATGACTTCTACTACACTCGTCTTCCCCATATAAAAAAAAGTCAATATCATAAATTCAAAATTAACTCAACTTTCAAAATAAAATAAATTCACTTTCAATATAATGCAACAAAAATTTCTTCTTCCCATTATTCATTAATTATTTTACAAGTCCAGCCTGTGAGGCTTTCGCACAGTCCGTCCAGACTTCCTCAGGGAGGGTGGTGGGCTGCACTGTGCTAGCGGCGACGCAGGAGTTGGCTGAGGCTGGGCTTGCCCTAGGCTCTCCCTGGGACTGGTAGTAGGCCTAGGTACAGGTGACATCATCAGGGGACTAGTTGGTCGATCCTCCGGCGGGGGTGAATTCTCGGGTACTTGGGGTGATACAACGGGATCCTTGGGTGATACAAAAATCTCCTCTTCTTCTGCATACCGAGCTCTCAAGTGGTCTGCATGACAAAATCGGGGTTTTCCACCAATGACACTCACAAGATAGGTGACCGGACTTCTCTGTATAATTATTTTGCCAGGAACCCAAGAAATCTTTTCATTTCGGACAGTTTTGACATAGACTGCCTGACCTTCTGAGAAAAATCTACTTCTTCCCCTAAGCCTATCAGCTGCATCTTTTTGTTCCCTGTGTTTTTGATCAATGGATGACTGGAGATTGGGTTTTAACATAACCAACTGTGTACGAGGCTTCCAAGACAGGAACATTTCTGCAGGTGTTAAGCCAGTAACTGTATTTGGAGTGTTGCGGTACGCAAACAAGAAATTATCTAATTTCATTTGAAGAGTGGTACGCTGAGAACGCTGATGTTCCTCAATCACTTGACGCAAAAGGTTTTTCTTGACCTCCTGAACACTTCTCTCTGCAGATCCATTTGAAGCCGCATGATACGGGGGAGTTAATGTGAACTTCACATTGTTGTTATGCAAAAAGGTTTTGAACTCTTGACTAGTAAAAGATCTTCCGTTGTCCGACACCAGTTCGACAGGCAATCCATACGATGAAAACAAGGTACGGAGTTTCTCAATAACCTTGGAAGAATTCATGGAACTCATGATAAATACCTCTAACCATTTAGAGTATGTGTCAATCAAAACTAAAAGTTGCTGTCTCGACTCTGGATCGTCCGCAAAGTCAATGTGTATCCTCTGCCATCGAGTTGATGTTGTAGGCCATTGCTGCAACGGTACTTTAGGTACCGAATTCCTAGTTAACTGACAAGCAGAACAAGAAGCCACTACGTCCTCAATCGACTTTTCCATGCCTGGCCACCAGACATAACTTCTCGCCAGCATCTTCATGCGCGTAACTCCCGGGTGTTGATCATGCAACATTTGAAGCACAGATGAATACAGTTTCTTTGGAATCACTACACGAGAACCCCACAGCAAACAACCTTGTTCCACGGACAACTCGTCCTTCTTCCTTAGAAAAATAGCTAGTTCCGGCTCAACAGAGCTTGTCCAGCCGTACATCACAAAATCTCGGACCTTCGAAAGAATCGGATCCTTATCCGTCATTTTACCTATATGCAAGGCAGTAATAGGTGCAATGTCCTTGACAACACAGAAATTGTTCATCACTTCTGTACACACATCTACATGTGAAACAAAATTAGCATCCAGCTCTATAGGTTCCGCTTCTGCTAAGGGTAACCTAGACAACGCATCAGCGTGAGGGACATCCACTCCCTTCCGGTACCTAACCTCCAAATCATATGCTGATAGAATCAAGGCCCATCTCTGCAGCCTAGCTGCCGCCATACTAGGAACGCCCTTTTTAGAGCCAAAAATAGCCGTCAACGGCTGATGATCAGTCTGTAAAATACAGTGTCGTCCATATATATACTTATGAAACTTTTTGACTCCAAAGATCAAAGCCAGAGCCTCCCGATGTAACTGAGAATAATTCCGTTCACTGGAACTTAACGTTTTCGATGCGAAGGCAATTGGCCTTTCCTGCCCATCGATAAGATGAGATAGAACAGCAGCCACCCCTCTGGGACTCGCATCAAACGTCAGAACTATGGGCTTTTTAACATCATAGTGAACTAACAAACTTGAGTCCAACACCCATGATTTACTCTCCTGAAAAGTCTTAGAACACACCTCCGACCACACCCATGGATGATCCTTATGTAATAAGTCATAAAAACAGCTTATTCTAGCAGACAGGTTAGGTATAAATGCATGATAATAATTTATTAGACCAATATAGGCTCGTAACTCTTCCTTAGTACTAGGCTCAGGCGCTTTACGCAGTGCAGTTAACAAACTTTCTTGTGGACGGAGACCATCTCGAGTAATCACATGTCCTAAATACTCTATTGAAGATTGCAAAAACTTACATTTTTGTTGGTTTACTCGAACACCAAACTCATCAAGGCGTTGCAGCACTTGCGCCAGACGGGCGAGCCCCTCTTCCTTAGAGCGAGCCGCTACTAAGACGTCATCTAAGTACGCCACCGTTCCTGGAAGACCTGTTAAAATTTGGTCGATGGCTGACTGAAAAATTGCAGGAGCTGAAGACAAACCATATGGTAGCCTTTTTAATCGATACAGACCCTTATGGGTGGCTAAGGTCAACAGATGTTGCGATTCATCCGCTACCGCCAATTGCTGATACGCATTTGAAAGATCAAGGCAGCTAAAAACTGAGCAACCGCCTAGAGTTGCAAAAATATCTTGAGCCTGAGGAAGCGGATAATGTTCCATTTCAATACACTGATTAAGAGTAATCTTATAATCGGCACAAAGCCTAACACCATTAGGCTTAGGGACAACCACAAGTGGAGTGCTCCACTGTGAATTAGTAACTCTGTACGCAACATCCTCTTGAACCATGCGGTCCAACTCACTCTAAACTTTCTCCCTTAACGCAAAAGGCACTGGTCTCGCCTTACAAAACTTAGGGACTGTCCCCTCCTTTAAGACAATATGAGCCTTAACACCCTTAATTTCGCCCGTTCCAGGCTGAAAAACTGACTTAAATTTACTCTTCAATTTAGCAATGTCCAAATCAGAACTGTGATCCACAGTGGCTTTACATGAAAACACATTTTGCCAATCTAACCTCAACTGACCTAACCAGTTTCGGCCCAACAGAATCGGTTGACTCTTACTTTCTAAACTAACTACTGTCAAAGGCAAACTCGCCTGCTGATTATTATATTTAACATTGACATTCACTTGTCCCAGAACAGGTACATCATGACCTGAATAAGTAGTAAGTTTCACATTTGCTGGCCTAAGTTTGAGGTTAGAAAATTTATCATAAAATATCTCAGAAGGACATATAGTCAAGGCACTGCCTGTATCTAGAATCATTTCTAAATATACATCATTAGCCACTAGGCCTACCTTATAGCCGTTGTCTGATCCTGATTTAAGGTTGTACAGACCTATCTCTGCCATTGGAACTTCTAGGCCTAGGCCTACCTCTTCCTCCACTTGATGGACCCCCATCCTAGGTGTCGACTTTTTACCATGGAAACTAGAAGATTTCTTGGCTTTACACACTTTCTTGAGATGACCTACTCCCTGACAACCATGACACTTGTAACTGGCGAACGCACACGCACTAGGCCAATGACCAGCAGAACCACACCTCCAACAAGAGTTTCTAGAATTTTGATTTTCACTACTCCTATTCACGAAAGTTTTAGGCCTATTTTGACTTTTCACATTGATTTTCGCAATGTCCCCACGAGGTTGCACAAATAGGCTTGACTGCGATTCGGCCTGTTCCAGCCTGAGCGCTAACGCATAAGCTTCGTCAAAGTCCAATTCCTCCGACAACAATTTATGCCGGATAGTTTCATTAGAAATGCCGGAAATCACTTTGTCCCTCAAAGCGTCTTTCAAAAAGGTACCAAATTTGCATGAACTAGCCAAATGTTTTATTGAAACCACAAACTCCGCTATGCTTTCGCCCGGCTTTTGCATACGAGAGTAGAATACATATCGCTCCGCCACAACCAACTTCTTGGGCGCATAATGTAATTTCAACAACGCTGCAAGTTCATCATAGGTCTTAGAATCTACCTCTACCGGTGATAATAAATCGGATAGGACCGATAAAACCCTGGGACCAATAACTGTAATTAAAACCGACACCTCGTTCTCCTTCTTAACATTGTTCGCTTTGAAAAAATGTTTCAGGCGCAACAAATAGGGCACAATGTCCTCCTCACTTGGATTAAATTCAGAAATCCTGCCAACACTAATACTCGCCATTTTTAATCATCTCAACTATAATACGCACTAAAACAACAACTGTTATCGCGTACTACCCTAACTATGATAAAAAGGTTTATTACCGACTGCGCCAAAACGTCGTAACCTAACGTTACGCTAGAAAAGTGGACAAAACAGCAAGAGAACCACTTACGTTCGTTGGTGGACATAGAAGACGGAGCCGTGACGAATCATCCCACTTCAGGGCCCAGTGCACAGTGCACCCACCCCGCAAAACATAATAACTCTTCCGTTACTAATAATTATGACTGTTCATATATGAAACTATAATGACTTCTACTACATGGAGGAATGCAGTAGTACTATGAGTGTAAATGAAGATACCTGGGCCCTATATATCTTCCACTAATCACTACTACAGCCAGTTTAATGTCCCCTTTTTTGTTCTTATCTACGCCGTTGGTATTTTTTAGAGGAGATAAAAGTGAGTGATATTTTAAAGTTTTTTAGGAAAGCGGTTTGAACCCAAATGGGTACTTCAGTATTAAACGGAGGCCACCATTACGAAACGCGCCGTGGCACTTATAGAGGGTTAAATTGTTATAGATGTTGTAGTAGAACTATTCTAGTATTGTTGTGAGTCGAGCGTTATCAGATGAGTCATGTGTCTACTCGCAGAATCCCCTCCAAGTAGGCCAATGTCAGGGTCGTTGACCGGAGCGCGCGTCATTACCTGTCATCGCCTGTCACTGTGTCTGAAACGGAGGCCACATTTTGTCAGCGCGCTGCGGCGGTTATGTTAGGTTGGGTTATCATAATAGAAAGTATAACTCGTCTGGTATCGTTCGATTCATAACGAAGCGAGGAAAGTCCTACACACATAATATTTACGATAACCCAACCTAACATAACCGCCGCAGCGCGCTGACAAAATGTGGCCTACCGACATTGCTGCGTTCTGGGTTGCACAACGTCAGAACCAGGCGTCGGATTAATTCTAAACTTCACCTGTTAATCTATTAAAGTGTGTTCTTTCCAAGTATGTAGTTATTTTTGGTATCCGGTACGAAATATTTCTGTAGGTTAGGTGGCCTCCGTTCAATACTGAAGTACCCCCATATGCTTTAAAACCATACCTTTCTGTTGATTACTTGCTTTACAAATAAACCAAAATAAAGCTTCCTAGTGCCTCCTGTGTAGTATAATAACAAGTTATTCAATCTTTTATTTTACTGTATGTGTTTTAATGGGATTATTATTTTTACGATTTTTTCATTGTAGTGGTCCAAATTAAATTCTGGCTCACTATCTATTAACTTAATGGACTTATTTATTTTTAGGCCTTTTCTGTTGAGTTCCACTCTTAAGAACAGTAATGTGCAAAGGTTTGATAACGTTAACCCATTGGGGAATGAATTAATGCGCTACCTGTAGCACCCTCTGGTGGCAATTAATTTTACCGAATTTGTAGACTTTTACTCTAACTGCTATAGAAAGAAAACCTTAGGTAATAAATTAATAATTCTTTCACCATTTTGTTCACGGTAAAATTGTCTACAGAAAAGTGGTAATTGGATAGTCAACCAAAAAAACTACCAAAAACCAAAAAATATATGTATATATAAAGAGTATAAAAATAATAATTTTAAAAACAATAGTTTGAAAGTAAACTTGATATACAAATTCCAAGATTAATCCAGACACCAAATAACACTACTATTATAAAGGTCAATCGATTCCCTACGTAGAAAAATCAAAAGTTGTGTCCTTTTATAAGTAATAACATTTTTTTTAAATTGTTTGTTTACCTTACCGCAGCTGATTTTTAGTGATATGTAGTTTCCATGGCAACACAAAATTGTTTGTTATTCGCTAAAGTAAATGAGTAAATACGCAAATCAAGAAGCAAGATATTTATAAGCATTATAATAGTAAGATGAAACAAAAAGGGCAAAAAATAATAATAACAAATGGCGCTGCCTAGCGGTGATACGAGCGGCTCTCGTAAGTCGGCCGCCGGGCCTGCAGCGGCCGTACGAGTAACGCTCGTAAGTCGGCGTCAATGGGTTAAGGTAGGACTTCCTAGCTGCTGAATTCTGGTGCTGAATACGGCTGTGGGATTGTAAATGTTTAGCGAGTGTAGCTGGGTTTAGTGTATAGCGCCCACCAAAGGCGAGGGAAATGACTGTACCTTACCCATAGACAAAGAAATTGGGCCCGAAAACACAGCCTTATTTGTTAGCTTATCCACCATTACTCATGATGTTTTTAATATCAACCTTTAAGGTCATAAGGTAACTGAAATGTGAATGTACAGGGACCACTACCTGTTTGTGTGCAGCTGTGATAGATGTCAGGAGCAGGCGGACGATCCTGACGAGACCAGTGAGGAAGAAGAAGACGAAGAAGAGGTGTCAATGTAAATGGAATAAGAAGATTTCAAATAAATGTGTCTAACTTACTCTGGTCATTAGATGCTTCTTAACCCCTTTCATATTAGGTTGTCAGATAAGTATGAAATAAATTCTTTTTATATAACACCACCTTTTGGACCAAATGAATCGATTTCCTTGTTCTCATGTTGTTCCATTATCCAGTCCATGTATCCAACAACAAATCTTATAATGTAGTGTCATAAGGGCAAATCACTTAAACCACCCCTCCAATATGAAGTTGCAATAACTGCTTTTAAATATTGAGTGGATTGTCGAGCAACGGTACTGAGGAGGAAGGTGCAACACTGTTCTTTTGATACAATTTAGTTCATTTTAGGTACCATACTTGAGAATGATAGTGCAATCACTTCTTTGGCACTCAGTGGTAAACACTATGGATACCTGAGTGTGAATGTGCAATCATTGTTTTGATATGCTCAAACCACATTCAGATGTTTGACCTTGGCATTACTAAGGCCCCTATTAGACGAGGTAGCCTGGCGACGTCGCCAGCGACCAAACTGGCTACTCAGCTTGTCAAGGGTCATTGATTCGTATGGATGTTATTACACTAGGGTAGCCAGCGACGCAGCCACACTTTGGCGACCGACTGGCTACCGAGCCCCGTCGCCACTGAGGTAGCCACTGGCTACCCATATTGGCGACGCTGCGTTGTAGCATATGAAGCTTATTACACTAGGTCGCCAGTATCACGTCGCCACTCGGTCAGTTCATATCACGGGGTACTTGCACACTGTTGTGTTGCGCTCTGTTGTGTTGTGAGTGGGTGAATTGTTCACTTCAGTTGATAAAATGTCTATATCTGATTCAGTCGAAGGGAGACGCGAAGATATGAAGAAAAAATAAGAACCTCCGAAAGGCGAACAAAAGAAAGAATTAAAAAGGGTATAATATAACCCTTTTGATTCTCTTGCACTAAGCATTGGATGAACGTATATTTGTCCCTTCCTTTGCCTCCTTTTCTTCAGAAGTAACAGAAGGAGAAGATACTTAATCACTCATTATTCACTGTAAACATTCTGCTCATAACAAGTACAAGTACAAGACAAATACTCACAACAAAATGAGTAACTTCGGTAAAATTCTAGCTACTCAACTGGCTACTAGGTTTGGTGGCCAGTGCGTCGCCAGCTACTGTCGCTGGCGACGTCGCCAGGCTACCTCGTCTAATAGGGGCCTAATAGTGGGGTCATACTCCACCATACTACATACTACACCAACTCTCCATTGGTTATGTGGAGAGAGATCAGTACGAGGTAAGGATTGAAAAGTGGCGGCTTCAAAAACTACAAAGTATTAATGTACTCTAAACCAGATATTTACCACCTAGTAGGTTAAATATCATTGGGTTTATGAAATTTGCTTTTGTTTTCATTGGGCATATTCCCAATAAAATTGTATGATAAATTTAAACGGAGTGTACATTAATGCTTTGTAGGCTTTCTAGCTGTTACAAACCGAACAGTTTAAAAATCAAATAGATATCTATCCATCACTTAAAGTCAAAAGTAATAATGAAATTATAATTATAAAAATAAAACTAAAGGCATTCCTTCCTGTAGCGAATTTGAGGTAATGAACCTAAAATTCAAATCTCTGCGCGAAATCATAGATCAGCTGACCACAGGCGTACTAGCATTACCCACAATCCTTCCTTGGATAGCAAGTTGATGTCACAAAAGAAAAGAAAAGATACACTAATTACTAATGCTTTCTTAAAAATGGTAAGCATCAGGAAGTGACAAAACCAAAATTTAATGTTTTCCTCTAAATAATTCATACAAGCTGTTATTATTTAAATTTTAAAATACTGTAAATTGAAATTGAGTAAAATTACTCATTTTTTGCAAAAGAAGATGGGATTTTTTAGTCAGCCTTCAACCAAGTATTGGTAATTTAATACTCCCTCACCGACAAGACATTTTAAGATATCAAATTTCATTCCATATTCTTATACTGTAAAATAATATTGTATTATTGTAAAACCGTAGTATGCAATTTCAAGAACACTTGTATTTTATTGAAAACTAGCAGAGTACCCGTCCTTCGTACGGGGTTGGCATACAAGTATAAAATGCTTATTGCAGTTATGGGTGAGGACATGGTTTAAGAAAGTTTGGTTCTTTTGTTCTACCACTGCCCCTGAACCATAGAAAAAAGTAAAGGGCTCATTGTGTACCACAGCTTTTTGTGGCTAGTTGGTTCAAATTAGCTGTTGTCATAAATGCAAAAAAATAATAGTGCTGCACCCTGTAATTATGTAACTGAAAGAATCCTATTATAATGAAATGACATTAGCGTATGGTTTGACAGCTCCATTTAAGTAATGTTAAATAATGTTTACATTCAGGATAGTGACATCATTATTTTAAATATGATCCTTACCCTCTCTGTTCTAATATTCATGCAGTATTTAAATGAATGTTTGAACCAGCTGTATGGAATTGTGAAATCAAAATTAATTTGACAGTTAGTACTGCTTGTTTACATTTTTAAACTTTGTAGGTTTGTTCTTTGTTGTCATGGATACCATCAATTAAAATTTACTTTGAAATCTCTCACCTTCGATTTTTGAAAGCCCACGGGGCATAGCCCTAGGACAATATTGAAGCGGGAATAGTTCTATATGTATCCTCGGAACTGTAGCTTCATGTGTGTGCAATTTGAGCCCAATAGGTTCAGTAGTTTTTGAGATTAGCTCATACAAACACACACACACACACACAGACACCACCTCTTCTTTATAATAGTATAGATAGATATAGATTACACTGATTGCATTAAATGCAATCATGATTTTTAAGTTTATCTTTGATAAAGTACTGTTCTTTTTAGTACAGTATCAATTTATAAAAAAAATCATATATAAATTAATCTTTACAGTTATTCTCCGTAAATATATGGAGATTATTATTTACCCATGTAAATGACCGAAGCACATTGGAGCAAAAATATTAAATGTCTCTAATACGAGAGCGAATTGAATAACTGGCATAAATACAGTAGAATCGTTTACTGCAATGAACTTTCAAATCGTTTGTTGCTATTTATTAGGTACAGATCTATATGAGTTGAGCTGATCTCTTCCAACCAGTATGAGTAAACTTATAAGGATGTTAAATTTTAACAGTCTTATTGAATAGTTGTGTTTTAAATTTATACGCATTGGTGTTAAATTAAACGTTCGACTATTGGATACTGAAGACAACACAAATGTATTTGTCAATAATTGATATTTATCAAACAGCTGTGTAGTTATCCAGAAAGCATGAGGTGTGAGGAATGTTGGCATTCTGTTTGATAATGTAATGGATGCCGGAAGGGCCAATCATGCAAAACTGATTGGTTCTGCTGGCTACAGAGTGTTTTGCCCATAAACGAGAGAGATAATGTCAGTAGAGTTGTGCCAATTATCAGCTGGTGGGGTCCACAGAAAGGGTGTGCCACTCCCACTTGACAGTCAACTTAAAGATCAGAATAGCAGTAGAGTCTTTCATAAGAAAAAAAATTCAATTTTGGAATGATAAATTCTTAAATTGACCTATTTGTGGATCGTTTATCACATTCTAAGAATTAAGGCAATTACAAAGTCAAGTCAATCATTTATTTTCACAAAACATTCACAGATTCAGCATAGCTGGGAAACAGGTGAAATGGTCATATACATAAAATACATACAACTATAATAACTAAAAAATATGCTAAGAAATCAAATTAATACATCATTTAAAAATCATTTACTTTATAATGCACTCTGTCAAGCAGCAATTTCGTAACCTCTTTTTTATTTTTCAAAAGATTATAATGATTTAATATTTTCAGGCAGTTTATTATACAATTTTCTCCCTAGATATTGTGGAAGGGTTTCAAGTGATGTAAGTCTATGAATGGGCAGTTACATATCATTTCGGTGTCTTGTTAAATAATTATGGCTATGGTTTTCATTCATAAAAGATTCAAGATTTTTTCAAATCAAGATTAATGTTTGCAGGATGTAATTTGATGGAAGCGTTAACATTTTCAATTCTCTAAATAATAATTTAAAGGATTGTCTGGGTTTTGAAAATGTCATAATTCTAAGGATCTTATTTTGAATTTTGAAAATGGCTCGGCAATTGAGCAGCTACCCCAGAACTTTTCAGTATTCCATACAACATGTTTGACACAAACAAAACATAATAAACAATCATCCTTGTCTTAGTCATTAACATGCTGCAGGACAGATATCTGGAAACAGACTATATTAAGTTTATTAGCTAGAATTGATGTATATTTATCCCAATTTATAGTGTTTTGTACATGAATACCTAAACAATTTTGTAGATGACGTTTCATTAATAATTTCTCCCTGAATATTAATATTTAATTCAATGTTTTCTCTATCATGAGTAGTTTTGAACCTAATAAATTGAGTTTTAGAACAAATAAGACAGCCCATTTGCTGTAAACCATTTGTTTAAATCCTCAAAAGTATGGTTTATCAAATGTTGTAAATTGTTAGGGCTGTTTGTTTTTAATATAGCTGTTGTATCATCAGCATATTAGCATATAGAACCAGCTTTGGGTTTAAATTAAAAGGCAGGTCGTTAATATAGATTAAAAACAACAAAGGTCCCAATATAGAGCCCTGATGTAGAATATACCACAATAGCTCATTTTCCATTTTGAAAAATTATAGATGTTATTTTTAAAAATAATATTTCTTTGAAAGTGGTTTGAAAGATAGGATTTTAACGTCAAAGCAATTGGAGACAAATTTTAAAATTTAAGCTTAGAAAATAAAATGTTATGTACAACACAGTCAAAGCTTTTGACATGTCACAAAATATTCCAGCAACATTCTGAGACCTATCAATGCCACAGCCGAGCTCCCACAAGAAGTCAGACAGAGCCTGAGTTGTTCTACGTCCTGATGTAAAACCATATTGTTCTGTCACAAAAATGTCGTTACTTTAAAAAAAAGATGATATTTGGTCGGTAATAATTTTTTCAAATACTTATGAGAAAGCTGGTAAAATTGAAATTGGACGGCAGTAGTCAGGATTTGATTTACTGCCATTCTTGAAAAG